GCATATTGAGCGATCAAATTTTGACCCCCTTTTTTTTTTTATCTTTGACTTAACGAAAATGGCGTGTCTATCACTTGTCTAATTCATATTCGTATTATTCGAGAGCAGTAGTCGCATTTGCGAGAGAGAAAAAAATTGGGCTTGGTCTTGGTATAATAAAATTCGCACATTTGCTCTCTCGGACTATTTGGCTAAAAGCATATCAGGCTCTCTCTCCCTCTTTCTCTTTTGTAAGTACAGGGTGTGTAGCATAGGTGCGGTGGCGTGTACGTTCTATATACATATAGGTAAATGCACACATAGCCTTATCACGCGAACACCGTTGCCGCCGCCTTCGCGCAATATTCTCAAGGGTGGCGCGCACGAGAAAAGAGGGAGACTATTATAGGCTCATATTCAATCGCCAGCAAAGTAGGTTAACGCTCTATAACGGGAAAATGCAAAGTCTGTATATATATAAACCTACGCGTCTCTCTCTCTCTCTCTCTCTCTTCTCTTTCTCTGTCTGACTGCCTGCCTATACGTGTATATGTGCTTTCGCACTTTTACGTATAAATGCATGCACACGAGCAAAATACACATCGGTGACAGGCTCGGGTATATATAGAGCCGGCAACAATAACAACAAAACAGGTGGAATACATCGAATGCCTATGCTTACATATACACGCGCACAAACAGGAAGATGTGTACTGATTATCGCGCGCCGATTGTGTAACGCAAACAGCATGAAACTTTCGTTCTGCTATGCACATTGCGTAGCACATTGACGCAGATATTCAATTCGGTGTACGTGTACGCATCTCCGTCTCTCTTTTTACGCCCTGTCCTTCCTCCTCCTGCCCCCCTCCGGACGACGAAATTTTACGATTCAGTGTTTGTTCGGAGAATAAAACAAGTCCGGTGAAAAGGTAACTTTGCTGCCACGGCCTCGGTAGTCGCTTATTGTATAGAGTTTCTACGTGTTCTCGTGCGAAGAAAAAAATTAAATGAGTAAATCGGTGAAATTCCGAGCTTTCCTGTTAATTGAAGGGCCTAATGAAAGAAATAATGCTTAATAAATGCTTCATCAGCGTGTATCTAGGCGAAAATCACACATTTATACATAGTAACGCCATAGATTAACGAGCTTCTAATTATCCTTGTTTCGCAGTAGCTACGGCTTTTCGACGTCATTCTTCAAGAACAGTTCTTTTCTTTCTTTTTTCAACCTCCTATCTGAACGAGTAGCCCAAGTGTGTGTGTGAGTTCAACTTTCTCGAAGCCTCGTTTTCTCATGCTACTACACTGTAGCACGACGACGGGACTTTAGTATGGGTGTGTGTGTGTGTGTGTGTGTGTGTGTGTGTGTGTGTGTGTGTGTGTGTGTGTATGTGTGTGTGTTGATTCGCGAAACGTCTACGTATGCTGCCTGCAGCTCAGGTGAGATAACGGTGCACGATGCGGTTAAGTAACGGACACGGCCGCAACGACGCTCGACTGCCGAGTATCAGGATGCGCGCGTGTGTCTCTTTCGCCGATCCATGCCGCGGATTATATGCACGCAGCAGCAGCAGCAGCAGCAGCATCGGCATCGGCTCTGCGTATGATATAATAATGCGTGCGAGATTATTTCATAATTTTTACCTAGGTTGTCGAACCTCCTGTTTATGCTGCCGCATTTTTACCGATATTATAGAAAAACTTGGATGAGTTTCCTGCAGCACGCGCGAGTTGCTTTTTTCACCCCCTTTTTTTTTTTTACTCTACACACTGTATCGGACCTAATGCATAGTGAGAGAGATAGTGAGTATAGTTACGTGTTAGACAAAGGTAGGACAGTGTGCGCGAACCCGCATGAATTATTCAATTTTTTCCTCGAAAAACTATATACACACACACTCACACGTAGACGTTATTATTTCACCCGTGTCGCGCGCGAGTAATAATAAAACTGAAGGAAGTGTCGTTGAATGTTATGTATTGGTGTGGCGCGCGCTACATCCGTGCATGTGTGTGTGTGTGTGTGTGTGTGTGTGTTCATGAACATATATGCAAAAGCGATTGTAGAACATCGATAACAGCATGAGCAGTACACAAAGATTAATTCGCTTGTGCGAGGCTCATGGCTACATGTATGAATATGAATGTATATGTGATAGCCAAAGGGACAAATTGTAGGACGAAAGAATCGATATTATTTACATGTTACGTATTCAGGCTTGAGCTGCCACCGCTGCCACCACTGGCCTTTTGTTTTGTTACTCGCTAATGATATTTTTTTCTACCTCGATGTACGGCTCTTTTTTTCATTTCACATTTCCACGAGCTATAGGATGCACATAACTGTCTGTGCCGGCTGTGTAGCGTAATGCAAGCGACCGGCTGCGTGTGTTAGTTTGATTGAATGGATTAAAAGGTGAACGAGTGATGGAAAGAAGCCTTAGAAAAGGGCGACGTCATATACATTCTCTAGCTCGACTCCCTTCCTCTCTTTTTGATATCGAGTTCTAAATGAGAGCAGAGTACTTTGCACATGGAAATAGTCCGTATGTGCCCAAGTACGCAGTAAGATCAAAAGAAGTATTTTATAATTCTTAAAGCAATGAGTAAGGAATAAATCCGGTTTGATATATTTCTACGTTTGTCCGATTCTCTATCAAATCGACTGACCCAAAAAAATGTTATGTCCTGATATCATATGCTGTTTAAGAATTTCGGTCATGAAAGCTCAGATGGAATCGAATCGGGTGTGGAATTTTCTGATGCTTTGCACAACAGCAATTACTCAAAAAGCTTAGACGAGCGCCTTAACGATTCTTTTATTAAAAAATTTGGACAAGGTCCAAAAATATCTACCTGTCTAAAACATTATTAGGCATCGAAAAAGGATCAAATATGTTAATGGAAATTCAGGGTCATTGCTGACGCGATAAATAGAATGTGACGAAAAAAAATTTTGAGCTCATCGATTTGACAGAAAATTGGCCGTACGTATATGCGGAAAATACAGTATTTGATTGACCTGTGGAAAAATCAATCGCTCTGCATACGTTGTGCACGCGTATGTAGACGCGCTAGACTCACGATAATTTACTTCTTAGTGCGTTGTGGTGAGGAAAAAAACGCGAAGGAAAATGCATGGAATTATGTATTCTGGTTCTTTTTCTTTCATTAACTCGCTGAAAAAATGTATGTGTGTGTGTGTGTGTGTGTGTGTGTGTGTGTGTGTGTGTGTGTATGCACGAACGCGCACAGCAGTTCTCTCTCCGTGCGAGGAAATTATCTTAATATTATCTTGGTATTATATCTTGCACGCAAGCATCATCATCGCGGATTGTTATTATTACGCTGCGCACGAAGCCAAGTTCTCTAGCATTGCTGTTGCTACGTTGCTACAACCAAAGGAGTACTGCTACTGCTATTATAAAAAAAAGGAGTATAAAATAACGCCCGAGATCGAGAGAGATAGGTAAACGTTTGTGTACGCGCGACGTTTTCTTGACTCAGAAACGTAAAAAACAAGAAATGAAAAAGCGAAAGAGAAAGAGAGAAATAGAGATAGGAATATAGTTTAACTTTGAAGGCGCCCTGAGGTCCTATGTATGCATGAGATGCTTTCCAGACCGAATGAGCTGGATCTCTTGCGTTTGGTTTGATAACCGAATGGTGGAACGCATGGTTGAATTCTATCCTTTTCTCCCTCTCTTTTTACGTGTACGCGCGCACACGAGTAGGCACGCGTGCAAGCGAGCCAGTCTTTCCTGCTCCTTGAAAAGCGCCTGCACAGATATAGTACGTGCATTGGACCCGCGTATAGGAGCGAGACTCAGCAGAGCAGAGCATAGCGCGGAGAAAACTGGTAATGAGAACATTACACAATTCCGTGCTCGTGTGCGCCTAGGCACATTCAAGGTCACCGATCCCAGCAGCGCACCGGCTCTCTTACTTTTCTCGTACGTACGATGTATATTCTTTCTACGCGCAGCGTGTACAAGATGTATATCTCGCGTGGAAGCCCGAAAGCAACCTGTTAATGACCTCCGCACGCTCGGAATTTGTTTATGACGTTGTTATTAACTCTTATATAATAAGACTGCCGTGCGTATCGTTGTCACCTTGTTCGTAATATCCGAGTCATCAAACACACTCTTGGTTATGAGAATGGCGAGGCTCGCACAGAAATGTAAGTCTATTCGTGTGTTTAACCGGTTCATTAGGCCAGCTCTGTCGTCTCAGTAGCTTAGAGGACACGAGGAAGAAAAAATCGTGAGAGAAATTGCGTAATTTTTTGCCCAAAAAAGTGCTTGTCAGAGAGGAGAGAAAAGAGAATAAATAAGATCGAGGCACAAGGCGGCATAAACAGCGTTAAGCGCGCGTGAAAAGACAGAAAGAGAGCGAACGAGAGAGAAGCGGTGAACGTCCGCTGACAACGAGTTCGTTGACCCTTTTTCTCGCCAACCGAACAAGCTCAACCTCGGACTTCGAATGCTCTCGCGCTCGCGAGAGAGAAAGAGAGAGAGAGAGAGAGAGAGGGACGCGGGGCTCTCTATTCTTTGCGCTAATACCGCTCTCTGTTCTTGACCCCCTTTTTCCGAAACTGGCAGATAGTAGCGTAGTCGCGTCTATCGGTCGAAATTATCAATTTTTCCTTATCCCCGTGTAACGAGCCCAATTTTATTTATACGTAATCCTGGAGACGAGGCGGAAAATTCGAAAGTCAATTAAATCGCTAAATTAGCCATGAGTTGCAGACGTTGCGCTCACCTCGTTTAGTCAGTCGTACCAGTAATCGTTTCCAAAGAGACCCGCTATTACGCGCTCCACATCTCCGCAACTCTCTTCTTCCGCCAAAGTTGAGAAGAGCGAGAAAAGAGGCTCGAAAAGAAGCAACAAAGTATTTAAAACCCAAAAACGTTGATAATTGTTTAGCTTTTCGTGCGTTTCCGTTGAAAACCTTTCTAAAAAGAATATATCTTTATTTTCATGATGTTAATTTTTTGTTTTGTTTCTGTCTTCAGCAACTATTCCGGAGCCAAGCACAGGGCGCCACGCCGCAGCAGATCCAACTACTTCAGCAGCAGCAACAGCAGCAACAACAGCAGCAGCAGTACTTGGCTGCATCGCAGGCGCAACAACAGCAGCAAGCCGCGGCTGCCCAGCAGCAGCAACAGCAAAACTTCCAAGCCACGCCGTACGTGATCGGTGGCCAAGAGCCGCCTTACGTCAGCCTCATAACCGGCGCACCACCCGTAGTACCACCGTACTACACACCATGGGTCTATCCAGCTGGATTGCTACCACAAGCTCCGCCTCAGGCAGCGGCACCACCACAGCAGAGACGACCTCTCACGCCGTCGTCGGCCGCCGCTGCAGCTGTTGCCGCTCAAGACACCGCAAATAATCTCGCGCAAACGGTAAGTTCTTTCCCCTTGCTTTTTCGTTTAATGTAACCACGAGATAATCTCCAACTCCAACTTTCGCAACGATAAAAGACGACTCGATCATTTCATTCACTAAGGATAATTAAGTCTAATTGAACAAGGTTGCAAACCGTTACTAGGACAATGTTAGTACTTCCATCCTCCATCTCATATCTCATATTTTGCTTCTCTAGCACAATCATACAAAGAGTTTTCAAATTTGTATAAATAAAAAATTTAAAAATCCTTTACTACGATGATATCGAATCGCGAAAACTCGATTGTGTGCAATATTTTATTAGCATAATTGGAAGGACGGGCTGTAGCAGGCGTGCACGTATCGATTATCGTAAAAGCCGAGAATTCCCACAGGAAATTAAGTTATGTAAAATTCGCGCTCATATTTGATCGTATGTGTGTTGCAGGTTCAGGGTCAGTACCAAGTGATCCCAGCCTACTATGACCAAAACGGCTCCATTGTGATGGGAGGCGTTCGCGGATTGAGCTCGGCAGGTACACCTATGCGTATCGTGAGTCCAGCCCAGGTTTTGGTTAACAGGGCGCCCTCGCAACCACCACCAGGGCCACAGGCACCACCACAAGCTAGCCTTTATGGACAAGCCACACCAACATCTCACAGCAATGCTACGTCTATGGAAGGACTTGGTGAGTGGAAAACAATAATAATACAAATCGTTCCTTTGCTTCATTGTTTATGTAAACGAGTGTATACAAGTACTTTCGTGCGTGAGCGTACACGTCCAAATTTACCCACTCTATTTTAGCCACGGACATACCGTGCTATGTATTTTTTTTCACAAAGATCAACTGATCGATCAATGATAACTGCAAGTGGTTCTCAAGAGAGATAGCCCTCGATTATGCACTCGCGCGTATCACAGTGGCAAATAATTAGAGCGGCTAAACTTGGAGCACTGACAAGTTCATTAATGACACTACTTTAGCTGTTACATATTAATACTTTTTATGATATATACATAGTTCATCAGTCTGTTGCTAAGTTTCATTTTCATGCAAACATTTCGAGCGAGAGTATTTAACTGCCATAATCTACTGAACAGAAGTCTAATCGGCTTTCGATTTACTAGTTTTAATATAAATTTATCTTGTATATATTTTTGCATTCGTTTCATATTCCAAATGATCATTACTATGTTTAAACATTGTTCATATTATTATAAATATATTATGTACATAGTAAAATTAATTATTGCATATAGAGCGCGTTAATATGTATGTCGCGTGTGATGTGTATGCTCTTCTACAATTTGGCGGTAATAGTCTATCTCTTTTGTATAAATTGTACAAACGAAAAAAACCATATCCATAGGTTTAGCTGCGTGCAGTGCAGCTGCCGTGGTGGCACAAGCCCAGGCGGTAGCTGTGCAACAGGCTCAACAGCAAGGTACCGGACTCGCTGCTGGTTTGGCTGCTTTGGGTTACGGTGGCTCGCCACTTGGAGCCCTAGGCTCGCCAGCTCAACTACAGAGCACAGGTACAAGACAATCGGAAAAAATTTAATCTTTGCTACAAATATTTTTTATCGGCAAACACAAACAAGCACAACTTTTATTTATTGTTATTAATTATACACAATTGAAGAGATTTACACATAATTACACGAACACGCACATCTACAATATTTTTTATCATAGCATACAAAAAATATAAAGAAAAAGTCTGCTTGTTTTATCAATACGTATACTCTCCAAAATATTTTTATCACTGAGTACATAGCTAAAACTATTAAAATTGATAAAAATAAATAAAATGATAGAGAGTAGACGTAAACCATTAAAATACCTAAAATTAAGATGATTGTAAATTTATATAAAATATTTGTCACTTTGTTATATAAGTATTCGTATCCTTTGTATCATTTTTTCGCCTTTTTTCATTAACGCTAAATTATATTACTAACCACTTGCTATTCATTATTCATTTCATGATTCTTTCATCGCGTTTATAACACATTTCTTTTTTATCAAACTAACACATCAGTTTTTGTGAATTTTTGTCCTTTCATTTTTTCATTATTTCATTTCAAAATTTTATGTAAAACTTCGTATACTTATTGCTCGACGAAGTAACCGTTTAGGTTGCAAATTTTAGTTCTCGTTACTCTGCGCCTACTCATATCGCATTTTTTCAATCGCTGAGAGTAAACGAAGTTTCTCGTTTCAAGTCAAGTTTTGTTTGCGTTTATGTTGAAGAAAAAAAAATAGAAAAAAAAGATCATTCATGTAACATGTATCCATGTCCGTGCTTAACTAGGTTTGGGTCTTGGAGCATCATCCACTGGTAGGAGGGATTCCTTCGATAGAAATACTTCTGCATTTAGTCCAAGCTTAGAATACAACAGAGGAAAATGGCCGCAAAGCTACGGCGCTCTTGGTGAGGGCACGTTCTCCTATCTTTTCTTATTTACTATTGGTTGCCCCCCGCCACCCGTCGACACGTTATCGACCCCCGACCCCTTATCTTTGCCAAAATTTTCATGTAACCCTTTTTACAACCAACAACAAAAACTTTTTTCGATTGAAACCAACAAATAAATGGATTTGTTTTGAATTTTTGGCTATGTTTTACAAAATAATTGTATAAAATTCATCTACCGTGTGTCTAGGCTAAAATGGAACTGTGTACGAATACTTCTATTTGTAAAATTAATTAAAATACCGCAATATGTACATTATTTTTCTACACTATCCATTATTAAGTAAAAAAGAACACTTTTTTGCGACCAAGCTTGTAAAGCAAATCCATCTATTTGGTCATTTTTTATATGTGTGCCTGCACTAATTGAGTATTAATCTTGCCAGCTCGTGTAACTTAATATTATATAAAATAAAGCCGAGGACTATTTGTACTTTTGAAAATCAAGGCTGACACATGACATCGTGAATCGCGATTAATAAAATATCGACGATTCAATGAAAAACTTAATATTTTGTGATAGAAACGCGTGCGCACGTGTTTTAGACAGCGTTTGCAAACTGCATTAGTCTATTCGTATTTATGCGTAGACTTGCGGTATAAATTAATCAACTTCTCGTTATAATGTTTAACGAGAAACCGAGTAGGGAGAGAAAGCAACTGCAATATGTACATTGCTCTTGTTCACGAGGGGTTATTGTTGTTGTATAGGCTCTCTTTTATTCTATCGCATATAAAATGATGTTTAATAATAATTCGCTGTGAACTTTACATACCTAAATACAATTTGAGAATAGTAAAAAACAAGGAAATCCGACTTTGATTATATTGCTTACATAAATTTAAAAATAATCTCTTTCCTCTGTTTTTTACTTTCAAAGAAACTTATCCAAAACTTGAAGCTTTTGTGCGAAATTGTAAAAAACGTTGAAAATTGTCACGAATCAACTCGGTACCGGTGATGTTTTTGTTGTTACGTTGTTGTCATTGTTGTCATTGTTGTCGTTGTTATTATTGTTGTTATTATGATTACAATTGTTGTTATTGGTACTACTATGGTCCACCATATATTAAATATTAAACCGTTATACATGTATCTACTGCATGCGTTCTATCTATCTTTCTCTATGCAATCTACATACTTCTTCCAACTGCATTCTTGAGTTCTCTATCTTACAAACTGTGTAAATAAATTGGAAAAAAGCGCAAATTAATGATGGAATAAAAACGATTGAAAGAAACATCAAGATTAACTTTAACATTCTGATCTGCGCAGATGTAACAATGAATCCAGGGAATGTAACAGCTTCACCGAGTCCACTGGGTCTATCCCTTACGCCTCCACCAACGCTCGGTGGGTCACTCGGTGGCCTCGTCGGGGCTGGTAACCGAGTGTCAGCCGCGCCAGGCGCCGAGGCAAAATTCCGTGCCTCTGCCGTGCCAGCACTGACGACTAATGGAGTTTTTGGTTCGAGTAGCTCTTTGTTCCCGAATCTTGTCGGAAAACCTGCACGAGGTGCCGCCGCCACTGGGGCTGCTGGTGTAGCAGGGGGCGATAAAGCTACCGGAGGTAGATCTAGATTGCTTGAGGATTTCCGGAACAACAGGTGAGTGAGCGCACCATTTTTGCATCTGAATTATTTTTCATTAATATATACGTGGGATGTTGAAGTAAATTAAAAATTACCTACTTTCTTAATAGTGAACGTTATTGCGTGCATGATCTACTCGTTTTATTAACAGCAGTAGTCAGCAGCATTTAATTATGCTTTTTAAAGTTTAAATTTTGCGGTCACGAGAAATGAGGTCGCCTTTGTGTCAATTTCGACGTACTATTCTTGAATTATTCATCTATTTATTTTTTCTCAGTGTTTCCGCAAAACATCCTTTCATGTTTCAATTCCGTATACTGCATTATTTTATGTTTATATTTTCTCATCTTTTACAGATATCCAAGTCTTCAACTTCGCGATTTGGCCAATCACATAGTTGAGTTCAGCCAAGATCAGCACGGTTCCCGCTTTATTCAACAAAAGCTCGAGCGAGCATCTCCAGCAGAAAAGCAACTCGTATTCCAAGAGATCCTTGCTTCCGCTTATTCACTCATGACCGATGTATTTGGCAATTATGTAATCCAGAAGTTTTTCGAATTCGGCACACCGGAGCAAAAATCAACACTTGCGCAAAAGGTTCGTACACATTTTTGTCTTTTAAATGGCGCTTATATATATCTAGATTTAGCAAAAAATCAATATACCCTCTTAAGCAAACTTGTGTGATGACAACTGCGTGTCAAATGATTTGTTTAAGTGATTAAGCACTTCTTGCGTATTTCTGACTCGACATTCGCAGGAAAAACTACTTTTTCTCAAGTTTACAATGAGACCCATGTTTGAATGTTGATTATTTTATTTTTAAGGTACGCGGGCACGTCCTACCTCTAGCTTTACAAATGTACGGATGTCGTGTCATCCAAAAAGCCCTGGAGTCCATCGGACCAGATCAACAACAGGAGATTGTACGCGAACTTGACGGACATGTCTTGAAATGCGTGAAGGATCAAAATGGCAATCATGTCGTACAAAAATGCATTGAGTGCGTAGAGCCACGAGCACTGCAATTTATCATTGGCGCCTTTGCTGGTCAAGTACATTCGCTCAGTACTCATCCTTACGGATGCCGAGTGATCCAACGCATTCTTGAGCACTGTACGGCCGAGCAAACACAAGGTATTCTTCAAGAATTGCACGCAGCAACCGATCAGCTCATACAAGATCAATATGGCAATTACGTTATTCAGCATGTTCTTGGTAATTTCCTTTTTTTTCCATATACAGTACACATCTATTGTTACTTTTTATTAAAAATATTAAAAGAAATCAATTAAATTCATGTTTGTCTATATATTTTTTCGTTATTTTTCACAGAACACGGCAAGCCAGAGGATAAAGCCCAGCTCATCAATAGCGTTCGAGGGAAAGTACTTGCTCTCTCGCAGCACAAATTTGCTAGCAACGTTGTTGAAAAATGTGTGACTAACGCTTCAAGGCAAGAACGAGCTGTTCTTATCGAAGAAGTCTGTGGCTTTAACGATAGGTAAATACCTTGCTAGTTTACACGCTTTTACTCATTATTTTTTGCATACAAGTTCAATCTTTACTTACATTAACACTGAGTAGGTGCTTTTATCAAGTATTTCCTCCGAATGAAATTTGATCCATAATTTTTGCGTATTTCTTTCAGTGCATTGAATATCATGATGAAGGACCAGTATGCTAATTACGTCGTTCAGAAAATGATCGACGTTGCTGAAACGGCCCAGCGCAAGATATTAATGCATAAAATCCGACCTCATCTTGCTGGTCTTCGCAAGTACACGTACGGCAAGCACATAATCGTGAAGATTGAAAAATTCTCCATGAAGACATTGAATCCAGGCATTTCAGGCTCTGCAACTAGTGGATCGTCCGGTGCCAGTGATCTTGGCCCTATCGGTCCACCAGCTTCTAATGCTGGACCGACTTCATCTCAACAATCGACTCAGGTTTTATAAGTTAACGAATGAGACAAAAGGCAATTCTTGCGTATTAGAAAAAAACAAGATCATTGAATTAAAATTGCGTAAGGACTGAATGGTATTTTTGACTGACGCCTGATGGTTCCATAACAACCAAGTTATATTAGGGAGCTAATAAGCGATAAAAGTGAAATCATTTTTTATTATCAAGCTAATGCGTACCTGTGGCGTCAGTAGAAAATGTTTTCTCTGGGTAAATATCAGTTGATTTAACTGAGAGTTGAGGTTTCATTTTGAAAAAGGTTTCACATGCTCAGATAATGAGAGAACCTTTGTTTTAGTACTCTATCTTTAAAATCTTCCATTTAAAATGTCTCTGTAGATTTCAAATGGAAAAATTTTATGCGAATGAATATATTAGTTTCTGTACTATGAAATTCTTCGCTTATTACCTAAGCTATTTACAAGGATAATAGTTTCAAGTTTTTCTCGTTTCACTATTGACGATTAACTTAAATAATTCTACAATAGGTAAAAGATTTCGGCATTAAATATAACAACAAATACCGATTAAAAATTACAATACAATGTATGCACTTTGTTGTTGCATATATTGTCAGCACGATTAAACAAATTTTGTGTGTACAATATCCTGCTTCCGTACGAAATAGGAAATTTTTCGCGTATGCAGAATTTACGCGAGTCAGTGAGTCTTATTTAGTACTGTTTGAAAGTACTAAATACTATTAACATTCATAGTGTAAATCACTTTTACGATTGCTTTCCTACATTTAAAGGATTATAGCTTATTCATTAAACCAGCTTTGCTATTTTTAATGATTCATTTTGTTTGTTGCGTTAATAGTAAGAATTCTTGCGAATTAATTTTCAATATAATCAGAACATTCACGTTAATGGTATTTGGTAACATTGAAGTTTGAGTTTATAATTTTGACATGGGAGCAAAATAAAAAAGCAGCTCCAACGTGACTGCCAATTTAAGCCAAGCTATACACAAATTCTGCATCAAAAAACATCGTTTGCAACTTGTTTAATAGCTAAAGAAATGCTTACAGAGTACACAAATTTTAAAATATAGCATTTTTCGTGATTGACTATTTGTATAAACTTGATACGGGTACTCTGAATATTCTTGGTAAACAAATCAGTGTACTTTATAGACATGGTACATTTTGAAAGTGTTTACCATAAGGACCGATTAAAAACTTAAACGATAAAATCCCTTCGTAAAAAAACATGAGAAAAACAACAATTAGGCGGGACTTAGACATTCAATAGAAACAACGTTCTCCTTAACTTCATTAAAATATTAAAAGAAAACGTTGACGTAAACATTTTTTACATGCGCAATGTCCTAGCCATCTTCAGTTAATTTTAACCTCTTTAAAGAATAAAGCCCCAATTTTTGTAAATTGTGATATAAATAATGAAAATATGTATAGAAACAACGTGAGCTTCTCATATTCAAATTGAGAAGCCACTAATGCAACGGTTTTTTTTATTTTTCACAAAATGAAAAAAAATTATAAGAAAAATCCCGGAACTTCTTTTTTAACGGACTCTGTGAATAATATGTATTATAATAATTACTAATTACTTAAATTTATAAAAAAAATGAGTTGCGTTTCGATACAGTTGCCTGAACTTTATTATTAATTGTATCTATATTGTATAATTTGTCTATTTTGGTATAATTCATCATCAAAAGTTGGAGAATTGTAAAATATGAATTTTTCGGATGATGCCAAGAGAAAAATAATAGTGACGCGTTTACCGATTTTTGCAAATTTTTCGTAAAACGATCACACATAATCATTCAGTCATGCTTTCTTGGGCATGTTCGAACGTGTTTGAACTCAAATGTATATTGTACAAATGATAAAAGTTTTTTTAATCAGCAAATCAAGTTCGCACAATGCGCGTGTAAATTAGCCCCCTCATCCCTTCATCTTTTCAAATCGTCCCTTCTTATTCTACCTCAATCGTAAATTACTCGGCCGTTTTCGTTGTAAAAAATATATATAAAAGACGACCATTGACATATACATATATATAAATATATAAATAAATATATATTCTTCTTAATGGAGTGCCTTCCTTGAATTTTTCCGCGGACCGGTTGAAGCAATTTTCTTCTTATTTCATCCGTTCTAATCTTGTTTATTTACTCGATCAGTTTACAGATGTTAGTGACTTTGATAATGATGTTTCCATCTGTAACATTCTCGTAATACAGCATCAAACGCGTGATAAATACAAATTTTCTGCGTGCATTTTTCAAGGAAAGAAAATTGAAAGTATATAGTAGTAGTTAACGAAATTTCGTCGGAAGATATTTGAAGGGTAATGTCTTGAGACTCCATCTAACTCCTTGTATAATGTATAATATTTTGTTAATGTAGATGTAAACCAAGAATAAAAGGGTAAAAACTACTAATAACCAGCTCGCGATACTCACAGAAGAAAATATGTCCATTGTGATTTCTGTACAAAAAGTAAACTTAAAAAATGCGAGAAAATAGAGAAAAGAAATGAAAAGAGCGATGAAAGAAAATTGTATCATCTTTCTTTGTAAAATATTGTAAATAACGATTTATTGAACAAATTGACAAATTCTTCGGCATCTTCTCTTCTCCCCCTTTCATTCACTTACTATTTCTCTATCTTACTCTTTCTTCGTAGACAATTACTTGTGTGAAAGATTGCGAATAAACTGAACAGGAGGATCAGAAAATAATGCAAAAAATGGTTAAAACGAAGAACTGAGAGCTATAATAGAACTTGATGAATAACTTTTTTGTGTTTCATCTTCCGACGACTGTATTTTACTTGTAAGTTCGTTTTTTCTATTCTAAGTATGAAGTCGTTTTGGGTTTTCGTAAATTAATTCAAGTTATGAGGAAATGTTCAACGAAGGCACACATGTTTAGAGAAAAGGAATAATTTTATAATTCATGGGTAATTATACCCTATATGCAAGGGAAAGAAGTAATATAAGAAAATAAAGTTTTACCGACTGCCGTACCGACAGACATTCCAACTTAAAAGCAAGAAATAAAGAAAAATATAAAAGTGCATATATGATAAAAAATAAAATACACTTTTTCAACGTTTTAAATCGATCGGTTTTCAGTTGTCAGGGTATATTTTATAGATAAAGGCAATTAATTATTTCTATAATTATACATTTAATAACGGCTTTGAAAATACTAACGATAATAATGTTTAAGGAATGACGATAATAGTTCCTTCATCAATGTAAATTGTTGCGCGTCATTTGTAAATTTCAAAGCAGACGAACCACGCATCATTTGTAATAGAAAAAAAACCATCCATCATCAACTCGTTCTTAAAAATACGCTGTTCAGCGTTTTTGTCCTATATGCTTTGCAATAAAAGGACATTTCAAACAGGATAAACTAAACACAGCGTTAAATGAATCGGTAGACATTTTGAGACTAAAAGTTTATGAACAGCAAACTACGAAAAAATTTCATTGATTTTAAAGAAATGTCTCTCATGTCTTAACTAGAAAAATTTATAAATTTATTGCTAACATTATCATTCTATTGCATTATACTATTATATTATATCATATTATATTATCGCTATAATACAATTACTTATATATATACATTTATATGTGTATATATATATAGATATATACATATTGTTTGATCATTGCCTCTTTCTTTATTATTCATTATTTATATAAATAATAATCGATAAGAATATTATAAATATACACGTATAAATACACAAATTTATGTACACGTAAGCAAGCCAGTATATAAAAAAAACTTTATAAATATGATATATAGGATTTTCTCCAAAAAGAAAGCAAATATAACAATCAGAACTTTTCATGTCTCTTTGTCAAAAACCTAAATATTATAAAAAAATTTAATCCAATGCCACTACGCTATGTTTACAAACTGTGTCGATACTGAGCGAAAAAATGAGGTTCGCAAAATGAAGGAAAATATAAAAATTATTGTCCATTTTTAATTATACATAGTGTACATTTTTTATATAGCACGCGAGATTATATTATTAAAACGACAGTGCATTGTGTCATGCAAAGGTACAATGCGCAGTTATGTGTAAAAAATAACGAATAAAATAAAGTTCGAAAGATACATTCACAACCACGATCTTTCGATATTTCCACGTTGAAATTGTTTCATTTTAAAAAGAAAAAATTTCTTTTGCTGGCCTGGTTGCGAGTTATAAGGGATTTCTAAAGTTGATAGCATATTAATTTTGGTGTATCATATATTTCGTAATATTGAGACTGCTTTGTCAAATCTCTTAAACAATTTTATTTTTCAAGTTTCGTTGGAAATAGCATACGTTTTTCTTGAAATTGAAATAAAATTTATTCTATACATAAAAACGTTACATTCGATTCTATTGTTCAATATAAATTTTAAATGTATACACTTTATTTTTAATAACTAACATCGATATCTGATTGACAAGCAGTGAATTTGAAGGTTGAAGTATTAAAAAAAGTTGTAAAATCGTATGAATCATATTTCATGATTGAAGGATTGAAGACTCTTGTAATTGTGAACCAAAAACCAGGCAAATTCGATGCATATTTGAAATGTTGGATCCAAAAAGTGTATCTACTAAAGTAAAATAGTGGTTTTTAACATTTCTCTCTTTAAAATGAAAGGGTGGAGTTTTATCGAGCGCATCGATCTTGTGAGTCTTGTAAGCAAATAATGAAAAATAAAAAACAATTAAAAAATTATATATATATAAAAATTAATTTATATATATAAATATATTAATAAATATTCAAGTAATCTTATAAATATTGATTCTATATATATTATAAATATATATATATAAATATACCTGTATATGTATATCTAAATATTAAAAAATAATCGGTAAAAACGATATGTATATGTAATAAGTAATATTTGAATATTGTAACAATTGTATATGATTTTATTACTACTACACGCTAATTGTATTATATATCTGAAAGATCTGCGACATCCCACTTGTAGAACGTACTAAAACTACCATTGAAAAACAAAACTACACTTACACGACATATACAACAAACTCGAAAATCTGGCTTTATTTACAGCTAACTATAAAATACACGCAGTGTGAAGAATTGTTTATAATACACATTTACAACATTTTTTTTAAAAACAAATGCCAAAAAATTAAAACTTTTCATATAAGACACGTGATAATTTTTAGAAACGACAGCTCTAAACGATAATATTGAAAACAACTTATTCCATTAAGCGTATGAAAAGTAATAATAAACAAATTGACAAAACACAGAATGTAGAATACATTTTATAATCAAGTAATAGTGCGTCCTGATATTTAAGACTGATGTACAGTTGCGCGCTATTCTTCCTCTTTTCCTCTCGCTTGATTTGTCTTTTGGTTTTTTTAGACTTCACTAACAATATTTTGAAATACAAACGTACACCAACGGTTCGTTATTTTTAGCCAAGTACAACATCAACGCCCCCAAACACTTGCATTGTGCTACACACATTTATACACACACACACACACTTGCCCGCATACATGCATTCACAAAAAACTCGGGAAAACTGTGTCTAGACGTCTATTTCTAGGAGCGATCCAGAGAATTATATTATGTGATTGATAAAACAAGCGAACATCAGAAAAAGTTTAGCGTCAGAACAATGTAAAGTTTTACCCTCAAAAATACGACACAATTTTTTATCAAAATTTATAATTACAAATTGCTCGTAAGATCATTATCTTTCTAATTATAAAAAGTGTGTATATATGAATATATCTTATAGACAAAATGAAACAAAAATTTATGGAACTCCGCTTTGTGTAGCGTGCAAAAGTGGGAGCCAATTTTTTTTCACTGTATCTTTCACGATCAAATTCCGATATAAAATAAAGCTCATGAAAAAAATCGACAAATTCTATAAATAATAATCCTTAATTCATTCTTTTTACTACAATTGAAACAAATTAATTATTATGACAAATGTTCTTTAGATGTTGACATGAGGAATATGTAATTGTTTCTATTTTTTATTAATGTTCTCTGAATTGCAAGAAAATTTTTAGCTTACAGAAGCTCGATGCGAGTCAATTTTTGGTAGCATTCTGCTTGTCTTGTAATACTCTTATTAAAGAATGATAGAAAAAAACAAGGGTGAAAAAGTTTTAGTAAAGTGGGATGGGCAGATATTGATGGAAAAATATAAATTATTACTTTGTATATTAGTGTATAGATTGTAGAAACGATGATGAAGGATTTTAAATTTATTAAAAATATGAAAAGGGACAAATCAATTTTAGTGGTATTTTATACAACAGGTAGCAAGTTGTGATAACGTAAAATGCTATTCAAAATGATTGTAATACAAAATTCTTACATGAATAAAAGAAAACAAATGAAACATTGATCTGTCTCAAAAACTAATTATGATCTGTAAAAATTAATCCTGACCAATAGTATATTACTACCCTAGGCCGCGGAAAGCAGAAAAACCCCAGAGTATGTGTAATTAGCGGCCAAGCCGAGGCCGATGAAGACGTGTTCTGGGGCTTTCTTTTTTTGTGACTTACGCCTTTTTACTATTTTTCATATCAAGCGTCCCGAAAATTGCTCTTCACGATATGCGCAGAGACAGAGAAGTAGTCACTTTCAGGCTGCTAATATGAAAAAATTTTCAATTAAAAGGATAGTTAATTTAAGGTAAAAAACATTCAAAATTTTTTTGAAAAAACAAAACGAAGGCATATACGTAGATAGACTTATTATTAAATATTTAGGATAATATCTGGAGATGTATTTGAAATTGTTTTTTTACCCAGGTTTCAAGATCTCTCTGTCATAAAAACTAAATACCCATTAATTTCATTATTAGAATTATTAGTTGATTTTATGCTAAATTTGTCACAGTATTGATCTTTAAAGTTTCTAGTTTCATACGATTAAATATAGAGTTATGTTTGAAAGTTCGTTCCATGTACTGCTTCTAATATTTTTACTAGCTCTAAAGGCTCGAAGATACCTCAAAACTAATTTTTTTATTTTTAAGATTTTTTATTGATGCTGTGATTAATAAAACATGTATTTTTCATGATTTAAAAGTTACACCTTTTTTTTATGCTAAGCTAGTTATGCCTTGTATTGAGTCTATTCAAAGGATGGGAAACAAATTTTATACCAAAAATATGTTTAAATACTATGAGTTACATCATTTCGACGAAGGTTGTGATCGTCACCATCGATGCTTCAATGGAGTGAACAAAACTTAGGGGCAGTATCTCAAACGGTTAGCTCTGAAAGTTGCAACCGTTAAACATATTTTCGGAAAACTTGAATTAATACAAAACGCAATAAAGAAAAAACATTTAAAACACCGAGTATTAGAAAAAAATGGGCTCAGATAAAAGATACTCAAGGAAAAATAGAAACTTTCGAAATTTAAAAAAGTTCATGATTTATCGACATCATTGTTTAATAATTTATAAATGTTTCATTTTCTATCATATGATAAAAATTAAATAAGAAATAGCATCGATAAAATATAAGAATCAACATTTTTCAGGTAAGATAATTATATAAACATAAAATTTATTGAAAATCCATCTAAAAAATTTGAGTCAATTTTCACATTAAATCATTAATGCAAATTTTAACAAAATTTTCTATGTAACAGTTCAAATTGTCGAACGAACTCACTCGTGCGTACCTAATGGACATACTTGCCAAATACTTAAAATTAACCCATATTTTCATGTCATGCTATAAATATATATAATAATAATTTTTTAAAAAAGGTTAATAACTATTTTTGGACTCAAATGTAGGAGTATAGCGGAAAGTGAAGCGAAAGAAATAATTATAAATCAATTTTGTAAAGAATTTTAAATAGATATCGCAAATAAAGTTTATTATGCACAGCAAGTAAGCGATTTTTAATTCACTGAACTAAAATTAAACAATGATCAAAGAAAATCTTCTTATAATACATAAATATTTTTTGTTACAACACGTGAATAAAATAAAATACAAAGCACAGTGAGTCTTCGATAATACAATATTTATTCAAATAAACAATCATCTTTAAAAGATTATGATGAGATTATATTCACAGATTTACTAGTAAAACTTCTTGACCAAAAAAAATTTTAATGATAAAATTTAGACAACGCAACAGATACTGACAATCTAAGAGTATTGATTTTTTGAATCTTCAAATAAAGTAAGTTCCCAATTTTGCTTCATTAAACAGTGTGTATATGGTATAATATATAAAAAATTTATATTAATTTGTGTATCTTTTAATGACGTAATTTAAACTTTATACAGGAATTAACTTTTTCAGCGATGGAACACAATTACTGTAACCATTTACATTAACATCTTAACAGTGAATGCGCATGACAAAACACACTATTCTTTTTAGAAACCAAGTGCCTAATAATAGGAGCAATTCACTTTAATAATAAATAAGTTTTAATTTAGCATAGTAGAGTTGCTTGTATATTATCTCCTCTCATCATATTTAATCGTTTCAGAAGAATTGAAAAGTGAAGCCTTTGGCATCCAAACATTTAGCAAAAAAATAAGCTACTATGCTAAATTAAAATATTCTTCACTAACATAGTACATTCAGAAAGTTTGTTTTTTGATGTTTATTAAACTATCATTCACATGAACTATGACAGAAGAACCTTTTTAGTGAATTTTTGATGATATTCAAAGCACATAACTTTATTAAACTTTATTGTCAACCATATCAACATTAATTTTGTAATAGACGTAAGGAAAATAGTCACTTTGTCCAAATCCTAAGCCTGGAATGTCAACACTCTGAAAATTGAAATGGATGCATTAATTTGGTTGAAAACTTTTTATCAATGATGTAATGATTTAATAAACAACATTACTTACATCTTGATTACCCGAAGCACTGCCTGCAGTGGCGGAGGAATCGAGATGTGCATATAATTGATTTAAAACATCTCTCAAACGCTTGGTGCTCTTTTTGTTTGGGTGTAAAAGGATAGCCTGGAAATTTACGGGCAGTCCGTATCTCAAAACGGACTCGACGAAGACTCTCAAAGCTTTTACATGAATCCAAGCGCAGAAACACTCACTGAAATTGACTTTCAACCACCGTACCAAGGGCCCGAATTGTTTCTTCTTATCAGTCACGAGTTTAGTCATTTCATTTTTACCTGAAATAAAAAAAAAAAACATTAGTATTATTTTTGATTAAAATCCATGCTTTTCTCCGAGGTTTAATAAACTTACCAGCAGCTAATTCTTCTTCATTGTACGTAAAATCGCGTACGATAAACTTCTTTTCACGAGCGTGAAGTTTGAATTCTTCGATAACCTTCTTGAATAAGGTGACAGTATAAAGACCGTATTCCTGATCTTGGGTGATGAGAACAGAACTTCTAGGTACGATCATGTCTGTCAACTTTTCATACAATGTATTCCATTCTTGAAAGCTTGCTCTGAAAATTGATTAAAAATTTTAATTTTACATAAAATGTTGTTAATATATAATAAATTATTTTTTAAGCTTACCTGGGCACGATTACGAGCAGCGTTGTTAAATATTCACTATCAAGAATGAAATGTTCTTTTTTTACAAGATCAGCTAGATTGCGAGTCAAAAGACTTCCTCTGTAAAAATCAGTGAAAGCATGAAGTACTTTTATTAAGTTTCAATTTATATTAATAATTGGCGCTTACGTTTGTTTTTTCTCCAAATTTTGCAGGCTGCCTTTTAAATTATTGTAAGTGGTCGATTTCGTTTTGAGATCGGCATCGATTTGTCCAACTTGCTTGCTTATGATGTCAGCAATGTTCCTCAATGATTGCTTGATAGGATATTTAGCCATGTCCCATTGAAAACGTGTAATATACGTAGGCAAATCACCTGTCAGATAGATAATTGGTCACTTTTCAAATATTCAATAATTTTTACTTATAAAATTAGTAAAATAAATATAACAATAAATTACTACATAATATATCTGAAAAAATGAAGCTACTTAAAAAATGTTCTCTTGCAATATATTTTCATTTTGAAAATCAAATTAGGTAAAACTGAGTGAATCAGTGCGTGTTTTATTGAATGCGTTGTAGTGTTGAAAATAATTGTATCTACGATTGGCGATGATCAAAATCAAAAAAAAAAAACAAAAATTACTTTTGTAATGTGTCCTTAAAGAAACATTCAAACATAAATAAAATCAAAATATCCAATGAAGCAAAATTTATTGCCAATACAATATTTTACTGTTGGTTATCGTTTATCCTACGAATGTAAAAAAACGTATGAGATCCATTAAAAAAAGTTTACTTCGTGTATTAAATGTATATGATTTTATCAATAAGTGAAGCAAATAATTCATGCAGTATTGCATTTTTATATCTATCTACAAAAAAAATCAAAGTAATTAATTAATGCCCAAGTTTGCGGAAATTGAAAAGTGAAATCCAAAGTGTTATACATGTTAAGATTAATCATAATAATGTTGTGTCATTTGCTTAATAAATAATTTTTAAATTGTTAAAGCATGCTACAAAATTGGTCCTTTCATGTGAAGGAGTCCCATGTACCGATCGATTTGTATATTAACTCATAATAATAAATAAATATTACATGTGTCATGTCATTGTTGTTTTCGCAATGAGTTTTTGTGTTTTTGATGGTTTTTGTGAGATGTAAGTGTATAGTCACATTGTTCACAATTTCTCATTGGAGCAATTATTCTACGGCCTGATTTTGTTCTACCTTATCGATAAGTCAACGATTTTTTTCGCGAAAAAAATTTGATTACAATATCCATTAACGGATCGAATTAGTCTCCAAATCCTAAATTTTTTCGTACAGTCTTCCTTTCATTTTTACTACGCAACTGATGTCGTGTTATTGTGTTTACCGATTCACAAAGAAAAAAGTCATTGGGATTTTTCTCGGGATTAGGGGAGCTCACCTCAAAAAAACGTTTAAATTAGCCGTCCCTGACCGGGTTGGTGCAGAAACAGCCGCATAAATACATAATCAGTCGAGTCCACCTATGTCGTGAATTCGTTTTTATTATTTGTAAATGCTATAAACCATAAATAATAATCATTACAGTATTGGTCCATCAGTTAAGTTGTTCATTGTCAGACATGAGTTTTTCTAGTCAAGTCCGTAGGAAAAGCGCATATCCCACTAAATAATATGCGATTTTGAAAGAAATCTCATATGCATACGATAAATGTGAGTTAAAGTGATTTAATACAATGTGCACTGTGCCACTCACGTGATGAGTTTTTTTTTCTTTACTATAGAATATTCACTCATGATAGTGTGAATTGTGTGTCTTTTAAACCGTAACATTATTTTGAAGTATTTTTAAAACAATCTTTTGATCATTCATATACTTTTTATTATTAAACTGGAATCAAAGAGTACGCCCATAAATAATAAATAATAAGAGGTGGGAAATCAAGACAGGATGGCTCATTTTGCGAAGTAAACATAAAATAAGACCTACTCGTTCAAATAGCGGGATAGACGGGAATAGGATGTATGATAAAAACAAAAGTAAAATACTCATAAATGTTTTTCTTTTTGATAATTACAACCAATATATTACGCAATGGCTGCCTACAACGAAAACAGAAAATTTCAGGGGGGAAAAACAAAAGACGAGCAGAAAAAAATTGCGACAAAAACGACAGGTAAACCAATAGTAAAGAAAACAAAAACACGGATTTGGTACTTGGTGTGTGATAGGACGGGTACCTGGATTAGGTAAACTGCTAGCCGCTTGCTCTTGCATATTGGCATCGGCAGTGGAAGAAGCCGTCGGCTGGCGCTGCTGCTGATCATTGTCGTCGTCCGAACTGACCGTTGCGAGCGAGGATGCGCACGACGACAATGGCTGAAGGCGTTGCTGTTGTTGCTGCTGGCGTCGACGTCGCAGCCGAAGTTGTTGGCTGTTTTTCCGACGCCGGTTCGTTGATTTTTTTAAGCAGTTTTGCTGCTGCTCGTCACCGCTGCTGCAGCTCTGAGACGAGCCAGCGGGCGAGCACGAATACGGGGGACTACAAGAGCTCGGACTTTGACGCGGCGACGGCGTCGAGGTCGCCGAGGACGAAACGCACCAGTGCGATGATTGGTAGCACGACGACGAGTCGTGAGATCCTCGCGTCTCAGCCGCGCAGATACTAATACCTGCATGCGAACTGGCACCATCCTGATGATGATGATGCTGATGTTGATGATGGTGATGGTGATGATGATGATGATGCTGATGGTGGTGCTGATGATGATGCAGATGACTGTGATGATGATGATGCTGATGATTGGGCGGACGATGAGCATGGGGCGCCTGGCAACTTTGATTACTATCGTCCGACTGATGATACTCGTGATTCTCGGACAAATGCTTAAACGACTGCTGAGGCTCATGCTGCTGACCTATGAGATTTGCCGATTCGAGACTGTCTGGTAGATCCTGCAGATGATCCTTCCAGTGGTGCGGGTGCGTGTGATGATCTCCGTCCTTGGTGCCACCGCCACTGCAGCCAGCCATTGATTTAAAACACGGCGTTACAGGTGTATTTGGCGGCGTCTCGGGACTTCGATCGGGACTCCCAGCCTCGCCGTCCAAGGACGTCTGACCTATCCATTATATACACACAGTCCAGTCCCGATTTTTTTCCATGATGCAACTTCTTACATTGGTATACGATAGTTTTGTTCTTTTTTGTTTGTTTGCTTTTTTACTCAAAACTATTGCAAGCTTTCTAATCAACACACCTGACCACAAACGTGTCAAGAAGTATAAACAAAAAAAGCTCATCATCAAGTACTTTCAGGCAAAAAAAGTAACAATTATGATTTCAAAAATGATACATAACTTATCTACAATGCGTGTTTCAAATGATCAAACAAAAATCAATGCAAGAGAGACGTATACATTTTTCGAGTTCTGGAGCACAATAAAATAAATGATTTTAAACGAATAGTTCAAACCATTGAAGAAAATACAGTTTTTAACAGCTCCTTCTTTCACAAGGACGACTGCTCCCTTGCATATAACAGAGCGTAAGATGATTCGCCAAATTAAGCGAAAACTTTAGAAAACACAAATTGAAAATTTCATAAAATATTTTTAGGTCTTATTTTAACGATTATAGAGAGTCGAATAAACGTGCAATTTTTTATTAGAAAAGTAAAGGTTTTTTGACTTCAAACCTTAAAATATTTTTGCTATATTCATAATAAAAAAGGTGTAAAAAAAACGACGACCACAATAACCCAACATACTTCAATTGCCTTATTAGACATTATCATCATTTTCATAATTAAATGCATTCGATCTACAGTAGAATTCATTTGATTGAAAATGTATCGTATATTTATACACGAATTAATACGTGTATTCTCATCTGCGTCCTCGCATTGGACAATGATTTTCTCTTATTCTTTTTTCACTAGTTAAGAATCAAAAACGTTTAATAAAGTGATGAATGAAATATGACACAAGAGTTTATGTGGTCGAGAGATGAAAAAACTACCAAAGCAGTACAACTACGCCAATAATTTTAAAAAAATGCTCAATTATTCAACAAAAAGTCTTTACAAAAGCATGTTTGTACTGATATAGTAAGCGACACGTTTGCTTAATTTTTTCTGAAAACTTTGTATCTTACGTGATTCTGAAGAGAATTTAATTCAACACACAATACGAAGAAGTGAATTTGACGAATCAGGAAAATGCAAATTCCTACTTTTTTCATGATAATTCATTCAAAAGTTCTTTTAATTGACAATTATCGATGTTAGAAGTAGTCGACTTGAAAAAACTTGATTAGAATGAAAGTATTGAAATGTAAATATTAGGAATTTCCAAAGTAAATCATAAAGATGGGTTGACGGTTTCAGTTTTTTAAATGATGTATTCGCTGACAATGAAAAAATTAATCAACTACCAGCAAAATATGACTAATCAGTTCATTGTTTCGACAACATGATAAAATTAAAAGATTAATAATTATTATTTGAAGGTAACGTTGCTAGATGTTAGAAAATACAGTTGTGATAAATAATATTATTTTAATGATCATTAGGTTCACATTTTGGGTCTAATTAGTGGTTCATATATATCGATAATTTTGATTACCCTGAAAGTTATATTGAAGAAAATAAAAAAATAAATTATCTGCTTAAACAGATTGATACGGAAACTTCGTGAAAAAATTCTAATTTAATTTTTCATGTAATAATCCTCTTCTTATGGATAAGTAATAGTACAAGTTCTGAGAACGATTTTGAAAAAAATACATTTTGATAAGAATATCTTGATTAAAATTCTACAATCTTATAAGAATAATGGTATACTTTTGAGTTATAATAATTTCCAAAAACTCACTCGTGGTTTTGGAGCTTTGCATAACGCAGACAATCGATAAAGTAGAACTTATAATGCTTAACCCTTAATTTTCAATTATATAAAATAATATTCTATTTACATCAATATGCACGAAACCATTCTCAAATATCACAAGAATACTGGGGAAATTGCAATTCATATTGTGTATTTGATAAAATAAATCATAAATAATTAGTTGGTAAGAAAGAATCACTATGTAAAGTTTTCAGAACATGTTTTATGAGAAGAGCCTTTCATAAACTACATAGGTACTCGACAGCACTTAAATTTAATCTAAATGTTGGGAAGTATTTTATTTTACTCGCCGATATTTCGTGGAAATTACGTATTATTATAAGCAGTATTCTTGTTTAGATAAAATTGATAACTATACGCATGTGATCTTGTTTATCCAGTAATGGAAATGATATATATCAATTTTAAAGCCATTAACAGAATAAAAGTAAAAATAAGTAAATATTTCTCGCATTTTCATTAATAAAATGTTATCCCGAATTCGTTCAGAATCATAAAACTGTTGCATTGTAATTAAAGGTGAGTGTTGGGTAGTACAAATTTTTTTTAATCAGGGATGAATTTCCATCAATTACAAAGGCCCTTCTCTATCTTTACATTAGACTTTAATTAATGCCAAAGGTAAAAGTTCTTTTTAAAAAATGTATTAACACTGCATGCAAAATTTACGTAGATATAAGTGTCATTTGCTTGGCTCCAACATTCTTTCTTCAAATATTTATAATTTATATCAAAATTAATTACCATTTTATGGGAAATTTCCAAATGGTAATTAGTGTTTTTGTATGATGTTGTGTAATGTAAGTCAAGTTTTAAATTGTTATAGTATTACACTATCGATCGATAGATAAAATTGCTGGGACACCCAACACAATCATTAATTGAATTTCTTAGACTATCAGAAAAAAATGTTATGAGCTGTTTTGAAATGCTACATGTAATAAGTTTATGACACAAATTTGTTGGAAAAGAATTATTTACTGTCAAAACATTAATAGTTATTAGTTTTATATTTTAGTGTTCATATTGACCAAGCATACTCTACTTGCACTAGCAAATTACTCAGTTGCTCCAAATCATCATTAATACTTTAAGTTCAAAAATAACTGCAATTACTAAATTTTAGCTTGATAATAGTTTTTTCAAGTTGTAAAAATAGTAATTAGTAATCCAGAATAAGCAAGTGCCATATTTAAATAAATTGTATGCTGCAGCAAAGAGTAATTAAATTATTTTACAGTATATAATTCTATGAAAAATATACATAATTCACATTTAATGAACAAATTTGTATCAAAGAAACATCCTTTTTTGAATTTTTAAGGTAACTCATAGTTTTTCAAATAAAGTATATCAATGAATTACCTTGAGTAATATTGAATTATGGAATTATAATGGGATAAATTTACTCACAATTATTTGCCATCAAATTTTCTTGCAGCTTGTCTCTTTGATCTTCTAAAACTTCTCCCAGGTATACAGCTACTTTTCTGGTAATTTGCTCAACATAAGTGTCTAATTTTCCAAGATCATCCGATAGACCTACTAATTGATCTAAGGTTCCAACTTTAAGGTCAGGAATATGAAATTTGTAATTATTCGACAATGAATTTTGCTTGGAAGTCAAATTGTTCATTGTTTCCCATGTTTGTTGGCAGGTTTTGTCACCTGGCGCTGAGATGAGCCAGTATTCAGTCATCTTGGATCAATTATTTGTTTGCTAAAATAAAAACATAAATTTTGCATTGAATAAAATATTTCGAAATTTCTTAAGTGTTCATTCATTTATTAAATTGTTGACTGTACATTACTTCTCTCTAAGACACTAAAACGCAGTTAAAAAGAGAGATTACTGAGAAATTTCGTATCAAAATCGACGAATCAATTGACGAGAAAATGAAAAAGCCTAAGAATATTTTTACGAATCATTCTAACAGAAAATAAACGCTCTCAACACAAGGGTGTGGTTGAAACACACAACAGCTGTGCTGTGCGTGTGATCCCTGCCTTATGTAAGTATGTATGTGTTTATACGTGTGCGAATCCACGTGACTCCCCGTTGAAGTCGACTCTGCAGTCAGAGCGTTGATAAGAGAGAAATTCATTGAAACGAAATGACGTACATAACGTTTGGAGCAGGCAGCGGGCATCGAGTGAAGTTTGCTGGCAATCGATAAGCGCGTGCGTTCTCGTGCTTCTCTCTCGCCATCTCTTTCTAACTCTGCGCGTGAGGCTCACTCGGGTAATTTGTATCTCTATATGTATGCATGTATACATGTTTCTCTGTGCTGCGCGAATACTAACGCGTATACACCACAGTCACGAGGATTCCTGTGACAGTTCTCCCTCTTACGTCCTTGACTAATAAAGCTCGATATACACACAGAACAAGGAAATGCCAAAAAGGATAGCTTTTCAGTACTATTTCGAGTACTTTTAATGAAACTTAAAAGCTCTGAAAAATGTCCCGAAGTCCTAAGTTTTAGCGTTATCCGCCTGAAAAATCACTTGTCGCTTGTGTGACAATTACGCGCAACTACTGGCGGAGAGAAAAGAGTAGCGCGAAACACCGACTTGTTCAACAGAACCAAGCTCTCAAATTATAAGTTTAAGAAAGTCATAGAACAACTCGATCGTTTATTCTTTTAATCACTACTTGGCAAAACATCTGCTTACCTGGTAAATAATACAGTGCTGAGGAGGCTAAGCTCTCTCTCTCTCTGTTTTCCGCACACTATTTCAGGACGCCTGAATGGTAATATGGTACTGCGTGCTGCACCCAAGCTACTTACACAGCTGTAAAATAGGTGGGTTTCTAACGAAAATTGACTAAAAATGTTGAATAAACAACGACACGAAGCACATCGCACTGATTAATGAAGATTATAAACGACGACTGCACACGATGGCCCGAGAAAATGGGACGAACAACACGATCGATACGCGAACTCGCTCGCCTACCGCAGACAACCCAACACTTCACTAGCAGCCCGTCAGCTGAGATACTCTTCGTCCTCACGTGAGGCGACTAGTGCTGCTACCTTGTGACTTATGACCATATTTTTTGTCGTTCTTTCGCCCAAACACACACAATCACGCCTAGGCGAAAATTCAAAATTGCATTGAAACTTTTTTCAAAATTAATTCTGATGTGCTTTTCTTCATATTTTCGGTTACATACATATCATAAATAAATAAAATTCAAAGCTCCACTGTATTGAATGATCAATTTTGGTTTTTCATGAGCTTCTCTTTAGTTTTTCAATGTAACTCAAGTAATGAATATGGCAAAAAAATAAATATTCAAGTAATTCCAGTACTTGTTAAAGTTGAGCCGGGAATTCGTACTTGCATATTAGACTGACAATAAATAATCGATGGGACGCCCCCTCAATGTCTTCAAACCCCCCGAAAAATAATTTCTGCAAAATTTCAGCTGATATGAAGAAAAAAAACCCCGTAATTTTTCATTTTCAGTCTATTGCATATGTTCACCTGTAAAGCTTTATGAATTTCACGTTTATTACGCTTGTTTATAATCGTGATACCATGTGCATTTTTTATTCAATTATAAATTAATTTTTAAATTTTCTATTCGATCAATTTGAATTATAAAATATACATTGAAATTAATGTACATTCGAATTCAACAAATTTTTTCCTTTCTTTTATTTAATTTATTTAATACATCATTCACATTTATTCTCGATGGTTGGATAGAGGTTGTAGAAAATATTCAGTTGATTTAAGTCCGAAATGGTAAAAAACTTCGACGCTAATTATCGCTCAATTAGAAATAACCAGTCTCGTTAGAAATGAAAGCATTAGCTTAAAATTTAAAACAACCGCGTTGTATCGTCGCCTTTTAAACTTTCTTTTAACACGATCATTGTAGATAGCTTTTGAATTGGGTATAAGATGTAAACATAAAATAGCGACTCTCAGACGAAACTTCCAAACCAGACGACGTATTTTTACCTATTCAGTTTGTGTAGTTATTGAAACTTGACCGATTCAGTTTTTAAAATGTTGAACATACTCAAGTTTTCGAATGTTCTCCTAAAATTTAGATGTGACATTCAAGTTGCTCATTATGCCATACCTGGTAAGGAATAATAAGATTATTAAAATTAATCATATTCCGATCCTAGCTGGAATAATGTTCATTTTTAACTTACCATTACTTTTAGGTATGGCCGGTGGAAAAGGTAAAAAAATAACTAAACCAAAGAGTGCTTCAAATGAAAAGATTAAATTACCAGTTGAAGAAGATGTAAACAAATTGTTAACACATTGCTGTGGCACGAATCTTTTGAAAGAAGGAGGTGAAGATGTTAAATTGAAACCTGACAGCGAATACCCTGATTGGTTATGGTCTATTCGAACGGGTCCTGCACCACCATTAGAAGAACTTGATCCCAATACTAAAGAATATTGGAAACGTTTGAGAAGAGAAGGAATCAAAAGGCAAAATAAACTCAAGTCATTAAGAAAGTTTTAGATAAATTTGTTCTTATTGTTACTAAAATTATTTTTAAAATAACTTTGTACTCTGTTAAATAATCTTAAAGATGTGTTAAAATATAGCTTTAACAATGACTTTTTACATTAAATCGCCCAATGTCAATTAAATAAATTTTAAACAAAACTTTGCTAAATAGTAAATGTTCAAACACACTAAATTTTCTATAATTCAACAATTTTATAACTTAGTTGAATTATAAACAAGGAAAACAACAAGCCAGTGAGTATTCAAATAATTGTATATTTATAAATCATTTAAATATATTTAATCTTTGTTTATAATTTTTTGTTGTTTTGGTAAAAAAACATTGAGATAAAAGATGTTATGTATTCAATAATTATAACTATACAGACAATTCTCTTTCAATATCAAAAGTAACTTGAATCACGTTTTTTAATTATAAAGTGCATATAGATTTAAGCATTCTTGCTGCTTAATAACTTTTATACACGTGAATAAAAATAGTTTTGATATTTATTTTTTAAATAGTGTATGACAATTAAAACTAAACATTTAATTGTACTGATTATTCTTTTGTGATGTTATTAAGATGTCAACACCTGTAAGAGTGACACTATTTGACAATTCAATATGTTTGCAGAGTTCAGCTAAATAAATTTTGCATTTTAGATGAATTTTGATGCAAGACTTTTGACTGTCAACCAAGAAGTTCAAATCCTTCATCTGATGAATTTCGCATAACTGTAATTGATAAAGAATTATATAAGATTATATGTAGTCTAAGACAAAAAACTAGCATAATATTCTAGAGAAATTCATACATGCAGATGCTGCAGCACTTTGCTCCTCTGTAGTTTCAGCCGAAGACCAATTGGCTGGTTTTTCAGCACAAATTTCAAAAAGAGGCTGTTTTTCATTTTGAATCAGTTCCTCTTTCATAAGCTTGCAGAGATTTTGGAATTCAAGTTCATTAGCACAGAAAAAACACTGAAAGTTTACGTAAGCATACATAAAATTGGCATCGTTTAATTAAATTAAATATTTTACTAACAAGAGCTACTGAAGGATCCATTTCTGAAATTGGTATTTTGGTGGCAGTTTTACAGTGATAAGTTGTATCAATGTTTGGATCGTAATCATCCGAGGTTTGATCAGTACTTCCGTATCTTTGAGTAGTATGAGGATCAAGAAAGATCACTTCATCTCCTGGAATATTGTAAAGAATGAAATTATTTATTTAAATGAAGGAATTTAAAAAATAAAGATAAAGTTATGGCTTCTATCAAAGATTTAAAAAATAAAATTGCTTACCAACATAGCCAATGAAATATAGAGCATGACTTGGTTTTCCTCCAATAAGTCCAAGTGATTGAGGAAATTGGAATGAAGTCTAAAAAAGTATTTAATTTAAAAATCTCGTTCATTAAAACTTTCTCAAAACAAAAAAATCATACTTTAAGGCCACTTATGTAGATAGGATTAATTTCATTTAATCCCAATCTTAATGGTATCAGTAGCAGTAATGGTTTCCATTGGCTAGGTGCTTTTAATGGTACATCGCCGTCGACCTCAGCTGTAGATGCGCTTTCGACTCTACATTGCCTTACTATAATAAAACCGCAATTTTACTTAATTTTTTTATTAACTTTCTAACTCAAATTTTTTTTCTTAACTCCAATTTTTTTTCAGATATTATTATTTGTACACAAAATATACTTACTGACATCATTAACAATTAACGCATTGTCTAAAGCAACGTGGATTGTTAGTGCACTCCAGTCATCAAATACGACTAGTTTTCTGAAATTCAAAATTTACAGATGCATTAATTGATTATTTTTAATATTTTATGAACTTTATTTCGAAATTTTTCTACGAAATCTTTTATTAAGTTTTTAAAGGCTTAATGACATTTTAATTATTTACAACTTTTTTTTGATAATTAACTTCAACAAAATAATCAATATCTTTTATTTTTCATTAATTAGAATACTCTTTCAAATTGATTTTCGAATCTTACAATAATTTACCTACTTTAAAACTTGAGCTATTGTGTTTGGACCAAACCATTCTCCAACAGTTTTGCCTTCTGATGCACCTGTTAATGCTATTTGGTGTATCGAATAAGGAGCTGCTCGTCGATCCTCAAAGCTTTTTAATATTTTGTAGTAAGTGCTATTTTTAGTTTCTGGTGTCCATCTCCAACTTCTACCTGTAAATATTTAATTTTGGTAAATATATTTTATATCATAGTCAATAATAAAAATAGTAATAGAAATTAAGCTTCATTTTATACTTATATATTCTATTTGAAAAGTCTTAATAAGAAATTTGCATTCTTAAATTGTAATAAATAATAAACATACCTAAGTGTAATGAAACAAGAGCTTGACCTAATACCATTTGACCACATCTAAGCATACAGCCCCATCCCTTATCCGATGTAAATGAGGATCCAAAACCACCAATCGGTACAAATCCTTTTCGATAAGTGAACCATAATCTAGATTTAATATCATTACGAATCTCATCAATATCTGCAAAATATTAAAAAAAATTGGTTTTTTCATTTACAAGTTATGTTTTGTGTATAAAAATAAAATTAACCTTTCTTAGAATTATACTTGGTACCCAAGATCCAAACATAAGCTTCTGCCTGAGGTAATCCATCTGATTCATCAGTTGAATTTAAAGTGAATAAGTTATCCATAACAGATATTCTACTATACAATAATTCTGGCAATCCTATAAGAGTCTCATATGGAAAAAGTCCATTCGAACCCTAAAAGCAAATTGAAACATTACCAGATCAATGACACATCAGAAAATACATTTGCTTGATATGCAATATTTACTTTGGTGAATCGAGAAAACATTGAATAAAAATGTGAGCTTGAACACAGGTCAAGTCGCAAATGTACGAGAATCGTTCGTTAGGGCAAATAAATGCATAGCAAAAAATGATTTAATTATCGAGTGACCACAGGTGAACTTTTCACAGACTCAGAGAGATTCAATGAATATTCGAGTGCGCAATTTATTTTTATTTTTTTCGTCGCGAATTTCTCTCTATTTGACACGACGCATCGGCTGCTTGAGAGTTTTCACTTTGCTAGCCATTGTTCACTTTATGATATACACAGAGTACTATATATATTGCGCTACGCGACGACAGCTGATTATCCCTCAAACAGATCGAGAATTTGAATTGTTTATTTAAAATAGAACTCTCGAACCGCATGTACCGTTTACATTTTCTTCTTTTTCTCGCACAAAAACACGTAACAATCTGCGCTGCTGCTCGCTTCGATATATGGCCTTTTACAACTTAAGTAATCAGACCCGCATTATTAATATCAAAGCTCGCAAATATATAGGAGTACGAGGTATATCGACTGGCAATACATTGAGCACAATAACAGTGTCTCAATACTTATTGAATGAGCGATGGGAGACGGAGTCGACGATCCACGCGTGGTAAATATGTACTGTCGAGCTGTGTTGGCTTATGCCATTGTGGGACTCTGGCAGGATGGCAGAAATGTTATGACTTGTGTGCCCAAGACAGTCATTCATGCCTTTTCTACAATATCATTTTGGCGCGAGCATTCATTTCTGCAACATTTGCTGCAGACTTGAGCAGAATTTAAGCCCCCGCAGGAATGTATGTACGTGAGCGAGCTTGCAGGCGCCTTGACGCGTAGCATCACTCGGCGCTTCTGTGCATACGATGTGGCAGTGGTGAATAGTGGCATCTTTTATTATCGCAACATTCGCTCCGATTGCGTCGCTGCACGGCGCGCGGATGACGATTGCAGATCGCTGCCAAAGCTCGTTCGCGCGAGAGCCATTTTTCATTGCGTTCCTTTTATAAATATTCAACTGGGGACTCATTGTAGACGATACTTTTGCGTGCTTACGTAGAAGTAGGTGTATAAAGTAGTTGGTACTAACGGGCCTGCCAGAGGCACCCGAGAGAGACAGAGACAGGCAGAAAAGAGGAGTGATTATATTGTTGTCATCGCCGGCAGTTGTTTGCAATTGCATGAAGATGGCGGCTGCTGGAGACGTCATGATCCCCGATCAGGAAAAAGTCAGGATAGTTTCAAATTTTATTCTTCACTCGCCTCCTGGTGAATTTAACGAGGTCTTCAACGACGTGCGCGCACTGCTCAACAATGACAATCTGCTCAAAGAAGGTGCATCTGGTGCTTTTGCCTCCTACAACAAAGATCAGCTCATGTCCGTGAAGGTGTGCTTATTATACTTTGCTGCTCTGCGGCTGTTTAATTTTTTATCATTACAATCTACAACAGTACCACCGCCTTATTAGTCACTCGCTGCGCGCTCTCCTCCGACTGTCTTTTAGTTTGTTGTGGTCCCAATGTATCATATTTATTATGATCATGACTAATGCTATGACAAATTCATAAAAATACACTGCTCTCCAAAATATTTACCTCTTTAGCAATGGGCATTTATTTGAATTATTATTTCAGATTGAAGGTAGTGACTATCCAGTTCTTATAACAGAATATAATGACTTGGGTAATCAACGATTTTATGATCCAAGAAGCAAACAAAGTTTCAAATATGACCATTTAAGAAAAGAAGCTCAGGATTATGAACCATATGAGCAAGATCCAGCATTGGAACTATGGCGGAGTGCTTTACAAGATGAAATTGTTACTTACACACAAAATCATTATAGACATGGTGCTTGCTCTGTTTTTGCTAAAAGTCAAGGCGGTAAGATTAAAAATCATTTCAAAACCTAGACTCAAATAATATGATATTTAGTTTTAAGTAGGATTATCTGTGCATAGTGCTATTATATAAATATAATGAAAACCATTATTTATCACTATCTTTACAGAGAGTATAGCTCTTATTGCCTGCATAGAAGATCATCAATTTCAACCTAAAAACTTTTGGAATGGGCGCTGGCGTTCTGTATGGACTGTAAATTTCAATACAAACTCTAGTATTGCAGAATTGAAGGGGAGCTTGAAAGTTCAGGTTCATTATTATGAAGATGGTAATGTGCAATTAGTTAGCAGCAAAGAAGTGAAAGAAAGCTTGCCTATATCTTCGGAAAAACAAACTGCAAAAGAATTTATTAAATTTGTGCAAGACGCTGAAAATGACTATCAAACTGCTATATCTGAAAATTATCAAACTATGTCTGACACTACATTTAAGGCACTGAGAAGGCAATTACCTGTTATGAGAACAAAAATTGATTGGAATAAGATTGTATCATACAGTATTGGAAAAGAGCTCAAAAGTCAATAGTTTTTAAAAAATTTTAAAGTTATTAGAAAATATCTTAACAATTGTAAGAAAATTTATGTCATTCTACAAATAAATTGATTTATACAAGAGGCTTAAGTTGTATTGAAAACATTTTTTTATTTTATTAAACAAAAAAATTATTTTTATGAATTCATTAAATTTTTGTGTTTGTTATTTTCCTTGTTTTTCACGTTTTTTCGTCACTTAGTCCGCGCAGAGTAGGTAACAGTTTTTTTTTGGGGCATTTAGAGGCAATTTGTACCTTGCCGACGTCAGGGTTTGCAGTTTCGATCTATGTATATGTGCGTGTGTTTGTATACATGTATGTATACATTGATCAGCGTATGTAGCCGAGCTCACACTTATTCAACGATTTGACGTCATTCTTATAGATATACCTGAAAACTGGATTGTAGACCCTTGCTCGAGCATGCCATCTCACCTGCACCTAAGCAAGTATACAATCTGAAATTCCTTTGCGCACTGGTTCTGGGCGCAACGATGATCTTGAAAATGAAGATACAAAGCTGCATGCGATTTCTGAAGTTTCCCGAGCAAATTTGTATCGGGCATTAGGTGGAAAAGTTGGAGGGAAAGAAGCAAAAGATTGATAAGTCAATAACTGGTGCGAGCATCAGCGATGTAATGAGGCAAACGTCGAAGCTTGAGCTCCGAATTTCAAGTTCAACGCTTCGCGTCCGCAATCGCTCGTGAGCTGCTGTCTATGCATGTGTGGCACCGTGCGTGCGAATTGCGATCGTGTGTTGTTGCGAGTCAGGTTCATGACTGTAAGTCAGACAGCGTCAATAGTCAATTACGTTTCCGCCATCGACGTGGATAGTTATTGTTGACAAACGTACTGCTGCTGCTGCTGCACAGGCCTTTGAACCGTATATGTTAATATACGTGTTACGACGCGTCGAGGATAAGTTCAACGAAATCATTATACATAGTGCTGCTACTTATCGTGCGCGCCAACGTGTACAATCGTGTCCGCAGCTCTGTCTATAAATTGTGTACAACTACATCAGAATAAGATGACATTTGGACTGCGAATTTTCGCAAAAGAGAGAGACAGAGTGAATATATAAGTGTGTGTCTCTGCCCCCGAGCTGCTGCTGCTGCTGCTGCTGCTGCGAATCGCATTGCAGAAGTGGCCTTGAAAACATTCACGCACGTCACAGTCATGAATATATACATACACGCGTACACTTACATGCAGCAACATTAAAGATACATTTTACTCGCACTTATCTTTGCCTTCCCTCCAGTGTACGTGTAGCATCATAATAACAACAAATACCTACTAGCCTACTGCCACTCGAGAGAGAGAGAAGAAGAGAGAGAGACAGCACAAATAAGCGCTATGTTACAGACATGGCCTACTGTATAATGAACTCTATTTTAAAGTTCATCTGCAGATAGTGCGTGATGATAATTGTACACATGCCAGTGGCACAAGTCGTGTAAGCTGTGGTCTAAAGTTTGTCTAGTGTGTAGCCACAACCGAGTCTTAAGCTTATCAATCGCGTTATCATGTGCTTTTACTAGACGCAAAATTTGACTTTCTTCAGGTGCTACGAAACACGTAACTTTTGCCTGTGAGATCGTTGTCGCTTCATCTGATCGAAAAAGTGACAGTATGTTATTTTTTGCTCAAGCTCAACTGTTCGATCGACTCTGAGTGAAGTAATAAACAATAGAAAGTGCGTGGCGGATACAGTACAAAAACATTCACAAAAAGGACTTCAGAATTATTTTGTGTTGGAATCGTTGGGAATTGCAAATTAATATTTTATAATGCCTTTGGCCAAGCAGCCTGACTGCTGTTTCTCGGTGCATCATACGAGTGCTGCTGCTAGCTTCTCAAACGCGACGCAGCTTATTGACAAATCCAATGCCCGGTGGAAAGATTGATTTGCGGTGACGGCCGAGATTAATTTGGGCTACGTTTGAGCCACCTACCTTTAGGATAGTATAGTTTTAGCAGGCACCAACTGTGTTGTTGTCATAATTTTTATCAAAACACAGATTATGGATTCTTCTGATAGAGGTTAGTATTGCTGTTAGTGAACTTCATGAACTTTGAATGCATACGAAAAAGCTCACTTTACTTTAAACTTAGACTCGACGGAATAATAACATTTTTCGATTTCTTAATGCTTTTTTGGCCATTTTTTTTTAATTTTTCAATGGATTTAAAATTTTATTCATTACATCAGGAAGTGGACTTATCCAATGTTTACCTTGAAATTTTTTTCTTATAATTTGAAATCAAAATATAAATAAACCTAAATTTATTCAGTTTTATTTAATCACAATTTATCTCTAACCAGGATAAAATGAATTTTTCCTGCCTAGGTTCAAGTTTAGATAATAGTGGCATATCCGTATCATCTGTAGGTCCTCAAAGTCCTATGGATATAAAGCCGGATGCCATCAATTTAATGAATTCAGACACATACAGTCCTCCTAGTTCCAATAGTCCAGGGTAAAAAACTTATTACTTTTATTAACTTGTTTATAATGATTGTGAAATTCATTATTTTGTTATTTTAAAATAGGACTTTGAACTTGGGTTGCTCCAGCAATATGATTGGTACGTCACCAAATTCACAAAACAAAACAAATGTTGCATCTACTTACCCTCCCAATCACCCTCTTTCTGGGAGTAAACATTTGTGTTCAATATGTGGGGATCGTGCAAGTGGAAAACATTACGGTGTTTACAGGTAAAAAATCAACTAATTATATTAAAAAACTCATAAGCTTATTTTTACTAATTAATTTTTTTTTCTTTAATTTCAGCTGTGAAGGTTGCAAAGGATTTTTCAAAAGGACTGTCAGAAAAGATTTAACTTATGCATGTAGAGAAGAAAGACGATGTTTAATTGATAAGCGTCAAAGAAATCGTTGTCAATATTGTCGATATCAAAAATGTCTAACTATGGGTATGAAAAGAGAGGCTGTGCAAGAAGAACGACAACGCACCAAAGAACGTGAACGTGAAACAACAACTTCAAATAATTCCACAGGAGCTGAACCTGAAACTTGCACAAGCAGCTCTCATTATGTTGTAACAATTGAACGACTTTTGGAAGCAGAAAAACGTTATGAATACTTAGTAGAAAATCAAGCCAACTACGAAGTGTCTCAAAAAATCCAAGATAGTAAAAAAGTTAAGCATATGGTGGAATGGGCCACGCGATTACCTCATTTCACAGAATTGTCTCCTGAAGATCAAGTATTACTACTTCGTGATGGATGGAATGAATTACTTATTGCCTCATTTGCTTATCGCTCTATGGATATTGATGATGGTATAAGATTTTCCGCTAATTCGTTAGTACACAAAAACCAGGCTATTCAAGCGGGTGTTGGAGCAATTTTTGAACGTGTTTTAAATGAATTAGTTTATAAATTTAGAACTATGAAAATGGACAGAACAGAATTAGGCTGCCTTAAAGCAATTATTCTTTTTAATCCAGAAGTGCGTGGGTTGAGAGTATCATCAGAAGTTGATTTATTGAGAGAAAAAGTATATGGCGTTTTAGATGACTATGTTCAAAAACATCGCCCTGATGAACCAGGACGATTTGCTAAACTATTACTACGGCTCCCTTGCTTGAGGTCGATAGGACTTAAATGTATTGAACACTACTACTTTTTTCACCTTCATCCTGCGGGGGATGTCGCTCTGGATCACCTTCTCACAGATTCGTTGAATACTAATCCTGATTCTTAGTATCGATTAAATATAATGTTCCAGTTGATTTAAATGCTTCGGGTACTTGGTAAGTTTGAGTTGTATGAAGAAAACGTGGTTAATCAGTAAAGTAAAATTTACGTTCGCGAAAACGTAAATATTTTTACTATTATAAGTATCAGTCCCGTCCTTTTTGTTTGCTCTCTTTGACTTGAAACAAAAATTTTAAATATGCATTTGTTCTCAAAATCTTCAGGAATTAAATCTATTAAACATTTAAAATAGAGTTCTTGACTATTTAAAAAGAAAATACTACTGCCTTCTCGGTTTTTAATGTAGGGTGAGTTTTTATTATGCTTTCTTATAAAAAATAATAGCATTCTTTTAACTTACAGATCTTTTTTCACTTTGATCATCTCTGAACCTGTTTATAGAAATTTTATTACTAATGTTTGTTAAAGGCAAGCAATTAATTTTTGAGACAATTATTTTATAACCGATGATTATAGCCGAAGATCGTTCGTTTGTATGCAGTTTAAGCATGCTTTAAATATCATTGTTAAAGTATAATTACTTTTTTTTCTACAAATATTATTTTTCATTATTTTTTGTTTTTATGAGTCGAGATGCGATGAAATTAAGCCGTGTTATTTTTATTGATAACGGTAATGATAAAACTATATGTACGTTTTTATTAGTGTGATGTTCGTTACTACTTACACTCACACACATATATAATTATATATATATAAAAATATAAATTATAAATGTATACATATAGATGAATCTATTCTAGCTATTTATATATTTCTCTATAACATAGAGGGAATCTTTCCTGATTATAACGATTTAAATCATGACAAAAAAGATGTAAAGAACATTAATTAATTTATAGTAAATTGTTTACTAACGCAAAGATTCCCCGAAAAATTGGATAAATTGAGATAAATTATTAAAATTTTAATCATGGCAATTGATTTTTCTTTATAAATATATCATTGTTAAAAAAATATACATTGTTAAATAAATATTAACATAGATTATATAAACATTTAAGCCTACTGAACTATTATAATTTTAAACGTACAAAAATACATGAGCCTTCAGAAGATTATCATCACATTTTGTATTACATTATTACTTTGTAAACTACTTATAAATAAGTTCATGTTCAGTAGAATGAAAAATTAACTATCTAACAGATGGTATTTAAATAAAGATGACTATTCATGCATAATAAATTGATAATATTTTTAATGATTACCTTTATTATCAAATAATTGATGATTACAGCAATTCTGCAGTAAAAAAATATCAAATTCATTTTTTCATATTTACATTTATACAAATAGATGTTCTTAAACATTCTTTCTTTCTCTTTTAAATTTACTCATAGGCCTTGTGGCATTCTTGTTTTCACTTTTTTGACTCGTTTCACGTATATCATGGACAATCTAAGAAAATTTATATTTGTGAAAAAATTATAAATTTTAGGCATAATTTTATTAATTATTGAAGTTTTCAAAAATTCTTACCTCTGAATATATTGATCTACTTTCATTTGTATCTGGTAACTGATGGTTATCAGGTAGACTAACAGATTTATTTATTGATGTGTTATTAGAATTTGACTTCTTTAAAATAGAGACTGGCATACTGAATACATTAAATATGTCTTTGGGACTATCAATTTTATTGGGATTATTTTCGAATACTGGTGCCTTTGACGAATGTTTAAAGTGTATTTTAATACCATGATCTGTATCATAACTGTCATCGCAATAATTCTTCTTTTCTTTATCGACTATAATTGTTGCTTTATTTTCTTTATTACTGAGTATTGATTCATTCTTTTGTAAGATTTCTCCTTGTGTTTCTGGTTGTCTATTATCTGTTTTAATAATATTTTTTATTTCATCATCATCAAGCTTATCAATTTTTTTCTCAATAATTTGATTATCATTATTCCTGAAAACACAATCAAGCATATTATTTATAAGTTATATCATGTATCATAATTATAAATTGACAACAATAATTAAATTTTACATTTCTTTTCCTTCTAGAATTAATTCTTCCAATTCTAGTTCATCTAGCCTTTTGTTAATTTCATCATCTGATAAAACATTCTGTGTTTGAGGAGTTTTGGAATGTCCTTGCATTCTAACTTTGTGTTCAGCTAAAAAAATAGGTTGCATTATAACTTACTTCAAGTAAAACATCTTATAAATATTAAATAATTTACCTTTCCACTTTTCTAAGGATTCTTCATCCCAATATTCTTCAATTGGGGCACCTTGATCAAAATTTTCTTCACCTTGTGATTCCATAGCTCCAGATTCTGCTGCCAGGGACAACTGCTTTTTTAAAGATTCATTTTGTTTTTCAAAATCTTTTAAAGCATCAACAGCACCTTCAAAATTAATTCAAAGTGATTTAAAAAAAAACTTTTAAGCATCAATGATAAGAGAATAATTATGCAATAAAATTATTTAAAACACATACGTTTGATTTTCCTTTGAATTAATTCTATAGTTTGTTTTTGGCTGTATTTTCCAAAGTACTCATCACCAAGTAAAGCAAGAAGTTCATTTGTATGAGTTAATTTTCCTTTAAAAAAAGCTAATTTTCCCATAGGAACCAGACAATCAACGGACAGTTCATTACCAAATTGTTGTAAATTTTTTATAACTTCTTGGTGGCTTGCTATGTATTGATTCAAGTTATGAATATGTCGTTCATTTTCTTGAATATTCTAATAAAAAGAGTTTATTTATTTTAGTAAAACTTTATTTATATTATAAATTATATTATAGTAAACGAGTAAAATTACCTTGTGAAACATTTGCTGAAGTAAAAAATCTTTATACTTTGTAATATCTTGCGCACTCATGATTATTTAGGTAAAATCAAATTGAAATAAGAGCAATATTTACAATTCCACAATCAAGTTGACGTAATCAGGTTATGATCGGTCTACTGACAGCGAATCAGTCGCCGCGTGCACCAGTTGCTTGTGCTTCGTTAGGGACATTTAAATTGTGGTGCTGCAGCACTATTTCGTGCACATGGATTGGATATGCCTAGTGCCTATGTGCAGTGATATACACAAATACAGCGTAGTGGGGGTCACCTGTTATGTGTAGCATATGCGTCAATAATAACAATAGTAGACGGTCAATCATAGGCAAAGCCCCTACTTCACTGGAATTAGGCTTTCTAATTGTTACCGAATTTAACGATACCGACTGCATCATTACTGTGCACTACCCCTAATGGTCGTGTACTTACAGAAGCACCTTATTCGTTGGTCATGATGGCAAAATATGAGCTTTTAACTATAAAATATTCTTTTTATCGGATCTTTGAAAGAATTGAAAGTTCATGAACGTTTTCGAATTTCGTTGAAAAATTCTATCAATATTGAGGCTTATGTGCTAAGATAAAATTATCATTCAACAACGTAGAGAAAAGTAGAATAACGTTTTTATGAGAAATAAGTTGCATTTATTTATAATTGCTGTCATTAAAGGATGAAGCCTGCGTAATTGTACTGATAGAAATTGATTTTTTGTCAAACGATGAAAATAAGGCTATATCAAAGTAAAAAACGGTGCCATTTTTGCGCATACCATTCAACATAATATGTTAAAGCAATAAATTATCCATCAATCTTCATTAAAACGAGCCAATCATCGGACTATTTGACAATCTCGTAAGCTCACACGGTGTTAGAAAAATCGCCGTCTTGAAGAATATTTCCTCGAATAAACCCATGAGAAGACGGAGGTCATCATCGTATTAATAGATTCAGCTTTAGCGAAAGTAACGAATATAGCATTGCTGATAGGTTGTTTGCTAGTATTAATAAAGTTGGCCTAGTCGATCATCAATAGTCCGGTACATAACATTGGCCACGCGAATTTCCAAAATCGTCGAAAGATTTTCAACTGGTTAATTATCGGCAACGCGTTGGCCCGAGGCAGTGAGCTACAACGAGTCTCGGTGCAAGCACAATAATTCGGCGTACGTGCTTTAAACCCGTCAAGCTGCCTGCAGTGTCGTAACTTTCAAGCTGTGCACATTTTTTAAAATAGTTTCCGCCAGTACTGCAGGAGAAAAAAAAAACGAAGAAAAAAAAGAGAAAAAATCCGTGCGCGACCGTACACGCAGAGTAGCGAAAAAAAAACGAGTGAAATTCGCGTGTGTCCGTTTCTCGGCGTGACGTACGGTTTTGTTTCTCAACCCTGAACTCGCAAGAAAAATAGAGTGCTGGCGCGTGGTCAGATCGTGGAGTAGATGCCGAGGCACAGTTGACGTTTTGCAAAGATGCATCGATGCTCCATACTGTTGCTATGAAGCAACAGTCGGTCTGCGAGAAAGTTGAAATTCAACCTGCTCTTCTGTCAAAATGTGCCTATGAAATTTAATTCCTGCCGTTGTTTAATGTGTTGTTATCTGTGAGAATATTAGTGTTCCAAAGATTACTTTTGTGCAGTTGAAATTCGAAATCTTTTAAAAAAATTTAAAGTTGAAATTCATGGCTGTAATTTGATACTACTTGAAAATCATCGCTCTCAAATTATAGTAGCTGAGCCTCGACGAAAGCTCAATGATGTTACAGCATGTGTAAAGCGTGAAAACTTACAACGATAATCTTTTAGCCGTCGTCGCTCGCAGTACCTCAAGCTTTCAGCAATTACAGCACCCAGCGACATAATGGCCGAAAATCTATCGGACAAAGGTACATTTAATTCCATACTATTGCATATTTTACCTATATTGATTCAAGTTATTACAATCTTTTCTTCGTCTATCAAATTTACAATGTGTACATTACACGTTTATTTAATTCATAGATGCGATCCGGAATTCGCAAACTTCGAACGTAAGTTGTTAAAAAATAAAAGAAAACCTTTAAAACCTCGAATGAAGTGTGCCAGAATTGCAATTAAAATTTGCGCGCAACACGAAAGATACGAAAATACCAAATTAAACAACAACATCGACTCCGACACATTCATGTAGACTTTTCGTTACTTGTCTACCATGCTTTAGCCGACTTTTTCTCTAACCATCATTCGCTTATTCATGTTAAAATACCTGTCATCTAAAAATATACCATTGCGATCAAGAAGCAGAGTGAGCCCCGACGGCGAGCTTCGTTTGATCAAGAATTACAAATTATGTGGATGAATAAAAATCATCGGCAATACACGTTCATTTTATCTTTTAATCAACTTAAAAGATCTCATCCGAGTGGAGAATTTCAATAGATACTCGATATTTCTTGAGCTTTCTTGGCATTTGTCAAAAAATTCTCTTTTCAACAGGTTACTCGAAGGAGTGTGACCTCTCGAAGAGATGTCCTTAGAGCAGGACATTTGGAGTCATCGGTTCACGTGAAATCCATAAAAAGTACTGTGGCGAGCGCTGCTGTGGAAATGCAGTAAGACATTTTTTTTACAATAAATTCAAGTTCACATCGATTATCAATGACGTGATCAATGATTTATTTTATTCAATTTTTAAAATTTTTAATTGTATATTTCAAATTTGCTAAAATTACATTTGCTACGAATTAAAAAATTGGGCCTGAAGCTTTTGTTGCAATCTTAAAAAACATATTTTAAATTTTTGTTAATTTATTCCAGAGCGATTGTTAAAGAACTTATAGAAACCGAAGTCGAATTTGGGCGTGACATAAATTTGGTTGTGGAACGCTACGTCAAGCCACTCGACAATCCAAATGTTCCTGCTGCAGTAAGGGATAACAAACAAACAATTTTTACAAATTTTCAACAAATAGCCGATTTTCATAATACGTAAGATATTTTATTGATAACAATTGAAACTGTTATTTGCCAAAAAAATATAAAAAAATAGGAAAAATTTATCGTTCATTTCAAAATAGGGTTTTGATCGAGGGTGTTAAGTATTATGCTGACCAACCGAATTTGTTAGGAAAAACGTTTTTACGATTGGTATGTGCAGTCAAACTTTGAATTTATTCATAAAATTTTTGATTTACTATAAATAATTAAATTGTTATATTGATAATTCGCTTCAAGGAAAGGGACTTTGATAAACATGTAGCTTATTGTAGAGATGAAGTTGTAGCTCAAGAATTATTGAAGAACAACAAAGTGATTAGCGAGTATTTTGAGGTAAGAACGTTTTTGGCCATATTATTATTTATAGAGTATTAGAACGATTAAAAATGTTAAACATAATATAATCCGTATGTGTAAACATGAAATATCAAAGTTACGGATTGATGATACGTCACGTGTATAATAATCACAAATTTACAGTAAATCTATACTTAGTTTAGCTTAATGACGTCACACCTATATTTTAATTTGCCAAATTCCATTTATATTTCTTGAATGAATAGAAAAATATAAAAATACTTGTATCTGCATTTATTTACTTTCTGAATGACAAACGAATTGATGTAGTGAAATTTGTTTTACAAGGTGCCAGTCAGTTAAAAATATTCAAACTATAATATTTTTGAAAATATATAATATCATCAACCCACATACCTCTATTCATGAAGTCAAGAATGATTTATTATTTATTTACGTTAGAGGCTTATCGATGAAAAACGCAGTCTTTGCCTCGTTCATTGATGAATCTCTACTCAATTATAATTTTTGAAAATACTACAACCATTTGAATATATGAAATTAATGTTAATAAGGGAAACTTTATCAGAAAAATCGATGAATTAAAGCGTATGTTTTTACATTTTTTATACTTAAGACGATGTTTTCTGAAAAGAAACTCAAAACAGTGGTTCTTTTTTTGGTAAAACGACAAGAAAACGATAGAAGATTAATTTCTGATCGCCCTAAAAATAACTTATCGCGATAAAAGTCATGGTATTATTTATTTGGGTGAATACGTTAATAGTTGAAGTGACGTTTAATTTTGTCAGCAAAACTCGCGGTCAACGCAACTTTCTAGCTTAATTTAGATCGGTCGAAAACCCTCTCCCTATTTTCTTTTTCACTTATTTGCCCCACCACCTACTGAGCTTTTCTTAGCGTTGTTATGTTTCTATGTATTTTTTGTGTAACTCACTTTACCTTGAAATTAAATTAATAGTCATGAAAAAAATTTAACGAAAATTAAGACCGCTGACCCAACACTTGTTCTGTGGGATTATTAATAAAGATCATTTGGTAATAAAAATTTGTTGCTCTAGAGTAGGGATGTTTCCATCCGTTAACTTGTAGACGTAGAAAAGAAAATAGAGATGGTACAGTCTGTTTTAAACTATGGTGGCGTCGTTCAGAGCTATTCGGTGTTTTTTCAGAGTTTAACATTATCAGTGAAATGATAGATACATTTTTTTTTACAAATTTTTGAAAACTTCAAACGAAATGTATTTTGATGATAAGATTTAAATCGATAATCAAGGCATTTTTAGGTGGTAGACAAGTGCTTAGTAAAACAGTGCATTTTTTTGTGAATTTAAAAGGTAAATTTATCAATAAGTATGTTTAGTGTTCTAGCGTAATTTTTGACAGTGCATTAAGTCATCAGTATGAATTAAATGATACGAAAAATATCAAAAAATATTTATGCATCATATTTATACGTTTGTTAAAAATAGACATTTATATCCGTTATTTTCTGAAACTATGCCAGAAGTATATACAGATATACATGCTAGAGCTAGAGCTTCAAGTTTTAATGTGACGAGCTGTGAATCATAATGTTTAAGCCACAAATTAAATAAAAATTCTTGACAACTCTTAGTTGTATAACTTGTAATTTAAATATTTATAAATTAATTCCACTAGTTAAGTCAAAACATAATTGTGAGAAATTTTTTTTAAGGATCTAAGTAATAAACTAGGAGATGATAAGAGTATATCCGAGCACCTGAAACTACCTATACAAAGAATCAACGACTATCAGCTTCTATTAAAGGTAAAAAAGTGCATGGCTTAACTACTAAGAAAATTCAATTTCGATTTTTCAAGCTCGGGAGCTTTTTGTAATTTTTCCAAGCAATAGTTATTTTAGTTATCAGCGTGAAAAGGCTAAAAGATATAATGAAGTACCAAAGTTAATTACACATTGTTGTAACCTTTTCAGGAACTAGTTAAACATTCGATTTCTTTAAAAGAGGACAGTCATGATTTGCAGAAGGCTTTGGAATTGATGCTTGAAATTCCTCACCGAGCTTCTGATGTTAAATTTATAAGTAGCATTGAAGGATATAGTGGTAATATCCACAAACTTGGTAGATTATTAGCTCACGTTAGTATAATTGATTTTTGATTATCTGCCCGAGTTTTTGAAATTATGGTTAAAATAATGATGGGTTTATAATGTACAGGAATGGTTTACAGTAACTGATAAAGAAGGCAAAGCAAAAGAAAGATATCTATTTCTTTTTAAATCTCGTATCCTTATTTGTAAAGTACGACGTATATCGGAAGACAGATCTGTTTTTCTATTAAAGGATACACTCAAAGTAAGTCGGAGAACATAAATCTTTTTTTATATCAATTTCGACGGCACATTAATTTGTCTGTCTTGACTTATGTGCAGGTACCCGACGTTAAAGCTATAGACGCGCCCGATGACAAATTCGCGTGGAAATTGATCATCTCAGACGACACGAATACGAAAGAAAAGCAACAGACGCTATCGTTGACTGCGCACAAAGAAGACGTCAAGTCATTTTGGATCGGTGAAATCGGCAAAATTGAAGATATTTCGGTGGTTGATGCTGCTGCTGCCAGTCTCGTGAAAACTAGCAACGCCATGTCCCACTCTGACAGTCGACTTGTCGAGGGGGCCAAAATAGTCGAAGGTATACATACTATGTCTAGTTAAAAAGTTCAAATGCATAAAATTCAATCCACCGATTAAATGAACGATTATATTTATAGAAATGTCTTTCGCGGCTTCGTCGAGCAGTAAAATTGGAACTGAAATATCGTCTTCCTACATGATGAGTTCGAAGACGCAAGAATTCATGGCTAGTAAAACTACCATCGAAACGAGTAGGTCAGAGCTGAGAATGGAAAGCTCCAGCTCTCAGATGGAGTTGCAGTCTGGCGAAAACGGCAAACCACAGTTTGAAAAAACGATCGAAGGTTGCCAAGTCGAACGTAAGTAGGAGACATTTACGATCGGAATGATAAACAAAAAAATACACCATGTGTTGCATACAACTGTGATTTCAGCTGGCGAGTGTGCCGCATTCGAATGCGTTTTGAAGCCCAATCAAAGCCCAACGAGCATCTTATGGCTCAAGGACAACAAACCGATGAACGACAAACTTGCCGACCGCGTAAAGACCCAAGCCGATGGTCGTACCTTCAAGCTGGAGGTTGACAATGTCATGGAATCGGATTCCGGCATTTACATCGCGAGAGCTGCAAACGAGCACGGTCAAGCTACCTGCACCGCCCAACTCTATGTTCACGAGCGTACGTTTTTTAGCGTTGTTTTTGGCATTTTAGAAATCCTCTTAGCTTGAGATTTAACGTTTTTTAGTGAGCCTCGAAGAGAAGAAAGCTAGAGCGGATGCTAATTCGCCGACTTTCCTCGTTCGCTTGAAGAATACTGAGATATTGGAAAACACTTATCTACGTTTCATGATCAAAGTAAAGGGTGACCCCAATCCTGAGCTCAAATTGTGCGTAACGTACATTTAATATTCAAAAGCTAACACAAACAACATTTGATGATTCATGCTGTCTATTTAAATATTTAGCTACAAAGACGACGAGTTGATTGAGCCGAGCAACGAGCGCGTAAAAATCTTTTCCGACAAAGCGGAACATGGCTTTTACGAGATCGTCATACCCAATGTTCAGCAAAAAGACGCCGGCAAGTATACTTGCAAAGCCATCAATCGTTTTGGCGAGGCTTCGAGCGAGGCTACAGTCACTGTGACCGACGAAAAAGTCATCTTCGCGGGATTACCCGAGGGCTCCTACGAATTGGGCACCGATCCTAAGTTCATTTGGACCCGAGATGGAGTGCCCTTCGATCCGGAGGAGAGATTCAAGGTCCTCTTCAAAGACAGCGAGGATACCCTTGCGCTCGTTTTTCAACACGTCAAGCCGGAAGACGCCGGTTTGTACACGTGTGTGGCCCAGACCAGTACCGGCAATATCAGTTGCAGTGCCGAGCTGACCGTTCAGGGAACGGTGAATCAGTTGCTAAAAGAACCAGCCAAGCCGACATTAGAGACGGAATCAAAAACATCGGAAGTCAGCACAGGAGGATCTGCTATGTTGGATCTTCAGGTACGGGCTGGCAAATATTCATTTTTAATAACGCGTCGACTTATCCATGACCATTTTACAGGTAAAAGGTTTTCCAAAGCCAAACATCAAGTGGACAAAGAATGGACAAGAGATACTGGCTGGCGGCAGGATAAAGTATCTTTGGGAGGACGAAGAGTCTCTGTCGTTGGTCATCAAAAACGTTACGGTCGAAGACGCCGGCATTTACAAGATTTACGCCAAGAACGAGCTGGGCGAGGATAACACTCAAATAGAGTTGATCGTTAAATCTGCGCCCAAAATCATTAAGCGTATGAGCGATATGTCGGTACTTCGGGGCGAAACCGTCAATATGGCGGTGCAGATTCAAGGCTCCCCTGCACCCAACGTCAGATGGTACAAAAACAATCAGCCTATAGAAAAATCGAGTAGAATCAAGTTCGGCGTCGAGGGCAAAGACACCTATACGTTGACCATCAGCGACGCTTGTTTGGACGACGTTGCCTCCTATTCGATCGTAGCTAAGAATGAAATCAATGAAACGTCGCAATTCTGGAAGTTGTCGGTGAATTATCCACCGAAAATAACGACTCCTTTGAAAGATTTCCAACTGATTGAAGAAGGAGATAGCTTAACTTTGAGCATCGAGATACAGTCGGACTTTGAGCCTACTGTGACTTGGAAAAAGGACAAAAAGATCGTCGAGGCAGACGACCGCGTGACTTTGCTGCAAGACGGAAACAAGTACTCTTTGCAAATCAGCAAGGCAATCGATACCGATACAGCCTCTTATACGGTCGAAGTGAAAAATAAGGACGGTAAAGTCAGCAGCACTGGCGCGATTCAAGTAAGCGACTCGTATAACTCTACTCTTCTGCTGGGTTCTCGGCGATTTAATTCATTTCATTTTTATTGCAGGTCCGTTCAGCTCCGCTATTCCGTAAAAAGTTGGAAAATATCGTTGCCACGGAACTGCAAGCGAATATTGAATTGGTCACGCAAATCGAAAGTTTTTCAAAGCCCGAAATCGCGTGGTTCTACCAAGCTAAGCAAATCACCGAGGAAAGCAAAGAATACACCATGGTCGAAGATGGCAATAATTACAAGTTGATCATTAAAGCGGCAAAAGTTGAAAATGCCGGAAAATATACGTGCAAGGCTAAAAACGAAATTGGAGAGAGCAATACCTCGGCATCGTTGGTCGTTCATTACAGACCAAAACTGATTAAGAAATTGTCCGATCAGAAGGTCAAAGAAGGCGACACGATGAAGTTGTCTGTTCAAGTGTCTGCCGTACCGGAACCAGAAGTCAAGTGGTACAAGGACGGTCAAGAGGTAGTAGCGGATACGGATGCTCGAATCAAGATTACCAGGGACAGCAAGAGAATTGAAAATTACGATTTAACTTTGAATTTGCTAAAAGGAACTGACGGTGGTGTCTATGAAGTACGCGCCTCCAACGAATTAGGATTCGTCAGTAGTAAGAGCAAAGTCATCGTTCTGAGTAAGTATATATTTATATCATCACAGTCACTATTCGGATATATGTCACGTTTCCCAAAAATTTACCGATTTTAAAAATCCTATAAATGTGATTCAACTCCTTCCATTTAAAGCGCATACCGAAGATTCCGAGATCGACAGTGCCAAAAAAGTTGAGGAAGTCCCGCAACAGGAACCTAAAAAAGCAGAACCTGAGTGTATGTGAATGTATTTCCGTCGTCAATTTTAAACATTTAATTCAAACCGCTTCCGCTCTGTGTTTTTGCGTACTAATTAAAGTGTGTATTAACGAAATTGCTTTCCCTAAAATTTATTAGGTCATTAGAACGTCTACAGCTTCGCAAGCATCGATTGACCATGATTTCAGCAGTTTTCAGCTTTTTTTTTAACAGAATATTGGCTAAACATCACGATAAACGTCATGAAAGCTGATAAATAGTTATAATCCTTTTTAAATTTATGACACAGTGTTTTTGAAAATAAATTGCTTTATTCGTGTAATCACAAATTTTGGCAACGTTTCGACAACTAATTTATAGTCTTTAAGTACACATTAGATGTAGAAAGACCACAAATTAGCGGACGAAGCTTGGCTTGAACTTTGTGTCACACGAGCGTAGACGTAACGATTTATAATGCAGATCAAGAGATTTTAAAACAAAGGCTTTTTTACATAAATTTTTTTATATAATTAATAAAACCGCTTATGCTTAATTTTATGTCTTTCAAGTAGAAAGTTAATATTGCGATTGATTTTATAGCATCTCCGGTTATCATCAGCTCGAACTTGGAGGATCGAGACATTTACGAAACGCAAAGTACAGATTTCGAAATCAATGCTACAGGTCTGCCTAGACCAGATGCGAAATGGTATAAGGATGGAGAACCTCTGAGAACTTCAAAAACAGTGCAGTACTCTAACGTAGGGGAAATATTTACTTTGACCTTCACAAAAGCTATCGAGGCAGATTCAGGATTGTACAGCTGCATATTCACAAATAAACTGGGAGAAAAAATGGTCGAAGGCTTTTTGAACGTCGAGCCGGTTGACGAGCTCAGAAGACCAAAGATAATTGAACCCCTGAAAGACGCCGACACCGACGAGGGAACGACCGGAGTATTCAAGGCCGTAGTTACTGGCGATCCAGTTCCTGACGCTGAATGGTATACACCTTGAAATAATTCATTTTAACTTTTGAATCTTAAGTATTAATGTTTTTTCTGCGTGTCTTGTTAAGGTATTTCAAAGACAAGCTCATCGACTCCGAGTTCAAGAGACACACCGCTAAAGTTGAAAGCGAGCAGATCGAAGACGCACTGAAACGATGCACTTACACTCTAGAAATTGCCGAGTGTAATCCCGAAGACGTTGGAAATTACACGCTGAAAGTCACCAACAGCTATGGAGAAGCATCGTGCAACGTAAGCTCTAATAAATGAGGTTTTTAGGTCAGCGGCGAATCATGTCTCAAGTTTTATTTAATTTTAGGCTGACTTGGACTTGCGCATCGTGCCGATCTTCGAAGAATTCAAAGATCTAACGGCTCCAGTAGGCGAGCCTCTGGTTTGGGAGGCAACTATCAAGGCAAATCCAAAGCCCAAAATCACCTGGACGTACGATGGAGTGGACGTTACCGAGAACGCAAGATTTTCCACCGAAGAAGATTACAAGAAGAAGAAGTACCAGCTGAAGATCAAGGAAGTGGAAATCAAAGACAGCGGACACTATACGATCATAGCGTCCAATGAAATGGGCGAATCTAGCCAAAAGGCACATCTCAAAACGTTCGGTAAGGATACGCTTGCCTATATGATTTACAATTCAACACGACTGCATCATTATTAATTTTTTTTTTTTTTTTAATTACATCAGTTGAAGCGCCAGAGTTTACGAAATTGTTGAAGAACTTTGAATCCGTTCGAGATCAGAACAATTACGATGCCGAAGTGCGAGTGACCGGCTATCCTCGACCGACAATGACGTGGATGAAAAACGGCGTGGAAATCAAGGACGACATGAGAAACACGATCGTGACGAGCGTCGAAGGGCCGGAGGTCGTGAGCAAGTGGAGCATCGAGCACTTTGGCGAGTCCGACGCCGGCAATTACTCGTGCCAAGCGTCGAACATGGCCGGCTCCGTGGAGACCAAGTGCGAGCTCAGCTTGACTCGTTTCCCACCCAAGTTCTTCCAGAGCCTGCCACCCTCTCTGGATCTCGATCAGGAGGAGCCGCTCGAGTTGTTCGCCAAGTGCGACGGCAGCCCCATACCCACGGTCGCTTGGTACAAAGACGGCGAGCTCATCGTGCCCGATGACCACGTGAAGATCGAGGTGTTGCCCGACGGGACGATGCGCTTGTCGATCGAACACGTCAAGCCGACCGATTCGGGTGCTTACAAAGTCGTGGCTTCCAATACCGGCGGAGACAATCCGTCGCAGTGTTCCGTAGCTGTAAAACGTGAGTATACTCGCATCCGACCTCTCCAAGCCATTTCTCAACTCGTAATTGAAAAAATGTACTTTTGCAGCCAAGTCGAGAAAGCCGTACTTGAAGAAGCCTCTGGGCGACGTAAAAGCGGTCGTCGGAGAGCCTCTGAAATTCGAGGTGCAAGTCGTAGCTTTCCCCAATCCACAGGTGCAATGGTTCAAGAACGACCTTCCACTGAGACCATCGAAGGACATCTACTTCAGCAACGATCCGAATGGTTTGCTCGGTCTATCGATCGATAAGCTACGCTTGGAAGACGCCGGAGTTTACTCGGTCGTGGTGTCCAACGATTTGGGAGAAACCGTTTCCGCTGCTACGGTCTCGGTCGAAGAGAACGAGAAGAAGCCCGAGTTCGCGGCGACTTTGCAACCGATGAAGGTGGTCGAAGGATTCCCGGCCAAGTTCCAAGTGAAAACCCTGGGCGTGCCACCTCCGAGTTTGTCCTGGATGCACAACGGAAAAGAGATCGTTCCGGACGGCGAACACATTAAAATCGTCGACTTGCCCGACAACGGTCAAGCTTTGTTGATCGACCGCGTGGGCGCCGAGGACGTCGGCGAGTTCGAGGTCGTCGCCAAGAACAGCCAAGGAGACCAGTCGTGCAAAGCCAAGCTCGAGATCGTCGATAAATCTCGCGCCGATGGACCCGAGGAGAAGCCCCAACTGCTCTCTACCTTGCAGGACGTCAACGTCGAGGAGGGCGAGCCCCTTAAACTGGAACTTTTGTACAGCGGAAACCCGGTGCCCGAGATCAACTGGACGAAGGACGACCAGCCGCTGGCCAACTCCGACAACTGCATCCTGAGCTGCGACGAGAAGAAGATAAGCTTGGAGATCAATCCTTGCAGTCCAGCGGACGCGGGCGTCTACAGCTGCGAAGTGCGCAATCCTCTCGGAGCGGACAAGAGCAGCGCCGAGGCGACCGTGCGCAAGATCTATCAGGCGCCGGTGTTCATGCAGAAGTTCACGGATCTCCAGCAAGCGCTGGGCAACGACGCGAAATTCGTCGCTCGAGTCAGTGGCAAGCCGATTCCGGAGATAAGCTGGTACTTCAACGACAAGCTCATCATTCCCGACGGCAACAAGTACAAAGTGAAGCGCGACGGCGAGACCTACTACTTGTACGTGAAGAATTGCTCCTACGACGACAACGGCAGCTACAGGTGTCGCGCCAGCAACAAGGAGGGTAAAGCCGACTGCGAAGCCACTTTGAAGGTCGTCGAGCTATTATCGTGAGTGCAAATTCTTTGTGGAACAATTTTTAGACCGTATGAAAGAAAACTTTTGGATAATTTTCTTGTGTTTTCTTTGGCAGAGACAAGAAGCAAAAGGTGGAGGCGCCATCGTTCCTGAAACGCGTCGGAGATTGCGAAGTTTACAAAGGCATGACGGCCAAATTTACCGCCTGTATCACTGGCTATCCGGAGCCCGAGTTCGAGTGGTATCGCGACGATACGAAACTCTGGCCCACCGATCGCATCCTCATCGAAGACGAAGGCGCCGGCTTGGTCAGACTCTCGATTTACCACGTCGACGAAGACGACGCAGCCAAGTATACGTTAAAAATATTCAATCCTTACGGAGAGGCCAAGTCCACCGGAGAGATGCTCTTCGAGAGTAAGTAAAATAGTTTTTGTCACGATGCAATCCAATCGTCAACTAATAATGCGTTATTTTTTTAGCTCTGGAGCCCCGTTCCAAGAGGCTCGTGGATCAGTACGCCGAGTACGACAAGTATCGGAAATCCGGCCTGCCCATGCCACTGGCCGAGCGGCCCATAATCAGCCGCATGATGGACCGACATCTGACGCTGTCCTGGAAGCCGTCGATCCCGTCGATGCCCCGGCTGCCCGTCACCTACCAGGTCGAGATGTGCGAGCTGCCCGAGGGCGACTGGTTCACCGCTCGCAGCGGCATACGCGGCTGCGTCTGCGACATTCGCAATCTCATACCCTTCCACGACTACAAGTTCCGCGTGCGAGTCGAGAACAAGTACGGCACGAGCGAGCCCTCGCCCTTCGCCCAGACCTATCGGGCCAAGCTCGAACCGGAGCCGCCCAAGTTCTATCCGTACCTGCCGCCGGGCATCGATTTTCGCCCCGAGACCAGTCCCTACTTTCCCAAGGACTTTGACATCGAGAGGCCGCCGCACGACAATTACGCCCAGGCGCCGAGGTTCTTGCGCCAGGAGTGCGACACCCAGTACGGCGTGAAGAATCAGAACTCCAAGCTGTTCTGGTTCGTCTACGGCTATCCCAAGCCCAAGATGAAGTACTACTTCAACGGCCAGCTGATCGAGTCCGGCGGACGATACGATTACACGTACACGCGAAACGGCCAGGCGACCCTCTTCATCAACAAGATGCTGGAGCGCGACGTCGGCGAGTACGAGGCCGTGGCCACCAACGAGCACGGCGAGGCCAGGCAAAGGGTCCGACTCGAGATCGCCGAGTATCCGAGATTCATCACTCGGCCCGAGGTCGTCTACGCCATGGTCAGGAAGAACGCCAAGATCGAGGCCAGGGTCACGGGGGTGCCGTACCCGGAGCTCAAGTGGTACAAGGACTGGAAGCCTCTGGCTCCGTCGACGAGAATAAAGGTAGGTCTTGACTTTTTTCCGTTGCGCGCGATCGTCATTTGGCTCGTAATCGTATCTCGTTGGAATTTCGCAGATCCAATTCGTCGAGCCGGACCTCTCGATTTTGACGATCGAAGACGTCATCATGAAAGACGCGGGTCTCTACTCGCTGTCGGCCATCAACGTGGCCGGCTGCGCGTCCAGCTCGGCCATGCTACACGTCGACGAGAACGAGGCCGAGTGGCGTTACAAGAACTACTCGACCAAGGACGACATCAAAGCTCGGCCGAGACCTCTGATCGAGGACTACGATCTGGGCGACGAGTTGGGCCGCGGCACCCAAGGCGTGACTTATCACTGCGCCGAGCGAGCCACCGGCAAAAACTACGCCGCCAAGATCATGCAGGGTCAATCGGAGCTCAGGAACTTGATGTTGAACGAGCTCGAGGCGATGAATAGCTTGAACCATCGCAAACTGCTGCGTCTGCACGATGCCTTCGAGACCGATCGATCCTTCACCCTCGTCATGGAGCTGTATGTATACTTTTCGATATACTCTCTCGAAATTTACTCAAATGTCATTAATTACTCGCGCATCGATTCAGTGCCGGAGGCAACGAACTCGTGGATAATATCACGAAAAAACCATTCTACACCGAGAGGGACGTTGCATTTTACGTTCGTCAAATTGTTGAGGGTCTCGATTACATGCACCGTAACGGATGGGCTCATCTTGGACTGACTGTAAGTTTTTTTCAGCAAATTTACTAGAACCGTGAGAAACATATAATAATTTGAATGAAATTCTAGTTGAGCGATTTATTGATATCCCACCCCGGAGGAGACGACTTGAAAATCGGAGACTTTGGTTTGGCACGAAGAATCGTGAGGAACAAGCTGATGACTCTGATGTACGGCATGCCCGAATTCGTTCCGCCCGAGGTGCCGAACGGCGAGGGCGTCGACTACGGCATGGACATGTGGAGTACGGGAATCATCACGTACATCCTCCTCTCGGGCATATCGCCGTTCCGAGGCATCAACGATCGGGAAACCCTCACAAAGATCAAAGAGGGCAAGTGGAATTTCGAGGACGAGTCGTGGACCGGCATCTCCGACGACGCCAAAGACTTCATCCGTAAGCTGCTGGAGTACCAATCGGAGAGGCGCATGGACTCGGAAACGGCCCTGCGTCATCCTTGGCTCAACTACGGAGACGGTGCCCACCTCGAGGGCCGCAAGATACCCTCGGAAAATCTCAAGAACTACTACATACACTACCGCGACTGGTACAAGAACGCCTCGTGCAGGACCTGGTACCGTAGACGTCGTCTGAGCAGTGCCTTCGAGCATCCCTCGAAGATGGTCTATCCGCCGGGACACAGATACACGCCCGAGAGGAGCCCCGAGCGCATCTACGTGCCCGAGAAGAAGACGCTGCCTCTGAGCACGTGGGAGGATCGCACGCCCTCGAGGGAGCCCATCGATACGGAAATAGGAATAATTAAGAGCGAAAGCCAGTGAGTATTTAGCAATAAACTACGTAATATTATCGATGCTAATTTGCTGCTTTTCAGTTATCAAAACGGACCTGACACGTATCTGCTGCAGTTGAGGGACACCGATTTCCCGGTGAGATTGCGCGAGTACATGAAAGTAGCCAACAGACGAGGCACCGGTTGCCCGAGGACTTTCTCCGACGAAGCTTACGACTGGAGGGTAAGGCACTCGTACGATTCAACGAACCCTCCAAGTTGACCATCTTTTTTTTCTCATCGTACAAACTTTAGACGCCGGTGATTCGAGAGAGACGACGATTCACGGACGTCATGGACGAGGAGATCGACGACGAGCGACGACAACGCATCAACCAGTACGGCAACATCGAGACGGCCGGGGGAATACGTCGGTTGCGGCACGAGCTCGGCACGCGCCTCGACAGCTACATCGAGGCCGAGGCCCTGCTGGAGAACAAGCACGCGAGCGGCCAGCCGCCGTTCCTGCGCGAGAAGCCCCAGCACCGACCGGTCCAGGAGGGCGAGGCCGCCCAGCTCTCGTGTCTGGCCGTCGGCGATCCCAAGCCCCTCGTCCAGTGGTTCAAGAACGACTGCCTCGTGCAGGAGAGCAAGCGGCTGCGCATCGAGGAGGACGCCGAGGGCCGCTCCATACTGGCCATCGATCCGATCCACGAGCACGACATCGGCCTCTACAAGGTCGTCGCCAGGAACAAGCACGGCCAGACCGTGGCCAGGGCGAGGCTCATCTGCGCCACGACCCCGAGCACGCCCGACGCTCCCGACTCCGCGGACGTCTCCGACAGCGAGATCCTGCTGCGCTGGAAACAGCCCAAGTTCGACGGCCACTCGCCGGTCCTCTGCTACTCGCTGCAGTACAGGAAGGGCGACGCCTTCGAGTGGCTCGACCTCGGCCAGAACATCAACCACGAGTTCTTCCTGGTGCACGATCTGCTGCCCAATACTAGTTATAATTTCCGCATAGCCGCCAGAAATCGTCTGGGCTGGAGTCAGTTCAGCGTCACGTCGCGCCTCATAAAGACCCGAGCTACTCAGGAGGAGGTGCCCAAGATCCAACTGACCAAGGCCATGAAGCTCCAGCAGCAGCTCATGGAGTCCGGTCAGCCAATCCCGGACGAGGAGCCGCGAGTCAAGCTGGATTACGCTTTGGAGCTGGCCAATCCCGTCTGGGACACTCAGACAAACATCTTTGACAAGTACAATTTCGTCTCGGAAATCAGTCGAGGACAGTTCTCGGTCGTGGCAAAAGCCATTGAACGGCCCAACGGCGCGATCGTGGCTGCCAAGATTTTCCAAGTCAATTCGGAAACCGAACAATCGGTCAAAGACGAGTTCGAGATCCTGGCCAAATTGAGACACGAAAGGATAGCGGTACTCGAGTCAGCCTACAACCTCCACGACAAATCGATGGCCATATTCATAATGGAGAGACTGCAGGGCGCGGATGTGCTGACCTATCTGTCGAGCCGGCACGAGTACTCGGAAAATTGCGTCGCCAATATAATCACGCAGGTGCTCGACGCTGTGCAGTATCTGCACTGGCGCGGAATCTGCCATTTGAACATTCAGCCGGACAACGTGGTCATGGCCTCCTTGAGATCGATTCACGTGAAGCTCGTGGACTTTGGCTCGGCGCGCAAAGTCTCCAAGTACGGAACACAGGTGCCAAAGGCACAGGTGCATCCGGAATACATCTCGCCCGAGGTCCTCAACGACGAACCCGCGTATCCGCAATCGGACATATGGCAGGTTGGAGTCTTGGCTTACGTACTTCTATCGGGAGTAGCGCCTTTCCAGGGGGAAAACGCTACGGAAACTAGGCAGAATATCTTGTTCGTGAGGTACCGTTTCGAGTACCTCTACAAAGAGCTCACTCAGGAGGCTACCCGCTTTTTCATGCTGGTTTTCAAACGCTGCCCGAGGTAAGTCGCTCGTACGCTAATGACTTTTTGCATCGATCCGACCTTTCTTCATTCGTTCGTTGATTTTTTCAGCAAACGGCCGACCGCCGAAGAGTGTCACGATCACAGATGGCTCATGCCGTCGGATTACATGCTGAGGAAACGAGAACGCTCGATATTCCTTGGAAATCGCTTGAAGGAATACAACGAGGCATATCACGCACAAAAGAGCGAAAAGGCGATACAGAGCGATTTTCCATACAACGCGCTTGGAGCACCGCAAAAGCTCGCTCGATCAACCAGCATAGTAGATGAATTACTCACGACATTCTAATACTTTCATACGAATCATACAATTCATTATATCTGCTCGATTCAGCTTTTTTCAATTTCAAATTTCAACTTTGCAACATTTTATCAATTCATCGCTCAAACTTTGTCATTTTTCATGTAGAACATACAAGTATGCCATAAGTTGCAAAATGCCTTCATAATAAAGTTTTAATTTATTCCAATGGAATATTGCAATTCATGTACCATTTATAATGTGCTGTGTAAAATTCAAATACGATTTTTTTGACTGTAAATATAAAAAAAATGTAAAAGATAATAACCAGTATTTGGACCGCAATGATCGAAATTATGGAAAAAAAATTTAGAAAGAATTAATCTAATGAAAAAATTACAACGTAATATTTCAAAATATGTAATAAGTTTATTTACCTACACACACCACACTCGCATCCACTCAAACAATCACACAAAAATACAATTATCACCATGTAATTTAACAGCTACAAGTATTCACAAATTTTTTACATTTTCCAACTATTCTCGAACGCCTTATCGAACGCCTCCACACATAAGCAGCAAAAACAAAAACAAAAAGGGTTATAAAAATAAACAAATATTTTTTGTAATGGTCACCAGAAGAGACGTCACTTTGAAATTCTTTCGGATTCCAATTCAAACTTTTTTGGGCACCAGATTCCTTATCTACTGTTTCTATCGAGTCAATTATAATCCGTCCGACTCGTCGTCGATTTAAAAAGTCAAATGACGTTAAAGCATCGTCACTTTCGGTGGAAACACTTTGTACGTTTGTGGCATTTTGAATATTGTACGCATATCTGTAATTGATAAACCTATTGAATCAAAAAAAAAATTTGCAACATCGAAATTTTCTATGCGTACCTTAAACGTCCTTGATTTATATGTGGCGTAAAGGCCACCGAATGTATTGGACATGCAGGAAGAGAGTTGTAAATATTAGCTCCCTTTGAAGGTTTCAAAACCTTACTGTGAATACTTAACCGACTGTCTTTTGAGCGTATTGGTAAATCCATGTTGTCCGAAACAACTGTATTATACTTGTGCTTTAAGCGTTCTTGTTCGTTAATAAAAACCGATGGAATACGCCCAGTTGTGGTATACTGCAGTATAGCATCAAGCATCCAAAAACAGCTCGCTAAAATATCAGTACCATTTTTATTAATTGCATATTCAGAGAAAAGTCAAGAATAAAATGTACATCTTCTTATATTTACGTTTGTGTTTACAGATAGCATCAAGACAACTCGAATCGCCATAAACGATGATTTTGCCTGACTGAAGCGAATCGTTTGACGTTTTCTCTTTAGTTTGAAACATTCCAAGAACAGGTTCATAAGTAGTTGTATGAACTGGGTATCCAGTCAGCAGCTCTTCTCCTAAATTTTTTAGGGCAGCGTGAAGAAGGAAGCCTTTTTCAGGAAACCTTTAATTATACAATAGGTTACGAAAAGTTACGATAATATTTAAATACATCTAAAATTCAAAGACCATACCTTATAATCCTCGTCCCAGATGAGAAATGTATAGGTGGGTATTCTCCCAAAAATAATTTACCACTTAAAACTTTTTCTCCAAAGGCGATACCCCAGTTTGGAAACAAAAGATCATTCAATGCAGGAATGTTGGCTCCTCCCGTATCTGGTATCCACCATTGCTTAGTGTTTTCGTCATAGATTTTTACCTTGTACATTACGGAGACATTATACCAATCGGCAAATACTATGACGGATAAGCCTTCTTCAACGTCTTTCTTTAATTTTTCTATTTCTTCGGGAAAAAATTCTTCCTCTGGGTCTACAATTAAGAGAGAACCATAATTCTTCGCGTCAAAGCATGTAAATGGGGTCCCTAGTACTTCTAAATAATAGCCTCCACTCCGTAAATGTTGATACAGATCTTTAAAATTTGTATGAATGTGATCTCCATTCCAATCTAAAGGTTCTTCTTTTCTTTCCAAATCGTCTCGAGGAAAGTATCCAGATGGGTACCTCAAATTGTGGTACTGGTCCCATAAAATGCGTTTTCTATAATTCAAGCAAAAATTTTAACGACTGCCCACATTTTCTCAAGTGAACAATAATGTGAAACTTACTGCCTTGGCGGAGTAGGTATGACTTTCACCTGAACCGGCAACCTTGCCGTGGCAGTTTTGATACCTTCGTACGTTTCCGACTGAACGACGACTTTAATCATTCCTAGGGTGAAAAACAAAAGATAAAAAAGTTTTATTAATAAAACTAATGGCGATTGTTAAAAACATTACTTGCCTTGTGCTACTCCTCTGTAATTTTTCAAAGATTCGGGAACAATTATAGCCACGGCGAGCCAGCCGGACCAAGGCCAAAGATGCTCGCTGTATGTTAAGGTAACTTGAATGTTCTCATCGCTATCAGCATTATAAGCGTGAGGATGCCAGGTGGCATATTTAACTTTACCGAAAACATCCAATCCATTAGTGATTGTTACGTTGATTATTGTCGGCATTCCCGTGTGGTACATGGCTTGAGTGCAATAAGGCCACATATATTGACATTCTGTTAAATCTATGTAGCTAGTTTAATTATATTTTGATTTTATTAGTATTCTAAAACAATTGATAAGTAAATTCATGAATATTTAAGACGATCACCTTGGACTAAGTGTAACTTTGGGAACGTAAGAATTCAAATAATTATAAGCACTCAAAAGATCCAAACGCCCAGCACCTTGCTCAAACATCCCAATATTCGGCAACTTCGTTGCTGTTTCCATCAAAGCTTGCTTAACGCTTGCAGGTGTTATCTTGAACGATATTTTTTAAATAAATGTCTAAAGAAATGTATAAATAAGTAAAAATGATCGTTTGTTACTTTATGATGAAAAGAACCATTAGGAAAGAGAAAAGCACTGGTTAATAAAGCTACAGCGCCTGTCACAACAGGACTCGCAACCGATGTACCCGACATGAGCCGACAGCCATGAGTCAAACTTGAACCACTGACAACCGATCCGAAAGTAACGAGATCGGGTTTAACTCTTCCATAGCCAGCTGGTAGTTCCCATGTTGTCATTCCGCGTGAAGAAAACCCAGCTACTTGATTATCCCAAGTTATACCTCCAACGCCAATGACATCCATTTGATCAGCCGGATTGTTCAAAGTTCTTTGAAATGAGAGTATTCAAATTGTCAAATATATTTTATGCTCATAAAAAAATTTTTAACGGCAGATGTAGTATATTTTTCCTCTTAGGAGTAAAAAACTGGAAAGTCGCAGAGCACATGGAATTTCGTCGAGGCGAAGCCGAGGCTGATATATTCCACATGGAGCACTCGGAGCACGTGGAATTTACCAGCCTTCGCTTCGCTTTATTAAAATCACACGTGCTTTGAGACTTTTTTTTCAATGCATGGGTACAAATTAACTTTTTTGAGAATCCACCAGTCTAAAATAAAATTTTGATTTTTCTCGGCGGAAGTAAAATGTTACTTTAGATTGGGGTGACGCAAAAAATTATGACCTTAGATGATAATTACCCGTAAATCGGTCCATCATTACCAATGGCTGAAATCATGATAATTCCATTTGCAGTGAGTTCCCAAACTTTATCTACAAAGGGCTGATCTAAAAAGTCTGGGCCACCAATGCTAAGATTGAGAATTTTGATTTTTAAAAGCATTGCATAATTGAAAGCATCCAGGAACCATGATGTATAAGATATCTATTGAAAAAATTTATTCTAGTTTTAAGAAACTATCATGCACATAGTTGATATTCCAAATAATTCATGAAGCTTGACTTACTTTAGAATTTGTAAATACTCTAAAAATGTACAAATCTACATCTGGAGCCAATCCTTTGCAACTTGGATATGAAGATGCAATGACGCCAGCTACAAAAGTGCCATGACCGAGTAAATCATTGAGAGTTTTTTCATTGGTCCAGTTAGTTCGTTCTTTTATATGTTTAAAATGTGGATGATTTGCAGCTAATCCAGTATCAAAAACTGCTACCTATAAATTTTGTTTAAACATGGAGGGATCAAATTTTTTATTAATTAAGAAATGTATGTTATCAACTTATACCTTAACACCTTTGCCTGTTATTCCTTTTTTCCACAGGGATTCTGCATGCAGTACAGTGGTAATTTTAGTTGATACTTTTCCAAATAATTTTCTATCAATATATTTTTGATAATCTTCAACTTTACTTCTTTCCTAAAAGTATGATGAACGAATAAAACTAAAATCTAGTCAACAATAAAATTGATAGTAAATTAACATTAATTCAACTTACATTATCATTTTCCTGTGTTGATTTTTCAAAAAATTCATTTTCTTTTGAATAATATTTTGGTTTTTTTTTAATTAATTTTTCTGGAGTTACTTGTTTGATTAATGGGTGTCTTTTCAAAGCATCCAAGATATCAACTTTATCTTCTTCAATTTCAATAATGTCAAAATCACTTGGATATTTTAAGGAAAAATTATTACGTTCTATTATCTTCCACTTCTGTGGTTGTGACTTAGCCAAGGCATAACTAATAAACTTTTCTCTTGCTTTCTTATTGTAATAACCTTTGAATTGAACAATATACTGATGATCAACATTTTCCGATGATATTGTATATTTTAAATTTATCAATGACTCTGTTGTATTATTGCACAATGTACCAATTACGTTTAATAACAAGAAATGTTGAACCAAAATCCAATATCCTACCAGTTTCATGCTAGATTTGTTTTGAGAAAATAAAAAAATAATTATTATCATATCAAAGTCAATAATGTATTAATTTTTCTAATGAACAAAATTTAGATTTGCACATTTATTTTTATTGTTTCTACATGTTCAATAATAATACCTGGTACTATCTCCTATCAAATTCAGTCTTTGTGACTAGTTCAATATATTTTTCTGATATATACGTCATAATAAATTTCTGCACAAAAATAATCTTCTGTCATTTTAAATATGTAAATTCATGTTGATCAAAACATCTTAATGAAAATTATGAAAAAGAACATTTAATCATTCAATTTTGAACCGAGTTCAATGACATTTTACTGCTCACAACATAAATTGTTTGTTTCGTTATTAACTAAGAAAGTTAATACCGAAAAACACGTTACGTATATAAATAATATCTACACCTAATGTTAGTAGTTGTCAATGCCAAACAAGAAATCGCTTCAACAACGTAAATTTAAAACTTCTGCTACGGTCCACGAGATAGGTCAATTCACGAGTCATGTTATAAAGTTATTCTACAATTTGCGTATCATTAAAATTAAAATGTTAAAATGTATCAAATAAATCAGAATAAGATGTACTACCTCTAACATTGATATAAAAAGTTGTTTCATTTTTTTTAAATAATTTATTATTTCAAATTTTGGAACTTTTTTCAATCTAATGAAACCCAGCTTTTTGAATTCACCGCTTACATTTGGCGTGAAAGTCTCGTTTCAAGTGTAGAATTTCCGTACCGTTTTCGGAGCCATGTGGAATCTCTATTCTCTGTCAAGCTGGGCTGGTGGACCTGTATATAAGAAGAGACACGTTTCACTGATTCTCACACGTATACGTGACCCGCACACAGTTACAAAGAGTGTGCTGCTTCTTAACCAATTTCTCTACTTCGTGGTGTCTTTTGGGTTCGAGCTAACGCTCCGTTTGTACATATTTAGCTACTACAGTTTTTCAATCAATTAACATCCAACAAAATGAGGATCTACAAGGATATTTTCACTGGTAAATATAATTTTAAATATGCTTCCTTCTTATTTAGTTATATATTTTTTTCTAAAATTACTCATTGAACCAATAATTTCCATTTCAAATATCGCCTCGTAATCTTTTTTTAGCCTCAAGTTCTACTTCACCACGTTTTTTTCAGTAGCATTCGTTGCTTCTTTTTTTAACTCTGACTCTTGTATAATAAAAAGCAGAATTGCACTTTTCCTAATTTTTAACATACTTATGTAAAAATCATTTTTAATAGTTGAATAGTATATTAAAGATGAGGTCCTTCGGAACCTCAAGTCCATAAGCAACCTAACCTATATTGTACGAAAGTTCGTTAAACTTTTAAATGCCACTAAGTACAAATTTTTTTTTAAATCAGCTGGAATACTGATATTACAGTCTAGCTAATTTAATTGATTCATTAACTGACTTTTGACAATTTTGAATGACTTATATTGTAATGAATTCCATATTTGGTATCATGTCTTGTGGTGAACATATGAAACATCATCTTCTTTTCCTGCAAAATGAGTTAGTTTTATCAATCTTGAGAATACTTTCTAAGTATATTTAAATAATAATATTGTACTGATGATTAAGATTTTTCAAAAATACATAAATTTTACAAATTTATTCATTTACAGGTGATGAGATGTTCTCTGACACCTACAAAATAAAGCTTGTCGATGATGTCATTTATGAAGTCTATGGCAAGCTCATTCAACGTAAAAATGGCGAAATTGAAATCGCTGGATTTAACCCATCAGCTGAAGAAGCCGATGAAGGAACTGATGAAGCAGTTGAATCTGGAGTCGATGTTGTTTTGAACCACAGACTGCAGGAGAGTTTTGCCTTCCATGACAAAAAATCCTACACCCTCTACTTGAAAGACTTCATGAAGAAGTTGGTGGCTAAACTAGAAGAAAATTCTCCCGAAGAAGTAGAAGTATTCAAGAAAAACATGAACAAAGTCATGAAAGAAATCTTGGGCAGATTCAAAGAATTGCAGTTCTTTACTGGTGAATCAATGGACATTGATGGCCATGTTGCTCTTATGGAATACCGTGAAATCGATGGACAATCTGTACCAGTGCTCATGTTCTTCAAACATGGACTAGAAGAAGAGAAGTTCTAAATAAATTTATTCAAATTGAACAATTATGCATTATTAATTGATTATATTTTTGTAAAAACCGATTTTTAATTTTTTAACCAACATTGTGTTTTGAATGAATTTTGAGTTCATAACACATGAATACAAGTCTGACTGTGAATGAAGAAAATTGGTCTTTATAAATGGTATATATTAAATTGTAACCATCAGCTCAAAGCATTTTAAACCGAATGTTCTTATTGTTTATCAGAGCATTTGAACCGTTATTGTTTTTATTTTTGAAAGAACAGATAAGATTTTTTAGTTTTTGATAAATGTAAATGTTGTACCAAGTTTTAAAACAAAAACTGTTTATAGATATCTCATAATAAAACTTTTTTGCTGATTATTAAATGTGCTAATATTTTTCAACCGACTAAGTTTTTAATATACATTCTTAACTTATGAAAAAAGAAACTGTACTCATAAAACAAACTTACAAATTTTTATTAAATATAACTAGAAGTTTTTCTCAAAGATATAAACTTATTTGGAACTTGATTAAGTTAACAAATATGCCATTATTTTAATATAATTAAAGTAGCAGTCAATCCAAAGGTTGCATCAAACTTGAAAAACGAATATTTCTCATTTTGATTGAAACCATTTTATTTGTTTGGGAATGCAACGTTCAATGGAACTCGAGCTATGTAAGTGGCAAACGGTGAGCCAAGCCACAAGTACTTGTCGTGAATAAATGCCGAGCTGATTCCGCCAATCTTTCCATTCGTAGTGTAGGCTGCGTCGAGTATCTGACCGGCTTCGTTGATTTTTAATACGGTTACGGTCTTGGGCGTTATAAACATTACGCTCTCGAAGTTGCCCAAAAAGTGCACAGCTTTCTCAGCGTAGTAGTTGGGGTAGTAAGTCTGAAGTAATTTGAACGGCAGCTCCAACAAGGCCAAAAGTCTCGTCAGCATGCGTCTGATGTAGGGATGAGGCATGAGCGATTGGTGCAATTGTGGACGTTCCTCGTCCGCGTAAACGATCAAGCTGACGAGGAATCCCTTGTTGTTGTCCGAGTGGATATTGTCGGGTAAGCCCGGTAGGCCCTCGATGAAAATTTCGTGCTTTCCGGCTTTGGGCCCTTTGATGTTGTACTTGATGATGCGACTGTTGAGAGTCTCTGCCACTACGACGAACTTCTCGTCGCTGCTTAGTAAGAGTCCGTTAGCGAAGCCCAAATTGTGCACCAAAACTTGATTCTTCTTCGTTGCTGCTTCGTAACGTATGAGCCTGCAAGAAAAATTATAAGCCACTGGTATTGAAAAAAATGTTATACATCATGAGCAAACACCGACCTTCCGGAGGGATCGGACAGCATGGTAAAAGCCCCATCTTCGATTTTAAAATCTGCACTCGAGTCGGTCCAGTAAATGTCCCCGTTGCTCGCTACATCTATGGAATTGACGATACCCGGATAAATACCTTCGATGGCAGTTTTACTATCGACGATGGTCTCGTACTTTCCAGTCGTTACGTTGACTTTGAAGATGCCGTAGTAGGCGTCGCAGACGTACAAATTGCCGCTCTTGTCGAACTTCAAGCCCAAGGGCCTGCCGCACTTTGACTCTTGGTGTATTCCATCTGTTGAGTGCAATGACACGATAATTCATATAGGGTCTTGGGCTAGGCGGGTGCGCTAGTCGCGTTCGTTCGAGCGATTTTATGCGCTTTATCGACCAAACAATTGGGAAAGCTCGTGCCGAGCGATTCTCGAGGCAGACATCGGCGCTGACGCGTACGGCTTCGATCGACTAGAGCGTTGATGAGTAATGTTTATTTATGGACTTTTAACCCCAGTCGTCGGTTTTGCGATCATCGTACATGGCCATTGGACAGACGCGTTGGCCCAGGTAATGAACAGTTTACACGACTTGGCTTGACATATAGTGTGGCACAGTTTTTTTTAGTACGCGCTCATGTAGTTAGTTAACTTGTACTTACCGCAATCCTTTCCGAACTTGACGATCGGTATCAGTTGATTGCCGACGATTTTAACGACGTAACCGCCGTGAACTCCGGTGTAGAGCTCGTTTTTGTACGAGGCGAACGACTCGGCGCCCTTGACTTTTCCCTCGAAAAGTACTTCCGGATTGTTTAATCGCTCGTTCAGTGCGAGCCTGCCAGTCAATTGTTTTGGTTCGACGATACTGTGTAATGACAAAATAAATTCAACTAGAGTAAGATCGATTGTTTTTTAACATATAGTCATTGACGCGATTTATTCATTGTTTATTGCATCGACTTTCATATCGGGCGATATGACAAAAAAATCAAAACGTCGGAAACGGCCACACGAAGTGACTTGCGAAATTTCAATTTGATTTGCATATAATTTTAAGCCGATAGCTGCGCAAAATGAGAGGTTACTTGGCCGATTTGAATCTCGATCAAAATAGTTCCGTCGAGTAACTGTATTGTAAAGCTCCTTTGAACTTGGGTGATCAATCTGTGCAATACATTGTCGCAAACAACACGTATCTACTTGTTACTTATTTTTATCATGCATGCACCGGAGAAAGTGCGAATATAAGGAAAAGAACTTTTGAGAAGTTGAAGAAACAGTAAATTTTGTCGCTATTCACCTTAATTCAGTAAATTCCACGTTCGGTGGTATTCCAGGAACGAACGTTATCACAGCTAAAAATGCACCAATGTAAATAATCGTCGTCCCTATCGATTTTAAGTAGCCCATATTTTTGATTTCGAATGCGAGGCGGGTCGATGGAGAAAATTGAAATTTTACAGCTGAAAAAGCAAAGCGAGATAAATAAAGACGAGCCTCGTCAGGAGTCGAATGATGTTTCTGTTACGAGAAAACTGTTTGATAAATCAATGCGTCGGTCGGCGCACTAACTGTACATCTTACTTACTCGACTAAAGACGGCGACCCACTGTTGGTTCAACGAAACTTGCCGCACGTATATACACATAATACGTGTAATGCGCTTGGCTCTTTCTCTCTCTCTCTCTCTCTCTCTCTCTCTCTCTCTTGGACTTGGGACTGCAAAGTGGAGAGCAACAACACATCGGCCGCTTTTTTTATGCCGTTTTGCGTGCCGGGTTGCCGCTTCCTTAGGCTGGGCCCCGCTTACTGGTTTTACCGGTCGAAGTAAGAGTCTCGAAGAAGAATCTCCTCGCGATGCAGCAGCGGCAGCGCCGAGTTCAGGCGTCGAGCGTCGCGCGGCCCGACATTTTTATGCGCTTATAATTCAAGTGCGCGAGCACTGATCGTTGCCAAATAATGACGCTCGTCGATGCGTTGCCACGCAGACCGAGAGATGCTCTCGTGCCTAAATCCAGCTCACCGATGCGTACTCGATTTTTTTCGACTCGTCTAATTATTTGCTCTCATTACTCGACGTACCATTGACAAAAGCAAATAAAGCGATGGGATGGCAGAGAGAAAGAGAGAAGAGAGAAACGCGAGAATGGGGAAAAAGAAAGGACGGGACAAAAAATACACAAGGATGCGCCGACTAAATTTCAATTTAAAAGTATACGTTATACTCTATCTCAAATTCAAACGTATTGATGTAGAGCTTCAGTATTTATAAACTTGCCGATTTTTTCCCCCAAGTTGAAAAATATTATAATGTTACTAATGTTTTTCACTGATCATTTCAGCCCGAGCTCGTAATTGGAGTAATAAGTTTCACAGCATAAACTCGCAACAGTCAAACGATTGTCCATGTTGATTGACAAGGTATAAAATTGAATCATTCTCTGCTAACTATTTCAGCTTGAAAATTCATGCTTTCGAATATGACTTTCTGCAGGCAAAGCAATATGAAGTCGTTAGGATCCTTGAAAATCGAGTCAGACGGTACTGTTTTTGATTTCAACCCTCGCGTGCCAATGAGAAAGAAACGAGAAAAAATAATATCCAACGCCAGAGTCAACTGGGAGCAGAACAAATTGCAGAGCAAATACTGCACGGACCACCGGAGCAAGTCTCACAACGTGTCGAATTTGAATTCGAAACTCACGGGTATTCAAGGCGGCAAAAGTTCGAACGCGTCGATCTTGATGCACAAACAAATCGACATAGCCTGTCGATCGCGAAAGCAAAAGGAAGCCTTCGCTAAGACCAAATCCAACAATCCGAATTATTTTCGATCGTTCGACGTAAAACTGCCACCGATCATCCTGCCGATTTTGCGAAATCTCGCGAATCCAGTTTTGCCAGGGCAGGACGGGAAATCGAGCCTCGGCGAGCAGGCACAGGCCAGAGAGACGATTTACAAAGACTCGTCGGACAGCGATTTGGAATCGTCCGAGAGCCATCCCAGCCTCAAGAGCGGTTTGAAGAAAAATTTGATCTCTTACTCGGCGCACAATGCTCTTTTCAAATCCGATCGGGAGGATAATCCGGAGAAGAGTAGCGCGATCGTTTACGAGTGTTACTTGGACAGAGTTTCGTCCAAGAGCCATCAATCGAGAGACGCGAGCTCCGGATGTGGCCCGGCCACGACCAACATTTCGCTTCGAGAGATCAAGATGAGCGGTCGCTTCGGCGAGATCAGCAAGGCTCTGAAGATGGACCAGCTGGACGCGAGCAAAAGCAACGGAAGATCGAGGATCGAGTCGCTGTCCGGTCAGCCGCTGCAGCGTACCTTGTCGGTCGACGCCAGAGATCCGGCTCCGGGTGTTGATTATTTGGCCGAGATAGCCGGCCAGTGCCTCAACATCTACGGCCAAGGTGCGCTGCGCTACATCGACAAGCAGCACTGCGATCTCGGCCGCGCCAACGACATCAACTTCGTCAAGTTCAATTACGTCCATTTCAACAGCATAGCCATGTGCTTGAACAAAATCAAGTACAGCTTCCCCAACGTCGACCATTTCATTTTCAAAGAGACGAACATCAGCCACCTGGGCCAGCTCAACGCTTTGGCGGAGTCGCAGGGCCTCAACAGCATCACCATCGAGTCCGACGGCAATCCGATAATATCGAAAAATTGGAAGATCTACGCGATCTTTCGCTTGGCCCACTGGGGATTGCAAATGGTCAACGGGGTCAAGGTCACCGAAGAGAATATCCAAGTGGCCAATTTGGAGTTCGCTGGTCTCACCGACATAGTCATGTGGTCGCTGCCCGAGGCGCTTTTGGAGCCACTACTCGAGCGCCTGTGCTTGGATCAGACGCGAAAGAAAAACGGCGAAAATATCTCCGCGAAGCAATTTCTCTTGGAAAATGACTCGACCCTGAGAAATGTCGTAGGCAAAGAGGCCCTGCAATGGCGAAGAGGCAGCATAACTCAGGTATCCTATTTTTAATTATATTTTTGAAAACTCTATTGCTTTCTCTGACCAAACATTCTTTCGCAATAGGATGATTTAATTTGGAGACACAAAGGAAAAAATTATCTTTCTCGATCGATAGAAAACACCGTCGCTGCAATAGAAAAATTAAATATATTTCAAATCGAATGGCCAACTTATTTGTTTGAAATCATATACAATATCTTGAAAGATTATTCTAATATGTACGAATACATGAAAAGCCGGACAAAGGAGCTCCAATGAATTTACTTGCAGATAATTTAAGAAGATTTCAATACATTTATAATTAAATGTACTATCATTCTGTGCATGCAACAAATGAGACTGTTTTACTAAAATGATTTCTTGCACTTGCATAAATGAAAAATTAGTTTTATTCATATAAAATAGTTTATATATTGTGATTTTTACAAAATTATATAATTTTATAATACTCTATGTACATTATCCATTTTATTCGTTTTAATATAAAGCAAAATTTTCTCTTAAAATTACATTAATCACAGATGTAAGAGTTTTTAACTTTAAACATCGCCGTTTTTAAATATTCATTTTAACAATAATCGCTTTTAGCATCATATACTTTGTTGATTATGTAAAAAATTGTCTTCTTTGTCAACAGGCGGCGGTTGTGTTTGAATCGTCGAACTCGGACCAGCTGTCAAGTAACCGGCGGTTGTCAGTGTACCTGCTACAATATAACTTATTAAAAATTGTTTCAAAATCATTCCATGTATTATTGTATGCATAATTTGTAACGTACCAGTAAGATAACTGCTTGAAGATACATTTGATATAAACAAATCGTGTTTTTGGTCTTTGTATTGTGCCCAAACATTGGACTTTTCGAGAATACCATTTACTTTATCTCCATACGAAATACTCTTTGCCATTGATTTTAGTGCCTTGACAATTTGAGCTTTAGTTGCAGCAGAGTTTTCGATGTAACTCGATTCATTTTCCAAAATATTTAAAAGATAAGATACCATTTCTGCTTCTAAAGCCTAATACATTTGAAAATATTTTGCAATGAGTTTGATTTTTTCTAAATAAAAGATACATTTAAAGAACAAACAAAAATATGGCGTATTAACCTGCTTTATAAGTCTATCTTCGTTGGTGGAAAATAGCTTGTTTAACGTTTCACATGCTACTGCAATCATATCTTTGCGCGTCTGCATAGCATATTTCAGTGGGCGTATACATTCTGTTTGACTCATCGAAGTTATACAAATCTAAAATTTTTAAAATGCATGAATGATGCATCGATCTATACAGGATATACATATGATATGATTTTTTACAGTACCTCGCTATTAGCCAATTGATGAAGTATTAAAATAGCTGCTTTATAAACAAAAGTTTGAGCACTCTGAACGGACATTTGCCGGCATAATCTTGGTATGTAACCAAAAGATGGAACATGATCCGCAAGAGAAGGTTGTGACTGCAGAAGGCAAATTAATCCCTGTGTAGCAAGGTCTAATGTTTCCGACTAAAAAAATGTTTAATTTTCGTGAAACAGGTAAGAAATAATAGTAATGGAAAAAATTAAACTCAGAAAACTTACCTCCATTTTATCCTTAGCCATCAACGTCAAAATGGTATCCATTAATTCGCTTAAGAATTCTTTTGGTTTTCGCAAAACCCAAGCTGGATTTGAAATAAATAGTCGGATATAGACTCCACCAATTACCACTTCGTTCTTGGCAATATCGATATTGTTCTTGTTTTCCGGTAATTTCAGAATAACTTTTTCATCATTCTTTTGCAGCTTGTAAAACCTATAGTTTAACAATTTTTTTTTATAAAAAAACTATTGATTACTGATATTAACCAAGTAATCATGGGTTTGAATATACACTTACTCCGATTTAAGTTCCGAGACGCTTGCGCATACTTTAGCTTTAGTTTCATCATCCCAAATGAGTTCAGGATTCTCGTGTTGAGTTTCAAACATCTGGACACACTGCTTTGGCGAGTCGCGAATAGCTTCACTGAACAAGTATGGCAAGAATTTCGAAATGTCCAATTTGACTTTAGGTCCAGCAAGTTTATCTGAAGACATTTTTGCCAAGAGTTCGGCAGCAAGTTCACGGATTTGTATATTATTTGAATTACAAAACAAATCAAGAACATAGATTACAGCGCCTGGAATAAATCGTCATTAGTATAAATAAATGAATAAAACATGAATAATCAACTTACCTTTAATGAGGGCATCCTTCACAATTCTGGTAGTGCTCATCAAAGCGTGTAAAATTTCTAAAATCAAAATCTGTTTGTCTCGCAGTATATTCAAGCTGAGTAATAAATGAGCTATTACTTCATTTGATGCAATATCATTTACACATTCCTGATTATGTGTAACATTGTATATAACTTCCAAAGCTGCGCTTCGAATGGATGCACTGTTTGAACCACTGATCAAGCTAAAGAGTAATTTAAAATAACCAATGCATTGAATTTCCACGCCAGGGTTATATTTTATAATATTTTTTAATGCTTCTAAAGACATAGTGACGTTCTTTTCCATTCGACTATCACTGATAGTCTTAATATTTTCTACTTTAACTAGATAATCCAGCAAATCAAGTGCGAATCCTTGTGGGTTCTAAAATAAAAATAATAATGAATAATAAAATTATTAAAAGTTGTAAATTTTGTGTAACACTATTAAATTACCAAAATTTGGAAATTGGGTTGTTCATTGTAATTTTTTACGAAAATTTCTCCAATCACTAACTCATCCTTGTGAGCCGAATACTTGAAGTCCGAGAAGTCATGCTCTAAGTTGCCATTACTGCTAACAACTTTTTCATGAACCTTACTCTCGAGATATTTAGTTAATTCTGCCCTAGTGCTATTATCCCATATCAAATAAGGGTTGCAACAATTCGAATTGATAGTCTTGAGAATTTCTTCTGGTTGATCCGAAGAAAGCTTCCGCGCTAGGTACGGGGTTAGTAAGCTTTCAAGAGCAGCAACCGTCACTGGGTTGTGTGGCGTTTCGTTCTCATTCTTCAAAAATCCACTCAACCTAGCGCATGCTTTTATGGCTAACTTCGCAAGTGTATTTGCGCTTTCTTGTTGATTTTCATCTTCCGTCTTTTTCACTCCACTTTCTTCCAAAGTGTAATCATAGTTGAACAGGAATAATAGTAGGTACCACAGAGCTCCAAATTGTAAGAATTGCATTTGCAAAATACTGTCCGTGGCAAGCGAAGAGATGCACTCGGTCGCGTCGGAACATAATTTTGTCAAGTGCTGTAAAAATAAAAAAAAATTATTGTAGCAGCTTCAATATTTAAAAATATCGTTATCTTACCTTGAAATGCAATATACGGCAAAGATCTTTTATCAATTGAGGAAGTTCGACAATCTTTTCTCTGCAGCCCTTGAAATTACCAGCTACGGTGAAACTTTTGGTAATGTAAGTGCAAACTTGGACTGCTATGTCAGCAGGTTTACTGGATTTATTTAAAACCGAAACACATCTAGTGTAAGCGTTCAACAAAATGTCGAATCCACCCTCTCTTCTTAATTCTTCTGCATTTAAAGCAGAACAGTGAACCGTGTGGTACGAGAGTTCGCTTGCCGCAATAAGCAGTTGCACAGGTTTTGAGAACAATCGCTCATCATCAGATTCTAGTTTAATAGTTTTGATGAGTTGTGGATACCCAGCGTACTTATATGGAGCTAATTCCTTCCCATATCTTGAAAAGAGGATACTTTGAGTTCTTATAATTAAAATTATATTTTCAGGATTTGGACCATCTGAATTCCAGCAGTTTCTGCTACACAAAAACTCGTATGCTTGATTTACAGCCTCGAACTTGTCCTGAAAATTTTAAAAGAAATATCAAATTAGTTTTCCATGGATTTATGAAAATTATGAATTGTTTTTCACTCACTCTGCCTTGAGGATTTTTGTCAGGATGATATGTTTGAGCCAACTTGTAATAAGATTTTCGAACGATAGATTCATCATGATACTGACCAGTTTGCAAACCCAACGTTTTATAGGCTTCGTCGATTGTCATCGCTGGTGGTTTTTTCTCCACTTCTTTTTTCCACTCGATCAAAACATCTTTCAGTAATTTGACGGGATTTGATATTGGCCACATGGGAAATTTGACCGTATCACATAGGTGACGCAAGTAAAATATCTGACAAAACAGCTCCTTCTCGAGTTGTGGGTACCTTATGGCTGGTATAGGTATGTACTGATATCTGGCCATGGTGTGACTCTTCAATTTCGGCGAGAAGTCAGATATATGAGCGGCTATTTTACCGATCAATGTGCGACGCATTTCCGCGTTCCAAATAGCTTCCGGCGTATCGAAATCACCTAAAAATATTTGAGCAAACTTTTCTGGTCCATGATTCTCCAAGTAATTGATCATGGCTTCCGGCAGTAACTGGCCTAGGATACTCTTCTGCATGATGTCGGAAATTTGAACGTCGTCGCCTCGAAAAGCTTGTTTCATGTGGGTGAGTTGGAGAAATTTAGCAATCGGAAGAACGTTGGATCCGGTATACATGAGAATAAAGTAAAAAACTCCGGTCAAGTACACTTTGGATATTTCTGGATTATCCCTGATTATCTCGCAGAGTAAGGTAGCAACGCGTTCAACCAACACTGGATCGAAGGTGAGTAGCAACTGTACTATGTGGGGCAGGCACTGAAGATCCGACAAAAGACGTTTGACACGTGGGAATGGCCTTATTATAGCACCGTCGGGATCCCTGCACGGATAATAATTGCACATCTGGATCAAAATATTCAATATCAAAGTCGATAGCTCGCTCTCGTTAATCACGGGATTACCCTTGGCGACCAGGGACCATTTCAATTGAGGAACTTGAGCAATGACTCGCCAACTATCAAGACCCTGTGCCCACACTTTGGTCTTATGGTTTATGGTATTGCTTGCGTACAGAGCCTTTAAATCTTTGATGCTGATTGGACCCTTTCTTTTTTCTCCATCATTGTAGTACCATTCTTTTTCCATCGTGGCTTCACTATCGGTTCCAGCTTCAATGACATTTGTTTGAGTAGGAACCACCGCCCTCGACGTATGCAAGTGAGCCAAAGTCAAAAGATCAACCAAAGTTTTGATGCCATTTTGATCCATTATGTCTTTGACATTTTTGCGGTGCAGTATTAGTTTCTCCGTAAACATGACCAATCGATCTCGTTCAGTTTTATCAATGCAACGCTCTAACATTCCAATTATGTATTTCGTGTCGGAGAAAGGTCCGATATCTTCGTAATATCTACCGTAAACTATAGTCATGGCTTGCAAGCAAAGACATTTCATCTCAGTTTTAGTAGTCAGTAAAAAACGATGATACAAGTCGTTAAAAAATTCGTACGATTTTCTAATGGGATTTTCCAGCGAATCTTTTTCTAATAATAGTCGTAGATAATAGTCACCGATTTTCACTTCATCTGACAAACATTGATATTGCACTTCGAATTCGCGATGATTCCACGCAATCAACGTAGTACCCGATAAATCTTTATCAGAGGAAAAAGCCCGAATTTCATTTTCAAGCGCTGAACGTAGCTCTTCTCGTGTTTTGTGATTCCAGATTAAATTAGGTAGCGCATGGTCTTGATTAAACTTGTAGTAGAAAAGTTTCCAATTGGATTCAGATTTAACTCTTTCGCGACGTTTTCTTAAAACAATAGGACGATCTCTCATTTTTTCTCGCCTCTCGATGCCTACTCTAGCACCCCAATGCTCTAAGGCATTTTCCAAGTGCTTTTCAACAACTTTTATTTGTTTCTCAATCATAAGCCACTGCGGATTTTTTCGGTTTCTTGCAGCATGATCCAAGGCTATTTTAACATTATCTCGATGATCAAGTCTTTCTTGTTCTAAGTATCGATCGGGTACTTTTTCATCGGAATCCAAATAATTTAGCAGTCCAATTGGCTGAAAAATTCATATTCACGTTTTAAAATTAAAAAAAAAATTACACAGAAGACATAGAATTTTATAAAACTTACCATGATTCTCTTCAATAATCCCATGGCTGTTGGGTGACCAGTAACCCAAAGACCAACCAGATGTCTGCATAATTGACGGTGAGTCAATAATCTACCATCAGTACTCGCAGAAAAAAGACTATTCAATAAATGCCTGGGCAAGGCACCTTCTGCAAGTGCCAATTCTTGCATTTTAGCAGATACTTCTTGCACACCTTCTTCTATTATTGCTCTCATGATCAAGCCAGCTCCTTTTACTATCGCTAGGGATGGATGCTGAAACAATCGAAACAGAGATCTTCCTCTCTCAGCTACCATTTCCAGTAAATTATCAAAATGTTTTCCATCGGTAGTTTCGCTGTACGGAACGCACAGAGCAAACGTCAAAAAATCTAACATTGCCGAAACAACTAACGCTCCGGTCCCGTGAGTCTGAAAGTAAAGATAAAATTGTGTTGCATTTGTTGTTTTATTTTAACCAATAATCACTAGTTTTCTGCGTATCAACTTACAATATGGCAAATCCACATGTCAAGTAAACTTTCTAAAAATTTACTATTTCCCAGCAAGCTGCTTTTGTTCAATTGCTCTTGTCGCAAATCGCATTCATCGTGCATGGGTTGCATGAGAGCACAGACGCAATCAATTGCAGCTTGAGTCACGCCGCAATTTTGACGTTTCAATGCCATAACAACTCGACTACCAATAGACTCGCGGAAACCTGGCAGATTCGTAAAAGCTGTGAAACCAACTTTGCTAGCGATTAATCGCCGCAGAGCGTGGAATTGAGACTCAATTTCTGAATCCGAACTAAGATCTTTATGCACGACAGCATTAAGAGCGTTGATTAAGATTTTATCTTTATTTTCGGTGAACAGGCCCTGAAAATTAGGTCTATTGTTAACAGTTACGCGACTTGAAAATATATTCAAAATCGATATCTAAAAAAAAATAAATAAAAAAAATTTTTTTTCGTAATCATTAAAAATATGGTCATTTTTATCAATAAATCACACAAAAACTTACATCTTGTGAAACTGAATAAAGAAGGCCACTATAAGGAATGTTTGCATTAAATCTCTCCAAAATATCTTCAAATGTATGCCCATTAGGAATCTGCTGTAAAAATTTAACATGTAACATTTCTATATCTTCTTCAACTGGTAAGCTTAATGGACCTAATCTTTTTCCTCTGTCAGTAGGACACATCTGCACATGTACATCTCTATTTCCTGATGCTCTTACACCATCTAATAAAGATGCTAATATTGAATCTCTTTCAGTGGCATAATAACTGCGTATTTGTCCATTCACATATTGAATGAGAAATAGTTGGGAATGTTTGTTATCTCGAATTAAAGCAAAAATATCGGATAATGGTCTTAATGTACAAATATTATAGGTTTGAGGATCTCTCTCTAACAAACAAGTGTCAGATAAACATAATATTCGTCTCTGAGGTTCAGCATGTCTGGATGAATTCTTCTGAACTGTGAATTCTGATACACTAGTTATATGTTCATCACCACTAAATTTACCTAATCGCTGTGCAATACAATCTTCAAGATTAATTGATTCTTTAGGTATTCTTATAATAATACCCAAATTATTGGCTGCTGATTCAACTAACTTTTTTCTAATTTCATCAATATACTGAGATGAAAATAAATGCAATCTGCCAAAACCACCATGAACAATAACAAACCCATCTTTATAATCTTTTATAGTGACAAGACCTTCGAAATCTTTGAAATAATAACTTGCTAATAGCATATTAGTTGCTGGATCTAACTGATCCAAACTGTATGGGGTAATTTCTAATACTACTGGTAATCGGGTGTCAGACCAATGATGTTTATAGGCTGGGTATCTCTATAATAATGTCATTTTAAATGATTAATTTTAGTGCAAAATATACAATAATATACATTAATTATATATCAAAAGTAATACATTTCTTACTGAAGTTTCTCTTGGTTTTTCTGCAAAGCTGTTCAGGTATTTTAAAGCTTCAGTTAATAGATGGGATCTGTGTTCAGAACTAAACTTCATAGTTTCTACTTTTCTCTCTTTGCGCATAGATATACTGAATTCATATGATCCAACTTGATTTTTATTATTTGGTTGTACACTAACAAAATCTGAATACTCCCATTTATTTGTAACTTCTAGAGTATTTGGGTTGTATGTAGTAATGCCCATTGACCCAATGGAAAAAATACGTTTGTACCTAAGATGAAAAGCAAAAATGAAATTTAAAAATAGTTAGATTAGAACTGACGTTTCTAAATGATGACGAGATTCAAATTAATACTAAGTAATTGTAAAGAGTTTTTATTAAAAAAACAGAAAGTTAATTTACTTACTTTCCTTTCCATGAATGCTTTGTGACGAGGAAGCAAGCCACATCTTGGTTATCTTTGATTGGTATCATTTTGAGTGCCTTGCAAAAATGCGAATTCTTATTTATATGTCACCCACGATCACTTCTTGCACTCTCATGAATACAATATCTCCACTTAAAATAAATAATCAAATTAACGATCAAATGCTTTAAAACAACAGACATGAAGAGTTTACTAATATAAAACAAAGCGTCGGGTTAAAATAAATGCATGTCAATTTATCGTGTCAAACGTTTAACATTGAACGGAACAACATGTAAGAATTAAAATTTCAACAGCAGTTTTCAAATAAATGATTCCACCGAGCTGAAATCTGTTCGTCAAGCTCTCTCCAGGTATACACATGATCGACTAAAGATCACTGACTAAGTTTTGCGATGAGTGGAAAAGTAAAAATAATGTTTTTCGTAATCATCCATTATCTTTAGTATTATTATACTTCAATGGGAGTATACTAAAACGTATGTATGTGTGATTGACTTAATGGCTCGTATGGAGACTATCGCACATCCTACACAGCCGGTGGTAAGACTTTTTTTGTTCGACGACATATAATATTATATGCTGCGCTATCGCGTGATATACAAAACGAATCACAATAAGGAACTGCCAACGCAGTCAGATAAGCTCGAATCTGCAGAAGAATTGTAGAAATGCTTTACTATATGTGTGTACTGTGTATGTATACAGTTACGATATGAAGTTTGCGATGACAATCCTTCCCCCACCGGCTTTGTAAATTCACTGTATATGTATGACGGCGGATTGGTTTTGTGAATTCGTCTGCTGAAAATAAAATGAATAGTAGTTAGGTATTATGTCGTAAAAACTACAGAATTTTGTTATTCATATTATTATGTGATTATATTATGCGATTAGGTAGATGGTGATACTGAAGAGTAGTGCAGTAATTTTTAAGCAGGGCACATTGACAGATACATTCCGCATTCAAATCTAATCATGGAGTTGTATTACTATTTCTGTTTACTTTTTTTACCGCTTTTGTGTGTACAAACTTTCGAGGTAAGCCTTTGTTATACGAGTTTTTGTCAATAGTTTTTTTTCATCCAAACGATTCTTAAATCTTATATTCTACGTTTAGTTACCAGAAGGATTTACCAAAACAGATCACTCTAATAATTGGGCAGTTTTAGTGGATACATCGAGATTCTGGTTTAATTATCGCCATGTAGCCAATGTTTTATCTATTTATCGCAGTGTCAAACGTCTTGGTATTCCTGATTCTCAGATTATACTAATGATTGCTGATGATATGGCATGCAATCCAAGAAATCCCCGACCGGCTACAGTGTTCAACAATATTAAACAGCATATAAATGTGTATGGGGATGATGTTGAAGTTGATTATAGGGGATATGAAGTTACAGTAGAAAATTTCGTAAGACTATTGACAGGTAGATTGCAGGCTGAAACACCCAGATCAAAACGATTACTAACAGATGAAGGATCTAATATTCTCATTTACTTGACTGGGCATGGTGGAAATGGTTTTCTGAAATTTCAAGATTCTGAAGAAATTACGAGTCAAGAACTTAGTGATGCTTTAGAACAGATGTGGCAAAAAAGAAGATACCATGAAATATTATTCATTGTTGATACATGCCAAGCAAGTTCAATGTATGAAAAGTTTTATTCACCAAATATATTAGCTGTAGCTTCAAGTTTAGTCGGAGAAGATTCTTTATCCGTGAGTTGTTTTCACTGATTGTTTTTATAAAATATACATAAATAATTACTAATTCAAACACCTTTATTTACTCAAAAATTACAGCATCATGTGGATCCGGCAATCGGAGTGTATATTATTGATCGTTACACTTATTACGCTCTTGAGTTTCTTGAAACTGTTGAATCTTCCAGTAAAAAAAATCTAAGTGAATTTGTATGTTCTTTTATTTTGTTTGTTTGAAAAATGTATTTATAGATGACTATAAAATGCTTTTTGTTGCAGTTAAAAGTATGCCCCAAGCATTACTGCCTGTCTACTGTAGGAGTTAGAGATGACTTATTTAAGAGGAATTTGTATGAAGTACCAGTTACCAATTTCTTTGGAGCTTTGAGACCGATCCAATTAACTAATAATATCTTTAAAATTGTTGAACCTATAAATAGTATTGGTAGCATTAGTTCTGATGCTAAAACATCAATTAAATATAAGTATTTTCCTGAATTCCCCACAATAGTTTCATAATGTCAATAAAAATTACCATAAGATTTTGTAAATCAACACATTGAATTTCTTGAATTATTTTTCCAATTTCTGAATTTACGTTCAATGTATAATCACATAGGTACATTATTAATAATTATTATAAGCATCGTGTGGAATATTGGTATAAGTCGTATAATTCATACTAGCCGCCACGAGGCGCCCTCTATGTCTAATATGAATTGTCAACTGAAGAGGGGGCATATTTCATGTATTCTTTCGCCGAACCCTAGCCGTCAGCGAACAGGCTACAATCCACTATCCAGTACAGTAGTCCGATAGAGGTTACTTCGAACAGATCGCTGTACAATCGCTGAATACCTGGTACGTATCAAACACTATACTACTCACACGTGCTTCATGTATTTCCAGTTTTCTCTTTGTTGAGTTCTGATATTTTAATTTTATTCATTATCCAATATTTTTGATAATTGATTGTTTCTGTAAGTAATAATTTCAAAAAATATGCAACTTTTTAGTAACCATTTCCTTGTTGAGCTAAAAAATAACATTAAAATTTTCAAGTAATTTCCGAACCCCTAACCTTACAATACGTGTGACATGTAATGTAACATGCCGGGTATTGTATTTTCTATATATACTTATTAATCCAATGTTTATATTTTCAGATTGATATTTGATCAACATTAGATACGATATTTTGCCTAGTTACTTTTTCAAATTCAATTAAATAAAATCATGACTAACAAAGAAGAGCAAACCTCAGAAGTGTCTTGTGAAATGACACAAGAGCCATCAACAAAAGTGACTTCTGAAACCAAAGAAGAGCCATCAAAAGAAGTTACTTCTGAGACCAAAGAAGAACAATCATCAGAAAAGCCATCTGAAACTATGACTATCCAAAAAGAAGAGCCAACACCAGAACTACTTTCTAAAATTAGGAAGCAAGTTGAGGTAAATATTCAATTTATTTGAAAAAATTCTTTGGAATTTTTTTTCTGTAATACTCTTCCAGAGATCGCACATTTTCATTTCCTTTATTTAATTTTAAATTACTTAATTTTATGGTATTTTGTGTTTTAGTTCTATTTTGGAGATGTGAATATGCAAAGAGACAAATTTCTCATTGAACAAACAGGCCTTGATGAAGGATGGGTTCCAATGACTGTCATGTTGAATTTTAAAATTTTAGCTTCACTCAGTAAAGATGTTGAAATCATTTTAAAAGCTTTAGAAGATAGTGAATTAATAGAAATATCCGAGGATAAGAAAAAAATCAGGCGATCACTTGATAAGCCATTACCCACCTATGATGACGAATACAAAAAAAATCAAGAGAAACGTACTATATACTTGAAAGGATTCCCATTAGATTCAACTATTGACGCTTTGAAAGCTTATTTTGAATCCGAGGAGAGCATTGAAAGCATTGTCGTAAGTATTTTTTTTATTTAAAGTGATTGTAAAAAGTGTGTATTTCTGGTTTTTTGGATGCTAATGATGTCAACAGACATATCTGATCATATAAATTGGAAAAATTTAATAAACTATTTTTCTATTTTCACAACTCATTTTGCAATATGAAAAATAACATTTTTTATTTTTATTTAGATGAGAAAGTATAAGAAAGACAAGAATTTCTTCTTCAAAGGTTCCATTTTCATGCAGTTCAAGACTTATGAAGATGCCAAAAAATTCTTTGACCAGGAATCAATCAAGTTTAATGATACTCAACTTGTGAAAATGTGGCTGTAAGTTGAAGGATCAATACCAAACTACTTCAATAACTTGACTTCTACTACAATCTCTATACTTCTTTATATTATAAATTAATCTATAATTCATTAATGAAAACTTTTTTTCTATTATAGGGTTGATTATGTTAAAATGAAGGAAACTGAAAAATCTGAGAGGCAATCCAAGAAAAACAAAAATCAGAAAAATAAAAAACAAGATTCAGAGGAACAAGATGGAAATGAAAATAAATTTAAAATTCCCACTGGTAGTATACTAAAAATTACAGATATCAAAGAAGATATTACTAGAGAAAATATGAAAGAAAAGCTAGCAGAAATGAATTTAGAGGTTGCTTACATTGATTATAAAACTGGAGATGGTCTTGGATACCTTCGTTTAGTAGGAGAAAATTCAGCAAAAGAATTGATGGATAAGTTAACTGATGGTCAATGGGAAGTAAAGGATTGCACAATTAAATGTGAACCTGTAGTTGGAGAAGAAGAAACACAGTATCTTAAAAAAATAGAGGAAGGACAATTATCTCATAGAAACCGTCGTCACTTCAATAGAAATGGATCCAAAGGTTTTAATGGCAAAAGAGGTTTCAAGAGGAATCGTAGTCCTTTCAAAAATGATGCTAAAAAGCAGCGATTAGATAATTAGTTTACTTTTATTTTTATAAATCATTCAAATAATGTATCAATAATTGTTACGAATTTTAATAAGACTTGGTAATTTTTTTATAATACATTGATATTGTAAATCTTAAATAAAAATATTTCGTTTTTATAAATTTTCATGTTTCATGTTTCTCCTAACATCTCATTATCATGGTCACCTAAATTTTAGATTTAGTCACTTCACATGGTGAGCCAAGATTTATCAGTATCATAAATCTAATTTTCTTGCATGATAACTCGTCGCTGTGTCTGTTTGTGCCTAAGTTCTATTTGTTTTGAGAATAGTATGAAATGTTTGGAAAGGCAGAGGTCAGGATCAAAACATGGGAATAAATATTAATTTTTTTTTGTTAATTCATATTTATTGTTAATAAATTAAGAAGTACTTAAAATATGTTGGTACATGATGAAAATGCATTTTTAGATTTTAGATTTTAGAAAATGCATATCTTTATTACTTGCTGTAATTTGCATTGATGTAATGGAAAAGAAACACTAGAAAGAATAGTGTAACTCCTAGAATATTAGCAAATATGGCTAATTGTACATCGGTAATCATCTGCAATTGAAGATTTTTAATTAAAAACTAACTTTAATGAATAATTAGTTTTGTTTTATTTCACAATATACTCACAGTGATAATTTTTTTGTGTCAATACGAGAAGAAGTGTTTGATTGTTGTATCAATTAGTTGAAATCAACAGTTGATCTGGCACAGTTGTGACACGCAAGACTTCTCAATATTAAGGTTAGCGCACCGACTAGTAAATACATAAAAATATAGAAAAAGAGCAGACAGAAACTGTTCAGTGCAACTGCGGAGTGCTGGTTGAGGCCTCTCGTGCAAGTTATTGTAGGTAATAAACACGAATCTACAAAAAATAATCATCGAGCTTATTTAATTTGGAAAAAAATTAATTTTTTGTAGCATAAGTACGAATAATCTATTCTCACAGTTTTAATTGTGATATTTTTTACGTATATTTATTTTATGTAAATAATTTTCATTTTCAAGATGCAAAACGTTATCATGGTATATTGTAGACTTTGTCTATGTGTTTTTAAATCACTATGTACTCAGTGAAACCTGCTTCATTCATCAGTTTTCATCAACAACACACATTTTTGAAATTTTTGCTGATTGCTGTTAATTAATATCAGATGGCTAAAGTTACATTACATTTTTTTTCAAGTTTAGTGAATAATTTGAAGTAAAAACTATATGTAGTTGATGTACTAACTGGGAATTGTTTGTGTAGATTTTCAAAATGAATACCAGAAAAAAATGTAAACTACTCGGTGCTATATTTTTAATAGTTTTTTTATTGGACTACATCGGAGTTTTTAAACATATACTAGAAATATCATATATAAACTTTAATTATCCATATGATGGAAATATTCAGCCTTTAGTTTTAGATTTAAGACAAAACAAAAAATCAGATGTTCATGTTATAAATGAATATAATTATCCTTATATTAAAATTTCAAATAAATGCATGGAAGCTGAATCTTTGAGAATAGTATTTCTGGTTAAGTCTGCGATGGGAAATTTTAACCAGAGGACAGCTATTCGAAACTCATGGGGTTTTGAAAAAAGATTTTTTGATGTACCAATGAAAGTTGTTTTTGTATTAGGAGTGAATCCAGGTGATTCTCAGATTCAGCATAAAGTAAATACTGAATCGGCTGAGTTTCAAGATATAATTCAAGCCGATTTTATAGACTCTTACTACAATAATACGATAAAGACAATGATGGCGTTTAAATGGGCAGTTGATTATTGTAGTAATTCCAAGTTTTATATGTTTGTTGACGATGATTATTATGTATCTGTTAAAAATGTATTAAGGTTCATCAGAAACCCTACTCAATATCCTCAGTATCTTAAGGATACAACAAACTTAAGTAAGATTATTTTAGCAAAATTTTTATAATTTACAATACATAGTAGACAAAGTTATGACTTTTATCATTTTACAGAAAATCCAAGAAAAGGTGCAAAAAGAGATTCAAGAAATCTACATTTTAATCAAAAGGAAATCATATCTGACATTAAATCAGCCAATGTACATCTTCAGATTATCAGAAATAATGTAGAAGCATCAAGATTTAAAAGACAAATTTTAGATTTTGATCTTCCTGATGATATACGTTTGTTTGCTGGATTTGTTTTCTTATCATCTCCTCATAGACATAAATTTTCAAAATGGTATGTTTCATTAGAAGAATATCCATATGATTTATGGCCTCCATATGTTACAGCTGGTAGTTATATTCTGTCAAAAGAAGCTTTGATGGACATGTATTATGGTAGCATGTACACTAAACACTTTAGATTCGATGACATTTATTTAGGTTTAATTGCAAAAAAATTAGACATAGAGCCATTTCATTGCGACGAATTTCATTTTTATAAGAAAAAGTATTTGAAAAATAATTATGAATTTGTTATTAGTTCTCATGGTTATTCAGATCCAAATGAACTGGTAAAAGTTTGGGGAGAACAAAAAGCTATGGGCAATGCTTAAACAGTATTGAAATCAATCTAATTGTATAAATGTAAATACTAAATATACACACTTAATTTAGTGATTTCTTTAAAAGTAAGTTGTAAAAGAATGCTAGATTTAGTATTGTTAAATAATAAATAAAATTGATATTTATTGAAATGATATTACGTATTCATCTTATTTTGTTATAATGAAAATAAATTAAAAAATGCTTTTCAAAATCCACATTCCTTCATTAAAATTCCTTTTTAATCATTTGATATCGTTGCGGTAGTTAATTAAACAATTTTTTAATAGTTTAAGATATAAAATGGATTTGATAATTTTTTTGGATCCCCGCTAAGGCTCACAAAAAGATTTCTAACATTACAAACGGGGCAATGCGAACGTAAGTTCGTAGTCATGAAGTACTTCAAATGATTGTAATAGGCTGATTGACCCATAAATGAGATTGAGTCTTATCAATCTGCTCGACTAACTTCCTAGTTTAAACATGCGAGGGTTTAGTAAATCACGCCATCGCCTACCGTAGAGCGACAGTTTTAAGACATGTTGGATTTTTAACATTAAATCGATCATTGGGAAATTTTTGAATTTTTTTTTAAGGACTCGAAGCTTCCTTAAATTCGACGAAAAATGTATTCAACAATTTTGATGAATTTTTTGTGTATTTTTTTCAAATATTTCTTAGAATAAAAAATGTTTGTCTGATATTTATTAAATTTATTAAAATGTATACTTCGACGAAGTGATTTTTTTTTTGAGCTTTTCGACAGCTTAGCTTTTTCTTAGATTGGGTTTATTTGTTATACCAGTTTTGAGCTGCAGCGTTCAGGTTGTAAGCACTTGTTTGAGGCATTTACAGGCCAAGATGCAATTACTTTTGAAGTGGTCAAACTTTTAGGTCCTTTTTGCTTTGATTGATGATGAATTTAATTTTTATGTAAAGCATACAATTTGGCTTAAATGGTTTTAAAATTATGACAAGTGAACAAATTAAAAAAAAATCAACTTGATAGAAATTGCCTAAAGAGAAAAATTAATCTTTGATGTACATGAAAAAGGGTCATACACTTTGGTGTGAAATTAATATTTTTAGATTTTCAACGAAAAAATGAAAAGGGGATCAAAAACTTGTTTAAAAATGAATGAAAATGATTTCTAGTCTTTTGCGACTTTAAGTAATTCATAAAAAAATCAGCAAGTTGAATTTCAGTTTAGCGAAATATTACGAAAGTAGTGCGTTTAAAGCGAGTGATGAATAATATCGTCTTGTCTTTCAATTATGATACTTTTAAAGTTTTGCATGCTTGAAAATTTTTTAATGGAATTCAAATCATTACACTTACAGTGAAACCTCCCTTTAGCGGACACTGATAGTTTCGAAGAATTTGTCCGCTATTGAGAGGTGGCCGCTTTTTCAGAAGTAGACAGAAAATTAAGATATGAACTAATGATATAAATTAAAAATGAGTGTTAATAATCAATAACGTATGAAATTGCGGATATTTTTTCGTTTTTGATGATTTTTTCAAAATTGTTGTAAATTCATCTCAATATTTCATCGTGCGGTGTCCGTTAAAATGATTGAAATGTACGAAAAAAGTGTCTGCTATTAAGAGGTGGTTTTGGCCGCTTTTAAGAGGTGCTAGTCCCATAAGAAACAATGTACTTCTGCCGAGATCGCGAAATTCGTCCACTATTGAGAGGTGGCCGTTAAGGGAGGTTTCATTGTACATGGGGACAGCTAAAATGTAATTATATGTATAATTCAGTATCACATAGTTGGGGAGTGTAAAATATCGAAAACTGTATGAAATCCAAATTATATATCGGTCATTTTGCGCCTCTTTCGGATGAGATTTTTTCGGATTACCGAAAATATAATTACGCTGGCGAATTTGGTCAGTTTGCAAATATTGGTGGTAAAAAAAGCCGAATAAAAGCGATTTGACGCATTGGATTCCGGGGTATTCCGAGATATAAAGTTGTTTTCAACAGCGGATCCTTCGGTCCAGGTTCGGAAAGCTTAAAGCTCAGGGTAGAGCTCTTGAAAGTTGGGCTAAAGACGGCCAGAAGCTCTCGGCACCGCTGTTTATAGCGGCCAAGAGGCCCGAGGCATCTCCTTGGTCCGGATCGCCGTTGACTGTCGATCTCATCGCAGCAGCAGCGAGCTACTGGCCGCGGGCTCCGCGGCAACGGGATTGACGCACGTAGGCTACACGAGTTGCGGAGAGATAAAGAGTCGAGCTTGCGCGCATGCACTAGGTGGTCCTGCTAGACGGAGCTGGGCTTGCATCCCCTACAGCCAAGCGCCAAGCTCAGAGTTCACATGCGGGGGTTGCGCGGCTGTATATAGGTGCTGGCTATGGTCTACGGGTGATGGAAGCGCCTGCGCTCGCGGAATCAGACGGAGAAAGAGAATCGCGCAGCGTCGGATGGGAGCTTTGGTGGCAGCGCCGCTGCTGCAGTCTCGCATTGACCCCTTGCATTTTCGCACGCAGCACTAGGCTATAGAGTTGGCAGCGCGGGGAAGGTAGGGCAATCGCGAGTGCGCGCAAAGCCAGTGGCATGTACCTGGCCTTACCTTTATGTAGAGATCAGACCATGGCCGAAAGCTCGGGAGCGCGCGAGCGAGCCCGCGAGCTCAATCCGGCGAGTTGAAGGAGTCATCGGACCCGGACCGGCGCCCATCGGCTTCGCGGACGCTGATCTCTTGGCCAGCCTCGTCCATGCCATCATCATGACTCGGCATGGCTCCTCGAGCTGCTCTCCTCCTCGGCAGCTCGCCTTCGCTCTCGCTACTACCTGCCTCTTGTTGCTCAGTACTGCAGTGCTCGTTTGCTCGGCCGACTCGGCCAACCGACCCAAACAAGCTCCCGTTACTAATTCCACTATTCGTAGTAGTAGTAGTAGTAGTAGTAGTAGAAGTGATATAGCCAGTGTTGCTAGTGCTGCCAGTGGTGCTATCGGTGCTTTCGCTGCGTCCCGCCACCAGCAGATTCAGAGGCCGTCCTTCATCGAGCGTCGGGTTCGCTATCACGCCGCGGCCGCGAGCAGAGCCGCGAGTCGAGTCGCGAGTCGAGCAGCGGTAGCAGCAGCAGCAGCAGCAGCAGCGGCGGCGGCGGTGGCGGCGGCGGACGAGGCGCAACAGGGTAGCAAAAATACCGCCACCGCCGCCACCATCAGCAGCAGCAACAGTGCGAGCTTTCAAATTCGTCACGAGAAATCTCGCGGCTTTTTCGGAGTTCGTCAGAGAAGCACTGCTCGGTTCGGAGCTCGTTCCGAGGACGACAACGACGACGACGACGACCAAGACGACCAAGAGGTCGACGAGGAGGAAGACGAGGAGGATGCCTCCTCGAGCTCGTTTCCCTTCCTCTTGCCCGAGTCGCTGCTGCTCGAGCCGGCCGATCGGCAGTACTTGGCGGACTGGAGCAACGCCAGCAGCAGCGGTGCGGCCAGTGGCGGCCCAATCGGCAGCACTCAGGACTACTACGACTCGTTCAACGAGTCGAGCGGCCTCGAGCAGTCGACCTACCCGCCGGGTGACTGGCCCGGAGCCCTGGACTCGGGCCAGGTGGACATCGTCACCCGCTTCCTGCGCATAATCGAGAACCAGCACCTGCTCGGGGAGAACTGCACCGCGGGCACGGACCTGAACCTCGGCGAGGGCGTCGTCGACCAGTACGCCCAGGAGCGCTTCCGGCTGGAGGCCAACCTGGCCGTGAACCGGGCCAACATGCTGACGCGCCTCTGGAAGTACGCGCCCGAGGTCATGAGGTCGTCCGAGTATCTGCTGCACGCCAGCGTCCTCTCCATGGTCGAGTTCGACGAGGACATATTCGCCGCGGGCAACTGCTACGACAAGCTCCAGTACAGGGACCGCTGGCTCTACTGCCCCTTCGCCCACCGGCTGCAGGACGAGGAGGGCGTCCTCGTCAAGGACCTGGCCGTCGAGTACAAGTACTTGAGCAACAGCAGCGAGTGGTTCTTCATCGCCCGGAAGAACGCCGAGCGCCGCATCGCCAGCTACAACGAGTTTAGCAAGAGTCCGTGCCAGTCGCTCGACGCACCAACAAAAATAACAAAGCTCTTGCCAGCACGAGTAAAATTTGTTTTGTTTTTCTTGCAGATTACCACATGTTCAGCGACAGCGAAAACAACCGCAACGAGCGCACCGACGACGAAATACTGACGGTGCGCTACGAGGACGGCCGCTGGTCCAAGCCCTACTACGATTGCGGCGGTGGCAATATATGGATGCTCACCTACACAGTTCCTTTTTTCGGCTACGCCAATGATTCGTACTTTTTCAAGTGAGTCCGTAGGGACTGCAGTGGATATTGACGTTTGACGGCCGCGCGCGCTAATCGCATTATTTGCCAAAGCGACGGCCGACAAAAAAATAAACCATTCGGTCGCGCCGATTGAGCTATCTCGCGCGCAAATCCTTCGCACGGCCAAAGTTTTATTTAAGCCTGCAGCCAATCCTCTCTCTCTCTCGCTCTCTTCATTCTATCTCGTAAAAATGTCACTGCGCGCGCGTCACGCCAAACGGCCGCACGTGAATTTTATACTTTATTGCCCGGGAATAAAAAGATATTCCGAAATAAAAGCCCCGCTTTAAAACTTATGCGGATTGCAGTGCGGAGCCACGTGCAGCAGCCGAGCTTGTGCTTTCGACGAGACAGCTATATAACTTTGCAACTCTGCCGCCGCTTGAATTTAAAAACAAATTTTATCAAAAAAAAAAAAAAAAAAAAGAAGCTAAGATTTCGGCGAGATCTGTTATTATGTATACGTCGTGCGGTATTCTTCGCGGCAGTCGTACAGCGAGTAAAAAGTACTTTTCAAAACATCCTTCGCAATGTGACTAAAATTGACGGCAACTTTCGTACGTGCGATCGAGTTGGGCAAAAAACTCGACAACATAAACTTTAGCCCGTCTATTTCTAAGTGGCTGAAGAGTTAAAAAGCTTCGCGCGGTTTCGAGAAAATATTACGGGCAAACAGTTGCGGGGCAAATGTTTCAGCAAGAACCCAAAGACCTCATTACGGAAAATTTCATGTTTCGATGTTGGAGGCGCGGAAAACGAATAGTTCATAAGACTTTTTCGATACTTTGATCCGCGTGCCTTTGGACTCGATTGTACCTTTTTTCCGTTCTCTCGTTACAGAGGCACTAGCGGAATAGACATTGATTTACGAAGAGTGGATATCGATCAATGTCCCCTACCTGCTGGATCGACGCAGCTCAACATATTCGCCGCAAGTGATAAATGCAAAAAACGGACAACGGAGGTAATCGAATTTTCCATCAGCGGCTTCGCTCTCCTACAAAGTCCGCGATAGACGGCTCGGAGCGCATGTCGGTAACTATATAGCGAAGATGTCATTGGCTCTGATTTTTTTGCGCAGTGCGTGGCCGTGCCAGGCCTCGGCTTCCGTCGTGGCAGTTATCGATGCATTTGCAAGCGAGGCTTCTATTACCCCGACACGGAGTCGTCCAAGCGCTACTTCAACGGCACGATCATCGAGGAAGAATATGAAAAGCTCGTATTAGTAAGTTCGATACATTCGCATGTATGGCAGACCGGTCTCGCTAGTTAATTACTTGATTCACTTTTCACTCAATTATGCGTAATCAAACATAGCTTCGTGGAACTTAATTACTTTCCATTGTGAGGCGCGAATACATTAATTGCCTCGCAGAAAACTTGATGCTGATTGAGAGCTTCAACATTAACGAAATCACTCCTTTTTTTCTTCCCTCCCCTACTCGCTCCTTTTTAAATTGCAGAGTAAAAAAAGTTTGTACAATGTAATTGGTGCTTTCGAGTGTCTACCCTGCGCCGAAGGTTGTGAAATATGCGAAGACGCTTCTCCTTGCATCGCCTCGCTCAATTGGCTCATGAGGACTACTATTTTAATTTTAGAATGTTGCGTTATAGCCTGTCTTCCCGTAGTCATAATTTTCACTTGGAAATATAGTAATGTAAAGGTACATCGTTGTTATAGCTGCCATAAGCCTGCACTGCTTCTCGGATTAACGTTTAATGATTTCGCAGGTTGTTCGAGCGGCGAGTCCAGTTTTACTTCGAGTGATAGTTTTGGGAGCATTTCTTATTTACTGTACTGTAAGTGCATGCGATATTTTAATTTTTATACGAGTCAGCCTCTTATGATTACTGAAGCACAATCTTTTTTCCATAGACTATTGTGATGTACCCACGTCCCAATATTATCACGTGTACCATTCGAATTTGGCTTCGGGAAATTGGATTTTCTCTTACTTACGGAGCGCTAATGTTGAAAACGTGGAGGTAAGTCGAAACCTCACCAACTGCACAATTTTTCCAACTAACGACTTTACTAATTGAAACATTTTTCCAGAATATCTGTGATATTTCGTGTTCGCTCTGCCAAAGCTGTCAAAATAACCGATATGAACTTATTAAAACGTCTTGGCCTAATTGTTACAGTATTTGGTATATTTTTAAGCATACGTACTTTAGTTGCTCCGCCTATTGTTATTGTCGCGCGCACTGCAGACGATTTAAAAGCGTACTTATGTCGAACTGATTGGTGGGACCATAGCTTCACAATAAGTACGCAGCTTCACTTGTAGCTACGTAATTTTTAATTAAGACCATAATGAAAATTGCATTCTTTCTTTGCAGTGGAAGTAATTTTTCTAGTTTGGGGAATCAGATTGTGCATAGTCGTGAGAAAGGCACCCTCCGAATTCAACGAAAGCCGCTTCATTTCCATGGCTATTTACAACGAATTTTTATTGTCCGTATTTTTGAACGTCTCCATGTTAGTGTCATTACGAAATTCATTTTTTTTATGAAATAATTTTTCTCGTAATAACAATTTTGAATACTTTTTTTGCTCTCCATTTGCTCAGGCTGTTTCTGCAATCACCGGCTAACCCAGATCTGTTGTATATAATTTTCTTCTGCCACACTCAACTAACCGTTACTTTACTACTCGGTTTAATTTTTGGTAGCAAGGTAAAATTGACTAAAAAAAATAATTTCACCCATAACATTGCATTAAGGAAGCGAAAATTATTCAAAACTTTTAATTGCAGGCTTATGTTGTTTTTCGGGAAAGCAGCAGAGAAGATTCCAACAGTAAATACACTGGTACTACGAGTAAATTTTTGGGAAAATCCTGCAGAGCACCTGCAACGAGCAATCAAACCAATTCCATTTCATTGCAACAAGCTAACTTGACCGAGGATAGCGATGGAATGACCGTAAGTTTTTGAATTTTTGTAAAAGCTCGCTTGAAAAAGTGTAAGATCGTAATCGAGGGGCTTTTGTACTTTCAGGAGGAATTTCGTCGTTTGTACACGCAACTTGAGTTGCTGAAAGAAAAAAACCTGAGATTGGGTAACCGACAGTTGGTGAACAAAATATTAGCTATGCAAGAGGCGGCGAAAAAAGTGGAAATGCCGGTCGACGCGATAATAGCCATGCCGCTGCTACTGCAGGAAAAAGCTTGCTCGGATGAATCATCCTCATCTTCGAGGTAATAAATTCCCAATCTGATTAAAATCGTTTCTTTTGTCAATTTTACGCGGGCAATAAAATATTTTTTTTATCTTTCGTAATCTTAGGAAGAAGTGCAAACTTATAAAAGCCTACGAGGAGCGCCTAAACGATAACGTTGACAATTCTGCGGTAGACATATTCGAAAACAATGAGACTGAAATTAAAAAAAATACGTCACGGGCTTCAGAAACTGATAAAGAAACTGTACAAAACGACGATAAAAATGTCACAGATCCTACAAACGTAGATAGCGCAAATGCAGATGACAAGATCGAAGTGAGTGTGAACGTTCATGGGGAAAACCCTGAAAGTCAGAACTCGGAACGTAAATCCGGACACGCCAAGACTCATGCCATCATAATTAATCTCGATGACAAATCCAGATTTTCGGAGGAAGTTACTGTATAAACAAATTTAAATTAAACAGAAAAAAAATAGTTATGTATATCAATAAAATATCACTATTAAAAAGACTGCGACATGAAAATATATCATATTTTCAGTTCCAAATAAGTGTAAATTCGTGATAATGATATTAATTTAATATTTAAAAAAAAATTGTTTTATTATGTAAATTGTTTAAACTTTTAAATGCCAAAAAATTATACGTCGAATAAGGTTGTACTCGAATTAACGACCTAGCAACGGAGTCTTTTCTTACGCTCCTGCTCAATATAACGTACATGCAATAATTTATAAAAAAAATCTGTTTGTTACCAATTGCCATGAATTTTAACCATGTCATAATTTGTGAATAATGTATGAATAAACGTAAAACTAATCATTCATCTACAGTTTTTTAATTAGAAAAGTTTCGATCTCCTTACGTGAGTGATAGCCGCCACTGAAAAATCTGATGTCGCAATGTCATCGCCGGTGGCCTCAAAAATTGAAATTATGCATCATTGAATTAAACGCCACTTGACTCTAATGCAGATCGGAGAGAATAAAAAAAGAAAGTGCGTTTCTTAAAAGGCTACTAATAATTATGAATTCTTGCAAGAAAGCCTCGACCTTGAACTCGATGCGCACTTCCACTTCAGTTATTTTCATTTTCGCAAACGTAAGCTAGAGATTCGCTTTGTATCTGTCTCTTTCATACAATTGAACAATAGCAATTATGAAAAAAAGGACAAGTTTACTATTTTTATTTTTAGACATTAGACTTTTCACTTTTTTTTTCATTTAAAACCATTGAAGTCATATGTCCAATCCTGCAGCTTTGGAGAATTCGAGTTTTCTCATGACTGTATAAACGGCGTCTTCTACGCAGGGCTTGGATTTGTTAATCAGCCACTCCAATGTAGTGGGACAAATCACGAATATGGCAAGCGCACTTACTGCTGCTGGAGCAAACAACATCACGATCACCTAGTCACAACGAAACGATTCAATTATTTTATCATTTCTAGTTATTATTGTTGATTTTTCAAAGATAGGCTATATGAATTTTCTGAAAAATATACTTACGTGCCATATCGAGGATATTACGAACCATCCAAGCAATACCCTGGCAGCAGTTCTGGTATAGGGAGACAAGTTTCCGTTCTCATCGTATAATTTGTAAATAAAATCGGCCACAGTTGACGAAGATGATTTGAATAACCTATGGTAGAGTTTCATTTTGAACCTTGCTTTAGAGCTTAGATTTGAATTCAATTAATTTTTATTTTCTGAAGATTGGAGGGTAATTGCAAATAGAATTTGAAAGTCGAAAAGTTTTGAAAAATTTTGACGAAATTTCAACTGGAAAAATGATATCTGGTTTTTACGCTGAATTTTAATGCTGCGGACTAAATAACAAATGACATGAAAGTAGTCGTATATCATGTATATTATTATTTCATGGTATCAATCAATATACACCTGAAGTGTACTATATTGTAAAATAATAAATTAAAAAATCGAACAAATTCATAGTTAATGATTTAAAAATTTATTAAAAAAATAATGAATCACAGTGTTCAATGAATTGAATTAGTAGAATATTGTCCGAACTTTGTGGAATGGCAAATGCTCCAGCTCTGCTGTGTGTTCTCTTCTATAAGTCCATAAGAAAAAGTCCACTATTATGGAGTTAATAATATGATTTTCCTTTGCTAAATTTTCGTCAGCATTTATCAATTCGATGCATTTAGAAACTATAATTTCCACTGCGTGAATTGAACAACCTCGAATTTCAATCTCTTCAGAGCAGCCTGGTGTTAAGAGGTCATCTGCAAGAAGCGAAATAATGTTATATCATTTATTGCAAGCCAATATTTTTCTTCGTGTGCGTACAAAAGAACGGCCAGATAATCGATCTTATTATAGATAATTTTTTTCGTGACCACACTTTTGTTTTGAATGAATGACTTCTGAACTTGACCGTAAATAATTCAATCACTTCGCTACATTAATTATTATATTCGTAGCACAAAATTCTCATGCAGTGATTTCGTAGAATGATACAACGAGCATTCCAATCACGATAAAATTGATTGTGCTTGTTGACATTATTTACCAAGATAATCGTGAGAAATCGTTATTCATTAACAATTTTAAGCAGTTCCGAAATAACTTACCAGAACTCAATTTTTCATATAATTCCTTACTGTATTCGAGCATGTCGAAATGTAATAAAACTTGAGGTACCCTATAATCCGCAAACATGGAAATCTTATTAATATCGTAAAATTCTCCGAGGCCTTGGCCACCAAAATATGTCCATAAATCCGCTACTAATATCTGAGCCCTTTTGTAAAAAGAAACTAAAAACATTTTTGAAAAATCATTAAAATACATTCACTAATCCTCTTGAAAACAGTTATACGATGAGAAACGTAATTTTACCTTTCTGACATTTATCATTATCACAAAAAACAGCAACATCTTGGAAACATTTGAAATTTGAGACTATGATATCGAGTAATTTCATAGCAGACTTTTCACATGTCTCAATGCAAGTCAAAAATGTACCTACAATTTTTTTTAATCAAATTTATGCTTATAAAAATTTAAAGCTGGATGGTATATTCTGACAATTATACGTGCCATTAAATTTTTCTGCGAGTACGCTTCCAACTTCGTTTAAACATTTTAGTCTTTCTTCTAAAAGTGGGCACAAGCCACTTCCTTCATCTCCCCGAAAAATATTTTTCACTTCATTGAGAGTTATTTTGGATAGAAAAGATGCATTTGTAATGTCTATGCCATCCTGAAAATCATGTTCTTCCTCAGTCTTTACGAACTAATTTTTAGTATTTATTAAAGTAAATAGATCGATTTGGATGGTACGATAATCAATTGTATTATAAATAAATATTTAACATAATAAATACTAAAAAATGAAGCAGATTTTATGATTATTTATTTTTCTTAAAATTTCAACATTTTTTTTGAAAAAAGTAAAATTAATTTAACTTATTATTTTTATTCCGTCAGTTTTGCTTTTTTTGGCCATCATCCAGTAATTTGACCAGAGAATTGATTTATAATTTGAGCAATCCATCTACAAGTGGCGCAAATCAACACAAACTTTGTGCTTTTCTATATATCATATTTAAAGTAAACTTTATGATTGGAAGATTTTAAGATAGTTTTTAAAGACACTGGTCGACCATGCGATGCTTTTATACATTTCAACTGAATGCAACCAGTGAATATAAATTTTGAGTAAAATTAACTTTTTTCTTAGTCAATAAAAGCTCTGAGAACGTTTTTTCTTAAAAAGCGACATTTACGAAATATAAGGAGAAGGAGTAAAAGTATGACCCGACAAATTGACAAGTTTCGAACACATTTTCTCAATTAAACGAGGTTATGTATGTACTCCAACCATTCGATTGAGTTTTGTGCATGTATTAAAAATTATTATTAATGCAACTTCTGGCTACCGCTGCCTTACTAACTTTGGTTTAAATAATAAAATAAGTTATAACCGTAACTGAACTGAAAGATTCTAGAAAATCAACTCGGCGTATACCGTTCTATTCTAGAACTTAATTCTATCAATTAATAATGACTATGAAAATCAATTGTTTTAATCCTAATACAGATAAAATATTTAATCTGTGCTTTCTTTTTATGTTACGTCAAGTTTTCAACGTTTTTCGACGGATTTTTAAAATTCATTAAACTTCAATAAAATACAAATAATAATTGACTATTGCGATTGTTGGAAGGTTTTTTTTAAATTTAGAAAAAACATACCTCAATTGCTCTTTTCAATGCTGCACACAACGCATAATATCCGCTTTCTCCATTAACTTTCCATTTAGGGCTACTTTTATCATTCCAAAAACAAAAATTCAATGCATCTGAGATGAAAATCCAATCAATAGCATTAGAATAATTTTTAATTGGATGATATTTGGATAAAGAAAAAACGTTTAAACTCAAGTTGCCATTTTTCAGTTCTTCAATGATCTGTTTAATATATTAAACGTTTTGAATTATATTAGAATTTGATTTGAAAAATCTCAATATTCTAACCTTTCTAGCAACGAGGTCTGCTTTTTCATTTTTTATCGAAACATTTTTTGCATTTGTGGCAATCAAAGATGCTGATGCTTTAGGCAATAGAGTCAACATTTTCAGAAAATTAACTAATAATTAAAACAAGCAAACCAAATTTTAATCAAGTAAATTTTAAGAAATTAAAAAAATTTTCAAGAAATAAATGTGTATTTTGACGAGCGATAACTGGCGCTAGTGTATATTACTATTAACAGATACTATATTCTACTTTTAATAATTGATTATCTTCAAAATTTTATCTGTAACTTTGTTTACTATCTCACCTTTGTGTGTCTTCGAAAAAATTTTCAAATACCGATTGTAAACATATAGAAATTATTCTTTCAAATGCGTCATTTATACGTTTGATGTTTTTCCGAGCCTAAAATTTAAAAATTTCATTTTTTTGTCATCACGTGTGGGTATATTAAAATATGAAGAGTTTTGATAAGTTTTGCTTTGGGAATTCGATAAAAATAATCTGATCACGATAAATGATTGATTCCAAACTCTTTTTCAAGCTGAATCGGAACAGTGTCTTTTTCTCGAAACAACGCTTTGCGGAGCGCATTTTAAAAATAACTAAAAGTGCAACCACATAAGATTTCATAAAATCAATTTTTTCAAAATTAAATCTAATCTTGGTAAGCAGTTATAAGTAGAGATTTTAAATTATTTCTATACGAGTGCTACATTACTTTATAAAGTTTTTGAATCGAAGACGTTCAACAAATGACACTTCTTCAATCTCGTGATTAAACATCATAATAGTTCTAAGTGCACTAAACCTCGCACGTATTAATTATCGTACATAAAGTGTAATGTTAAAAATTTATGAAAATATATCTGTTGACAGTAAAAATTAACGAGATATACAGACTTTCCTAAAGAGCTTTGGAGCGTAAATTTTTGCTTGAATCATTTCCACTCAGTTTTTTACAACTGGTTCGGAGATATTTGACTTTCCAGCTTTTAAATAACTATAAAAAATTGAGCAGTATTAAATATTTTAATAAATAAAAAAACCCTAAATGATTTTAATTAAACTAATCGCTTGAGTATAAAAATTGACCTAAATATAATGGATGTGAATGAACGTTTTGAACATTAATTGTCTGCAGATGTCTGGTTTGTTTAACCAACAACATATAGAATATAATTTTATAATCTTTCGTATAGCGGCACTTAAATAATATGTTATCATCAAATGAAGATAATTAAGCGTGTCAGTTTCTCATGCAAGAGTCGGACGTACGAAGTTTACACGAGCAGCGGGCGAGCTATCATGTGCGCATGTGCGTGGTCTTAATAAAAATCATACTCATAGATTTCAATGTATTTGCTTGTATTTTTACTTTGCTTAATAAAAATGACAGCTCCGACGAGCGCGTTTTCTAATCGTTCGATCGACCAAACAGCTCAGGACATTGATTAAATAAATATTTTAATAGAGCCAGCTTTCGTCACGAGCCCGACGAACATTAAAAGCAGAGTTCGAGTTTTCCTCTCACTGTTGAAAAAAGAGGAGAATAATCAATAAACAAGATGAAAATTTTGCCTCTGAGGATGTGCACGAAATTGATGTGCGAAAGCTGTACTGCGCAAAAGCATCGAATGCTTCCAAGAAACAGATGGAGTCCTGAAGCTTTAGCTTAGTACAAGCACACATCGCCAACGCACGATCACACTTGACCATTCCCGCGACAGGCAATATAATTTGCATTACAAGTAATAGACTTTTTGTAACGTTGATAAATGTAAACACAATTGCGAATGAAAATTATTCTTATTCTTTTCTCGACAAGCATCGATGTGCACATCCACGCATACATTTATATATATGAATAAAAAGCAAAGTCTCGCATTCGCAGAAATCTTATCGAGCTTTATGCGAACGTGATACTCTGGCTGGCAAATAATAATTAGCATTGAGCTGAAACAAATTGCCTCACGTCTATTTTTGTAATTTTTTTTTTATAGGATCATACGTTTGTTAAATTGAGTAAATAATGGTCATTGATAGTACAACACTGCCGAAAAAAAGTTGACCATGTTCAGTTGAGATAAAGAGATGAGTGAGATTGTAGAAATTATCGTTACTAGTGGTGGGAGGCGGAAACTATCATGCTGTTCTACCGAGTGTCATGCTGTGTATTGAAGAGAGAATTGAGTATTCGTCGTTCGTGCTAGCAGCGTTTTTTCTTGCCAGTCCGCACACGAGGTATGGTTTTGAAAATTCATCGCTCTTATTTACATTTTTGCTAAAAACACTTGCGGCCAAGTTTCGTGTGATACGTGCACGTACCGTAATTAACCAGTGAATATAATTGCCCGACTTTGTGATATTCCCTATAATCGACCGCGTGCTTACGACCTGCACGGGTTCAGTTATTTACTTATTCGCGGTGTGTATCGTAAATACTCGTATAAACATGTGCTGATAGGTAGGTGTAAGGTGTTCGTGGGTAAACGTGTGTACTCAGTGTTGTGCGTGATCTGTCAAATAATTAGTCGACTTCGTTTGATACTTTGGTGAAGTGCTCAATTTTTTTTTAAGCCAAATTTTTAAATTCATATTTTCATTATTAAAAATAATTGTGGTGATTTTTGAGATTTCTTGTAAAGTTACAGTTTGACAATTAATGTCATGATTATTTGCCAGTGAAGCAAACAATTTGCCATTACTATCAAGAGCGTATCCGTAGATAAATGCAACGTTTATAAATTTTACGACAAGTAAACAGTCTTTAGCACACTATTTCTGCGTGTCAAGAGTTTATATAATTCCTCCTTGACTTCCAGGCACAGGTGCTGTTTAAAGTAATATGCAAACTACACATAATCACTCGGTTGAAAATTGTATCGCTAAAAATAAAACTGCTTTTATGTTTTTAAAAAATAGTATCAACGCGGCACAAAATTAGAAGAAAAAACTCGGTGTTCATTTTTCAAAAAAAAAAAAAAAATTATTTCGTCAGAATCGGAAATGACGCACGCACACCTGATGTTCGAATCATTAGTTAAGAGTATTGCTTGTGACTTGAACGTTTCAGGTTTATGGCTATACAATCAAACTTAATGAGCTCTGATACCATACGAAATTTTCGTCCAACGCCGAAATACATGTGTCTTTTGTGAACTGTTCACGTGCGGGTTTACTGTCAATTTTGCTTCGTAAAATCATGCATGATATCTTTTAGCAGCTCCAATCCCGAATGAAAATTAATGCTTCCTATATATGATGCGTGTGCGTGTGTATATAAAGCTTAAAATTTAAATTGTCAGTTATGCGAAAGACACCTAATTAAATAATTCTTCAAGAATATGAATCATTCATTTTTTCCACGCGCGTAGAATTTTTTGTCTAAGTAATAAAATGTTATTTGTTTTAGCCTGATAACTATACAGATGATATAAGCTACGCTATATAAAAGAAAATTTGAAGAATTTAATGTAAAAAATGTCTAAACGCGCGTCAAATTATGTCAAAGCGGTCGAAGGAGGTCCACCACCGACACATCAGGTATATTAATTTTATCTTTTAAATTTATCTTTATTGATTAATTCAATCGACTAGTGCGAGAGGCTGGATTTGGAACGAGCCCTATATGCTGCGTTGCAAAATGACCTGTTTGATGAATATTTAATGAGAAACGACTACGCTCACTTTGCGTTTCTCGCCTCATTTTCAGCGAATAAAAAAATAATAATTTTATTGATCTCTCACCTGTTTCATTGCACGATCTCATGAATATTTATTCATTCAATAATACTTGCGCGCACTTTAATGGCTATTTTATACGAAAAATTGTGCGATTTTTCAGGTGATCGAATCGAAAATATACAAAAGAAGATGGGTGGTTTTGGGAATTTTCGTTTTGTACAGTGCTTGCAATGCCATGCAATGGATACAGTACTCCATCATCACAGACATCGTAAAACAATATTACGATGTCGGAGAGTTTGCCGTGTATATGACCAGTATGATATATATGATTACTTACGTTCCTTTTATTTTTCCTGCGAGTTATTTTCTGGATAAGTTTGTAAGTATGTTTTTATCATTTAAACCTGAGCATAAAAATGTTGCAATGATTCAACAACCGAAGGGGATAGTAATGCATATTTTGCTAATAAATTCAGACAGTAGTATTGTATGACGATTATTCTTAATGGCGATAAATTTAAGTTAATACGCCCGTATGTAGTGTCGCTGTAATTGCCAATTTGAGCACATCGATTTCAGTTGCTATGTTCAAATGTAATTCTGCTATACTATCCATTAACTTATTCCCAACGGTTGAAGAATACTTGCAATTTCATTTAATTTTAATTCATGATTTCATTTAAAAAATTAGCAGATTAAATTGTTGATCGGTAAATCAATACGCGATGCATTATAAATTTTATTAATGCATGCATTTTTCGATTAATTTATATTTTCCACTCGGGTAATTCAATGGATTTGAGCGACGATCGATGATCATCTGCATGATTTGACATCATAAAAATTGTTAATGTGAAACCGTCAGGTTCGATATAATAATGAACATAAATTCTAGGGTCTTCGATATTCGACAATTCTGGGCGCAGTGGGAACCGCTATCGGTTCCTGGATAAAATGCTTCAGCGTATCTCCGGATCTATTCTGGCTGACTTTTACTGGCCAGACAATAGTTGCAGTGAGCCAAACGTTTATATTGTCAGTGCCAGCACGCTTGGCAGCCGTTTGGTTTGGACCCGATCAAGTGAGCAGTGCTTGCAGCATCGGCGTTTTTGGAAATCAGGTACTCGCTCTTACTCCCCTTCATCACCAATGTCGCAATTTTCATCCTTACATTTTTATTTGCGCTATTTTTATAATGGTCTTGCATAAGTTAAAATTAACTCGAAATCATCGCATCCATCACAGTTCAATCTTCAGAAAGTTCTTTGACTCTCCTAACAATAATAAACATTTTGCAGCTTGGTGTGGCGATAGGCTTTTTATTTCCACCCATGATGGTTCCAGGTACCCCAGATACACCAAAAAGTACTATCGGCCAAGGTTTATCACTTATGTTTTATCTCGTAGCCGGAGCTTCGAGCGTCATATTGATTCTAATATTGTTATGTAAGGATAAACAGCAATGATAACGTTTCATATTATGAACAATGATATCTCTAATTTATCAATTGTTTTCTGCTACTGCTTTATTATAATTTGAAAATTCTTAATTTACTGAGGGTTTTTATTTACTATTTTTTTTTATACTATTGAAGGTAAGAAATTAATTCCGTACTTTTTATCAGTTTTCAAGGATCAACCACCCTTACCACCAAGTCCAGCCCAAGCTGTGCAAAAAGAAGTCGAAGCTTCTGAACATTTTATGTCCTCTCTTAAGCGTCTATTCACAAATTATGGCTATCTAATTCTGCTGGTCAGTTATGCCATTAACGTTGGAATTTTTTATGCCTTGAGCACTTTACTGAGTACGTTGGTTACAACACACTACGAGGTAAGTCTCTGAATACATTTTTATAAACTTAGGCATAATATTAGCATGATATTACCAATTGATTCGTTTTTAGAATGCTTCAATTGACGCTGGACGCATAGGTCTGAGCATTGTGTGCTCTGGTATGGTGGGATCTGTTGTCTGTGGAATTATTTTGGATAAAACCCACAGATTCAAGTAAGAATTGAAAAATCAACTTCAGCTCAGAGAAATAAGAGTAAAATTAAATTCATTAATGTGTTAAAATTTTCAGAGAAACGACATTAGGCGTCTACATATTTTCATTCATTGGAATGGTAATTTTTACTTTTACATTGGATGTGGGTAAAATTTATGTTGTTTACATAACTGCGAGCATTCTTGGGTAAATTTTTTTTGTACCTATAAAATACTTTTCCAAAGTCAGCGAGGTAACGATGTTCTGGATTTTTCAGATTCTTCATGACCGGCTATTTACCGGTTGGCTTTGAATTCGCTGCTGAATTGACATATCCCGAGCCAGAGGGTACATCAGCTGGACTCTTGAACGCGATGGTACAAATTTTTGGAGTAGCTTTTATCTCTCTGTATACAGAACTCATCGAAGTCTGGGGAGATCAATGGGCTAATATCGTTTTATGTGTGATTCTGTTTGGAGGAACAATTCTCGCCTACATTATACCCAACGATCTTCGACGACAAAATGCCAAATTTTAAACTAACTCTGAGCGCATGTTTGGCCTAGCAAGTGTGTTACATTATCTTTACATACTGCTAGGAGCTAAAAAAGTAAATTAAATAAAAAATTGTAATGTAAACATATGAATGTGTGCGTGTACCATACAAATTCATATTTTTACATTATGAGAGAAGACATCCGAACACATTAGCCCTGTGCATGTTAGGTGATACAAAATATTCTGTGGTTTTTTCTAACGTATAATTTTGATATTTTACGGAATGACTGTTTTCGTTATTGGTATTTTTGAGATCAATATTGTTATTGTGATATTTTGTTGATTGAAAAAAGGCCTCTCACGTAGGCTACAACTCTAACCGCCCACAAATAGTCGTACAAAATTCGCATGTAACATGGAAAATCAAGTTTTAAAAAATTAATCGTATCTTTGTATTAAATTTAACATATATGTAATTGTACATATAAAAAAGACAGGCTCTGCGTAGCGACGTACTTTGTTCAAATAAGACGAAAATTTAACGACGACATTTTTAACAAACCTGATGGTGCATTTGGAAATATAACGGTCTCGCCGAGTTATAATTTAATACTCTGTTTATAATAGCAAAGGACAGTTGATACTCATTGAGAGGTACTAATTTATCAATAGTATTCTAAACTTCCCATTCAATATTGTTTGAACAAAATTATGAAACCGCCGAAATCATAAATTGTACTAAATGCGCCGAAATCAAATTTTAAAAATTTTTTAATTGTTGACTTTTAAAAGTTGAATACTCTGCAAATAATTGTTCGTATTTGACCCCAGTAAAAACCAAAAGTAAAATAATTGTAAGAAAGAAGAAAGTCAACACGATTGTTGTACAACCATCAAATAAATGAATTTTATACTCTTTACCTGAATTTATCGGTCATCCAGGAGATGACCTGCAATTATTTATTCAACATAAGTAAATATCGACGAAGCTCGTTATAGCGCATGATTGAAAGAACGCAGTACAACTAAACAAAGAATATAAACGATGTAATTGTATATAATTAAAGATTTACTAGCAATTGATGTTAGTAGGTAAAATTTTTAGAATCTTCAGAGTTTAACAAAAAATATTATAGATAATTAATAGAAATATATCACATAAAATATCACACTTGTAAGAAATAAGTATGTAGTGATTACTATACTTATAGGCATTTATTTGGAATCATGCCAAAACTTATCTTGTAGATTAATCTACTTCGAGATTCCATTTAATATTTTCGTTCCTACTTTATAAAATTAAAATACTGATCAATATAGGATCATTGATAAAATATATACGTGAGTTAGATAGTCAATATGTTAGTTCGTTTAGTCTCAAAGTTAGTTGGCTAAAACATAGTTTCTACCTAAGAATTTATATCAGCACAACGATCAATTATTATCATCTCAGATGGAAAATATTTTCGAAAGAAAGTTATGATGAATTTAAGATTTTACCTAGTATAACGTCGGATGAAGATGAAAAAAACAGTTGTTGAACCTTGCAGTAAGAAAGAGATGATAAACTAGACACAAGCACTGAAAACTTTTGCATAATATATACAACGAGATTTAGAGATTTGAAAATAGCAGAATTTAAGTGACAATAAAACAAAGATATACGTACAGATTTTTTGAAGCACTTGTCGTCAATTAGAACAAATATCGAGAAAGTAAAAAAATTACATAAGCTTCGAAATGTAAATGACAATATTGTGTCAATGCGTATCGTATTGTCGATTATCATGTTATAGCTAACAAATATCATAGGCCTACGCTTATACGTTGGCTTTTAAATGAATGTTTTTTATGGCACTCCTCTTTTATTATTTTCTATAATTTCTTTACGGATATATTCTATACAGTATTTTGCTAAATACTTTGCTAAACAAGTAAAGACAATGAGCAAAAATCGATGCATAATGTAATAGACTCTAGAAAGAAGTACTATCAGTGTATAAATATACCTGTTTCCTTGCCTTATACACAACGTTAAAGAATAATACAAAAAAGGACAATAACAATGTTATCGACGAGACATATCATTTATTATTTGTTGAAAATAAATAATATTTTAGTGAACACTTTTTGTCGATTTTAAGTGATTAATGAAACCATAAACCAGTTATGAATAAATCTAAGAATGTGACAATAGGTTTATATTATCTATAAATAGTATAGTATGAAGCATATTTTTTCACTTTAAATTTATTGTTGCAAAATGGTATACATTATTTTTTTCATATTTTATAAAGCTATAAGACCGTTTCAGCATTTATCAGCAGTCTTTTTTTGAAGATAGGATCATTTTTTATTATTTGCATTTCTTATATCATAAATTATAATGAATTCACGAGCATGGTCATAAAATTTATCAATATTGGAAGACACAGACATATTTGGTCACTATGGATTCAGCAGTGATAATTACCTTATACTGAGCACATATAGTAAGTTAATGCAACGTATCAATTACGATTACTAATTAAAATGCAGTTTCGAGTAAGTTCATATAATTTCATTTTTTCAAACATTTTTCAATATAATATTCAAGAAAACAAATAATAAATACTCTTTTTATATAAAAACTTTTTTATAAATATTTCTAAAGTTTTCTATCATAAATCAAATCAACAAAATAAATAATCAAATGAGTCCAGCATTTGATGAAAAAAAATGTTACAAAAAAGCCAAGCAGCATGTACATAATTTCATGTATAAAATGTTTAATATATACGAATACTGCTTATTATTTATCATGTATAACATAATTCTCTTTTGGTTCAAGTAATATGGATGATTAGAAAGCAAGTTTAGCTTAAAATTCAGTTGCCAATAGTTTTTTCGGTGGATTTTCAATCGACCGTTTGCTCTGAATCAAGCGAAGTTCATTTTTAGTTGCCCTCTGCAAATTCGTATCTTTTATTCCTGAAATTAGAAAAGCTTTTAATGTTTACTCTTGAAGATTAAAATAGTCTTCAGTTATTATACCTGTAGAATATTCATAAGTTTTCAGAAGAACATCATGCAGTGAATTGATGGTATTTTCAAATGCAACCTTTATATTATCATCCAAATAAGAACGTGCCAATAATAAAGCAGCATACAAATCTCCTGTGCCGGTGTACAAACTTGGAATACGTGGCACATCAATTTTGATTACTTTACTACCTGTTTAACATTAAAATATTATAATTCATTGTATCAAAATATTAATGCGTAAAAATAGAAATTTTCATTCACCATCTTCTGTGCTAAGAATCGACGTTAGTTTGTCATCAATGTCAGTGGAAGATACAGCAATCGTTTTCGGTCCAAGGCTGTGAAGTTCTTTTATTGACTGTCTTAATTCTTCCATTGAGTTAATTTTTTTGCCTAGTAATGTTCTAAAAATAGGTAATTAAATGAAAGTTACTTGATGATAATTTGATCATTTTCATAGATTCACAATCGATACTCACTCGACTTCAAAGTGATTAGGAGTCAAGATGTCGGCAAGAGGGACAATTTCCTTCTTGTAAATTTCGATCAATTCTTCTGGGACATACATTTTACCATTGTCACCCATTACAGGATCACATACTATAAACAAAATATTGCTATTGTAATTTAAGGTAAAAATTAGTATCACACATTTTGTTAAATACCCACCGTACGTTAATTTTGGATTTTTTAGCTTTAAGCTTTTAACTACTTCAGCGATCCTTTTTAAGAATGAGCCAGATCCAACATAGCCGGTTAGTAAATGCGTGTAGTTATCCAAATCATTTTCAGCTAATCCTTCCACCAGCGAACCTATATAATTTGATCGGATTAATATCAAATACTTTTTGCGTAATAAATGTAATTATTCAAAACTCACTTAAATCTTTATCGTTCAGTACTTGTCCTTTAAAAACTTTATAACCAGTGTGATTTGATAACTGAACAGAGTTAATCACATCGACCTCGAAACCGAGAAGCTAAAATGTATAAATACAATGAATATCTCATTTTTTCAAAGTAAGGATGATTTATCAATTACATTTTTTACGCAACTAGATAAAAAAAATTGTTAATTAAATATTCATTAGACATTCCGGATAATTCTGGAGGTTCAGAGATATGGATTTTATAACGATACACTTTCGATACTCTGTGGGTGTTCTATAGACACGACGATGATAATGCATTTTTTGACTGACACCATAACGATCGCGAATGAAGGTATACACGAAAAAAATCCATTTTTCAACTACCGTTTTAAAATCGTCAAATAAATTAGACACGTTGTCTATCATGTGCCAATCGCGTATAACTTTAATGATTCGAATGCTGCAAATGTATGCAAACATTACTACCGCACCAACGAATACCCGTTTCCCCATAAAAAAAAATTAACAGTAAAATCTACTTGAAACAAAGTCAATGCTCAGATATAAATTCATCTGTATTATTGGCACTAACACTGTACCAGGCTTTTTTTATTGCCAATTATTTGTTGAGTCAATTGCTTTATTGTTTTCTTAAATGTAAAATACTTCCATATTGTAAATTCACGTCTGTACTGGATTTTTTTCAATTTCAAGAGTAACATTACGCAACGAACGACGATTGTAAAATTGATAAATAAATCAAGCGATATATCGTACGTTTACCGTAGATAAATTTGCACGATAAGAGGCTGAACCATTTTTAACGTTTATGTTCGAGAATTAAAAAAAATTGCAACAATTTAAAATGAAAAACTAGAATTTTAAATAGAACCCATATAAATGTAATTTTTCATTTTTATTCATAAAAAGTCAAAAAGCCACTTGACAAGTAATTGTTCTCTCACCTGTAATGGAAAAGTAGCACTTTTATTGCCAACATATCCAGACACAACGTGGCTCTGGATGGAAAGTACTCTAGGCGTTGAATTTCCGTTCATGATGATCGTCTAGGATGGTTATTGAAATGGAATAAAATCAAATAGCAGCGGCAAAAAAGCAATTCCGAGCTCGAGGACGAAAGACAAGACGCGCTAATACTTGGCTGCTAGCGAGCAGAATGATGCGAGCAGAAAGTTTTGTCTTCGGCATTCGGTCTTGCCTCCGACCAGCTGACTATATGGCGCATGTCTCGCGCAAATAAACTTATCATCTGTTATCTGTTATCTAGTTTTCTGAAATTTGACGTTCTTGGCTTATGTTATAATCAACTAAAATTTCATAAAAATAACCACCAGTTCATTAATTTTCTCCCAATGAAATGTTAGTAAAAGTTTACTAATTTGTTTATGATTTAAAGAATTTTTAATTTTGCGACATTAAAATATTATAATTCCAATAATTTATTACATAGGCTTTCTAAGGCACAACACAGCTTTTTGATAGGCTTATTAAAAATTTATTTGGCCATCATAAGAACATATCAATGAAACAGAGTTTAAAGCGCAAACTTTAAATTTAAATTGAAGTATCTCAATTTTGGAATCAAACACTGGGCTTCCTCTACATTTTCGGAGCAAGTTGCTGACGAATTCGGCTCGGCACTGTAGAACTTAACATTATTCGCAGGAAGGGTAAGGAGAAGGGGAATATACACACACTTTAGGACAGCCGGTTGCCGTCAATAGCTGTTCACAATTCACATGCTTGCGCATATTAGTATTTCGCACTCGCAGACGCCATATCGACTCTCCTCGAGTCGCGGTTGTAACTTGTAAACGCACTGTAACCTTAAAGTTGGTGAGGGTAGTCTGTTGTGCGTGGAAACTAGAAGCACGCTACTCGCGCGAAAAAAGTAGCAGCTAGTATCGCAAAAATGGCGGATGAAAACGAAGACCAGTGGTTATACGGCGATGCCGTTGATCCCAAAGATCCACCAAATTCCAATAATGAGCTCAGTGATAATAACGAATCCAAATACAATAACGACGATGCGTCTTATCAACAAAGTGAAGACGCTCGAGACGATCTTAACGACGAGCAACAAATGCAACAGTTACGCGAGGCAAGTCATTCATGAGCTAGCGCTACAAAAAATTTTATGTCTTTACTTCTCTCCCTCGCATTATTTCGTGCAGGGACAATTTCTATTTCAAAATTTCAGAAAATATTTAAATGGAAAAAAGTTGACAATTTTACAATGCCGACAACGTAGATTTTATAGCTTGTAATCAAACAACTATTCCTTCCACTTCTATAATTCTCTCTTAAAATAATAAATAATTTAGTAAAAATCGTTATTGAATTTTCAAATAAATTCTTATGATATCAATGGAAGTACATACAAAAGTCAATGGTGTTACTTACTAGATTTTTGACTAGCAGTATTCGTACACATGACAGAAGTAGTGTTTGTATAGTTCTGAAGAGGTTTATAAAAATCATCTTTGTAATGAACAAATATTTGAAGTCCCATAGTGATGAATAAAATCATAATTTATAAAAATATATTTTATTGTTTTTGACATTTTTTGTCTTTAGATACTAACAATGAAAATTCATTACTAGAACTTAACTTTTTATACATTTTTTACTTTGTTCTATTTTGCTTTGAAAGTAATAGGCCATACCATATAAATGTTCATATATTTTTATTACAAATATTAATTTTTATTTCCTTTCTTTAGTTGCAACAGTTGGAAGCTATGGGGCAATCTGACAACTGTCAAGATATTGAGCCTTTTGATGAAGATGATAGCAATACTCAGCAGCCTCTCCCTAGTCAAGATGAAGATTCAATGACTAACGATGCCAAGTTAAATGGAACTAGTGAAAAGATTAAACGTGAAAGCCGAGATAACTCTAACACCGAAACCGATGATGATGATGATGATGTGGACGTTGTCATTGGTGATATCAAGTCAACACCTCCTCAAGCTTCGCAACAATATAATAGTCTGAATATTAAAAGAGGTTTGCTCACAACGTCTACTACAGCACAAGAAAAGTTAAAACAACAGCAGTCTGGCAAATTCAGTATTGATGAATTTGAAACGATAGGTTCCATTAATGGAATTCCTGCTCATGAATTTAATTTAGACACTTTAGAAGATAAACCTTGGAGACAGCCTGGAGCAGATATCACTGATTATTTCAATTATGGTTTTAATGAAGAAACATGGCGAGCATATTGTGAAAGACAGAAAAGAATGAGAAGTGAATCTGGTGCTGGTTTAATACTGAATACTGGAACTGGTGCACCTCCTGAAAATTCAGTTGCTCCGGGTGGAGCAAGAGTGCCACAAGTTACAATAACTAATTATAATAGTAAGTACTCTGGAATAAGTGGACCTAAAAGAGCAGGACCTCCTCCAGGTAGAAAAATGGCTGGTACTATAGATGTTATCGGAAGTACAGGATTAGGTTCACGTAGAAATTCTGAAAAATCACCACCAAAAGAAAATGTTATACAAGTAATGACAGCTGATAGAAGAGAATATTCAAGAAAGCCACCAGTGTTTCCAGATGTTAGTGTTCCACCACCAGTTCCAAATCCGATTCCCCCTGCTTTTAATATGCCTCCTCCTGGTTTTCCACATCCTGAACCAGTACCATCATACTTCTTACCAGAACCAGATCCATACTACAACAGTTACGAACCAACACAAGATAGGCAATGGGGAAATGATCCTGTAAGTTTTATTTACACATGTCTAAAAATATTTCAATTTTAAACAAAAAAAGTTCATATCAATCTTTATTTACAGACTTGGCAGCCATCAAACATAAACATTCCCCTAACTGGTGATGAAATGAAAGATTCAAGAAAATCATTATCAATGAGGGACCGAGACCGAGAACGAGAACGTATTCGAGGTAGAGATGACCGAGAAAGAGACTACGATGAAATACGAGAGCGTGAAAGAGATAGAGAACGTGAGCGAGAAAAAGATCCAAGAAGAGATGAACGCGAAATTGAATCAGTTACTCGAGAAGATGAACGTAACAGATCGAGGTCCCAATACAGACATAAAGAAAGCAGACATCGGCATCGTTCGAGATCGCGGTCGAGACGACACAAGTCACGATCAAAAAGTCCTAGTAGACGAAAAAAGAAGTCAAGGCGTTCGGAAAGAGAACGGTCTAAAGAAGAAAGCGATTAATTATCTGAAATTCCAAAATCGTTTTGCTAGTGTAGATTAATAGCAATTTACACGATAAAATGTACATTAAAAAAATTGATATTCTTTCATTAAAGAATTGATAACTAGTTAATGTGTGAATAAGTAGCTTTGAATTTAGTAAGCTAAAATTGCATTTTATAAATTAGGATTTCATTCATTGCTTTTTTTAAAAACAACATTATTGTGAAAAGATAATTAAATTAAGCTTTCTATTTCAATAAGATAGTGTATAATGAACAGTTGTAAATATACAAACCGTTAATAAAAATGAACTAATTTATTATTTCAACTTTTTTTGTTTATTAAAATTACTGAAAAACTCTCAAGTTTCATAGTTATAATGATATGATATATGCGGTAAAATATATTCCGGCAAAATATAATGTTACCGAATACGAGTACGAATTTGAAAACAATTTCGTAGACATAATATTTCTGTAGTAAATTCGCACCTTTACTAAGACTTAACTTGACTTAATAATTACTTGATACAATTATTTATGCTCGCCATAAATTATTGCCAATACATCGACTCGCGGCAGTTAATATGTTTATAATTAAAAGAAATATTATCTACGCAAAACGTCCATTTTAACAACAGTTCATTCTCAAGTCATAATAATAAATACACGATTCTAGTATAAAATGAAGTATTGGTAAAACACTTGCATCTATATAACATGTACATAAACAATCACATGATACAATATAATACAATATATAATGTACTATTATAGTCGTTAATAACAGCGTTTTTAAAAGACAAAAATTAGTTTATTTAAATAATTAGAGAATAAATTTGTTGGCCGAATGCTAGAAAACATCTGGCTTCTCCACGACTTTGAATATATTGGACAGCTCGTCGACCAGAGTTTCGTATCGGTAGGCCACTCTAATATCCGGTACGTTGGTGCGTGTAATGTCGTTACCTGCGACACCCTCTTTTGTGTAGTTAGGTCCCAACCAGTATTGCTTGCTCTTGAATGAAAAAATGAGGCATATAAAAACAGAAAAATAACGATTAAAAATAAATATTTCGAACATAATGTTACCTTGTGGGGAAAACCACTCATTATAACTGAATTCCTGGCAAGCTCACACATATCGCAGGAGCTGAGCTTCCACACCTGAGCTGCAATGCTGTACTCCTCCATGAGGGGTTCTTTGGTGAAGTGAAATTGCAAAGGATCGTCTGTCGACAGACTGACGCACAAGCCTCTGGCAAGATATTCGGGCAAGGGATTGCGATGGTAATTCAAGAAGAGCGAATTGTTACTCAGTGGCGACATGGCGATTCCGATCTGAGCTAAGTAATATAAATACTGTAATACTGGCACTTTCCTAAGTAACAAACCGTGGGATATGTTTTCAGCCATCATGAAACCACACACCAGATGCTGTATTGGCCCAGCCTCGCCACAATGCGGTCGCAAAACAAACGTGTTGAGATCTTGATCTCTGCGTACACGTGCAATCGTATTCCATGTAATCACATATTTTTAAATATTTAAAAAAATGATTAAATAAAAATTACTCACGCTCTGAACTGATTGAGAACTGTCATATTAGCATAAGTGTAATACTGGTAATAAGCGTAAGGCGGATTTTCAATGTCAGTCCAATTCTCTGGTGTATTAACGTCCTTATCAAATAGAGGATTTTCTGGTTTGCTTTCGTCGTCCACTGAATCAAATCCAATGACCTGCGAAAGGAGACAAAAAAAAGAGATAATACTTAGATCGGGCTGACTCTTGAGAAAAAAATACTTACGTATTGAAGAAATTTATGCAATTCTGGATGAGATTGTGGGTCATTCGTTACCTCGAACAGGGGCAAGAAAATATTGTTCAAAATCTCTTGGAATTTTGTCATTAACTTGTTCAACTTGAAGATATCGCTAAAAGTGTGAATAGAAAAAAGTGAGTATAAAATGAAAAACGAGATTATTCATGCATGATTCAAGCATCAATATTACTATAGTCTGGGTATTTGTATAAGCCATCGAACATTGTCCGAGTAAACGTCACTCTGGATCGCCCACTTGGCCAACTTATCCCATTCCTCAGGACTTTTGCCATAGATGGATAGCCTCAACTCTGCATTTTGATATTTTGATTCCTCCAAGTCACTCGCCACTTCCTTTATTATGTTGGCAAAGAATGTGCCGTCGATGTAGTTGTCGGTTTTCAGAAAAACTTCTCTCAATCTGCTCTCTCCGATCGGATTATACTTGGCGTTGAATTTGTCAAATCTGTGAAAAGTGTTTCTGTCCTAAATGCAAAAGAAGGACAATTATTCTTTACTCTGTCAGCTGATGTTTAGAGAAATGGACGTGGAAAAACTCACTGCATGGACATCGAGCATATCAACACTGAGATCGTAAGTGGTCAAATTCATCGATTGAAAAACCTCGTGCAAAGTCATTTTCTCGTCGTTCTTCGAGCAAGTGACAACCTGATCCGCGTGATTTTTCAGCGTCTTCTTGATGAATCTCAGCAGGTGTTTTTGATTCATGCAGGAGGCCGCGTGAATGTGGGTGTCGACTTTCCTGATGTTATAAAAATCTCTGTGGGGCACGGCCTTCTGACTGGCGAGCTCGCGCAACTCGTTGAGAAGTACGTGCAGCTGAAACTTGGACGACAAGTAGCTCAATCTTCGATAACAGAAGGACTTGAGCGGCCCATCGGCGATCATGGTGCAGAGCAGGTTCATGTCGCGCACGAAATTCGCCAGATCGGGGTACGCGTACGGGACCGGCTTCTGCTTGGCCAAGTCGTCCTCTGAGGCGAACACGTTGAACACCCCGTTGACCGAGGCGATCTTGTAGTTCTTGCTGGGGGGAAACTCGCAGGCCCAGGGATCGCCTCGCGAGGCCGGCGCGTGCACGGGATGGTCCTCGATGGTTTGCCGATCGTCGTGCTGCACCTCGTCGTCCGCGTTAACCGGTTTTTTATCGATACTGCGCAGAAACCTTGACGTTATGCTCGGGAAGGTCTGTTTCGAGTTGTTCATGTATTTTTCTCTAATAGCCAAGGCTTGCACCAACATGTGCGAGGCTCTTTGCAAATCTTCGAGCGGCACCTGTAATTATCATCACGTATTATATGTCTTATGGCGTACGCCTATACACATGGTAAACGAGTTAATGTTGCATCGCGAGACTCGTGGCGTTATGTAAAGAAAGACCGTCGCGTACGATATATGGTAGACTCACGAGGTTTTTATCGACAAAAGTTGAAAAACAGTCATTTCTTTGGCTTCCCTGTCACTGAGACTCGAGCCAAGGTCACGTTGGCTATTTTAATTGATGGAATAAATTTCTACAGACGATTTAAAAATAATCAATATCTCTACTTGTACTCACCCCCGAGGTGTCCTCTCCAGATATGGATACTCGTTGAAAGTGAGGTACAAAGTCATTTTCTTCAAGGGGAAAGTGATGATCGGTCTCGTCGGGAAACGGGCCCAACGATGGCTCATAATGGCTTCGACGCTCTTCCAGGTCCTTTGCGGCTCTGCAACAAAAAAATACTTGACCGTGTATTTCTAATTTTTTTCAATCAAACTCAACGAATCAACCAAAATCGTATCAATTTCGTAAAATTCATTACCGCAGCAACAATTTGCAATCTCTCAACCAGCGTTTGGATTCGACAGCCCCCGCAAACATGATTTTTAAAAATCCACGCAATTAATTACGTTGTTTATTTACCGACTCTTTTGTTTTATCAAAGTTGCAGCCAAAAGTCGAAGACAGTGGACGCAGCACGATTAAAAGTTAAATATATATATTATGAAGAGACGAAAAAGAAAAAAAAATAAGACGCGATAAGCTGTCACGAGTACACTCGAGCGCGCAATGTCTTAACCGGTTGGCGAACATCGAGATACTGAATCAGTAAAGTAAGCTTTTTTATGCTGTAACCTCTAACCTCGCGAAACGTACTTAAGCCTTGTAACGTCAATTTGTACTAGAAAACGAGCCGATTGATATAATTATTTAATTATAAGTTATAGAGATATTTTTTTTTTTGCTTACTTGACGGTCAACTGTCGCTGTATGAGCAATTTCTTTTCAATCTGTTCAATGGGGAACTGCGGCACCTCATAAGGAGCTGATATTTCATTGGGCAATTCTTGCTGTATCGCACGTAGGCCGGAATTTTCATTGATTTTTGCGTCTGGATTTTCGGCGCCGTACAACGGGCTCTCGCTTCCTAAAAAATATGTCAATAATCTCGAATTTAATACTGTTTTCTTGTCGAAAACGTGAACTTTTTAAACATTTATGTACATTTATCTGAAATGAGTATTAATACATGTGGTATGTGTATTACCGGTCGCATTAATTTTTAAAGAAAATTTGGACAAAACAATTATCACACGTTCAGAAGCAAAAAATATTTATGGAGTTAGAAAACAATACGATTTCAATATCATTGTTTACCAACAATATTAAACAATATATCCAATACACATTAAATTCGGTAAAAATTGTTGTGGCATACGGAAAGAGTTCGATGAAAATTACCTGCAAACCACGAGGTACATTAGTTAATTGTTATAACACAAATAAATTGTCGGTGCGTTTATTTTTGGTACCGATTTTTTTTTTTGACATATTGACAAAGGAAATAAATATCATTTCAAATCCCCTTTTCACATTAAAAAACTGACAAGCATTTGAAAAAACCAAGCAAAACCATCAAATTCAATCTGTCCAGTGAGATTAATTGACAAGACAAGGATATCTTCTTGCTGTTGATACTTTCGTTGTTGTATTTTGTTACTTACGATAAAGAGGTTGATATTCATCGTCATCGATGAACAAATCTGGAGTACTCAAATAATTTAAATAGGATTCACGATTTCCAGTCGGAGTAACACCTCTACTCGACATTTTGCGCTTATCTAAATCTAATAAAGATTCGGTTCTGCAAAACAATCGAAATGTTGGTTTCTTTTTTGTCAGTCCAATGGAAGCGATATTATTTAAGCATGCAGGGCGTCGCAAAATTTGTGCACAGCAATGCGTCTCACTCGGATAGCCTCGAGGGGAAAAATGGAAAAACGTTTTTATTCTTTTTTTTGGACGAGTTGACGTTGTACTCGAGAAAAGTCGTTCAACAAACTGAAAGCAGGCTATATGAGAGATCTCTTTTAAGAGCTCTAGCTGCGTGCAAGAGTCTGTGCCTCGGCGCATCTTGGATCCCTACGGTTTTCGGCTAGTGAACGTCATTATGATGTGAGCTAAAACTATCGTGTCGAGTAACAACTTAGGCAAACGGCTATACAAGTCAAAGCGGCAACGTGCCAACTTTACTTATCAGAAACCCAAATATTCACTGGATATTCCGTTTTTTCTAATGGACATGACTATGTTTCACCCAAGTTTAAATGTAGTTCCGAGGCTTCGATTATTTGAAATATTATTACACGGATAATTTTCCCATTGTGTTAACATTTCACCGTTTATTATTAGCGAAAAAATCATACTTACTCTGCGGATTTTTTGAATGAGATGTCGTCGAACTGTTTTCATCGCGTTCTCCTTCCATGTCGTAGAATACATTGTTTGTCGGATCTTTCACCATGTTCAAAACCATCGAGGGTTCTGCCATTTTTCTAAAATCAAAAAAAAAAATCATAATTGAATAAAAATTGACATGAAATAAAGTCAATGAATTCACTATTATTACTTAAACACTCGATTTAGTGCCTCAAGGTGGCAAAAATTAACGACGATTAAAAGTATCACGAACGGACTATATGTCACGTTTGATCGCTTACAGTACACGCAAGAGTAATTGAGAATGAGATGTTTCAAGCAATTTACTCAAAGCATATAAATTAAAAATATAATTCAACATCACTTCTCTGCCTTACTAGTGCGCAAGCGCACATCTTTTTGCAACTGTATAAGACTGACGCATACACCGCAGCCTCCTTACACACGAGAAACGCGTGAAAAGAGCTCGGCTCCTTTTTAATTTTTCACGATGTGCACCGAAAGAGAAAGAGAGGCAATCGATGCCCTGCATTTCTAGTGCATTTTTGGTGCATCGTCTCACGTTCTTTACTTTTATTTCTAGCCGACTGAACAAAATATGAGAGTTGAAATATGCTAAGTGCACGTGGGCATTCGAAGAAAAAACCACACGTTTGTAATAGCTAATTGAATGAATATTTTCACGCTAAGGTGGAAAATAATTATCCGGATTTAGCATGTGGGTCGGGTGAGTTTTCCAAAACGAAGTCAAGGATCTCATGCTCGGAGCGGAGTGCAAAAAGACGTAAATATTTATAAATCTCCGTCTAAAAATAAGCATAAGCAGGAATTTTCGGCGACGGAAATAAAAAAATGTCGCGTAAGTTGCAGGCGCGTGCACTAGCGAGAAGATAATTCGATTTTAATTAGAAAACGCGTCGACGAGGCCGATGAATACGAAGGAATGTTCACGAACTATTTGGAATTGGATGACTCAATAATTAAGCGAGCGATTGGTGCAAGCGGCTCAAAATTATTTCACCAAGCGACCATCCGCAAGATATTATATTTCAAATTTAATAAGCCAAAGCGCACTTTTGGCGAGCTCGCTTTCACATTCCGTAAAATAATAAGATTCGGCATTTCGTTGACCCACGACGACGAGCAACGGGTTACTAAAATAATACGTTTTCCAAGTATACATCAATGAACCAAATCACGAGTATTGTTCGACGGAGCTTTAAAGATTTATGCGCTCATTTTTGTAATTAGTTTTAATGAGGAGCAAGGCGTATCAATGCTCGTGTATTTGCGTTGATTCATATGTACACAATATAAGCAGCAGCAGCAGCCGAGTACATGCGTGAGATATGCCGAGAGCACTAACAGGTGACGCTTTTAGCTCCTGTCACAATATGATCTTTGTTTACTCTCAACCGAAACATATACGTAGGCCGTCGCGCTGAACATGTATGATTTGCGCACTATGACAATTTAGCAGCTGCAACACGAAAGCAGCCGGAAATAAAAATCGATTTTTCTTTTTCGTATACGTTGTACGGACGTATGTAAAGGAAACAACGCACAATAATAGGAGGTAGGTGAAGAAAAAAGCTCGTCGCGGCACTGTTCTATATGCGCAGAAGCAGCTTCACTCCCAGCAATTCGTATACAATAACTTCGCTCCGTAAAGTCTTATCTCCTGTACGATCGTCGTACTTAAAATTCATTCGGTCGAGGATTGATATAATTCTTGTGGATGAAATTACATACCATATGTGGACGAGGAGAAGCTCACCGCGTTGTATATTGGCGCATACAGCAAGAAAAGGAGAGAGAGCAGGAGAGCGAAAGAAAGGTGGAAAAATGAAGGCTTGATAAAATATAAAAAAGAAGTGGCAAAATACCGGCAAATGACGCAGCAGTAGGCTATGTAGTCAACAGCAGCAGCAGCGAGCAGTAGTGGGACTGCGAGAAGCGAAAAGAAAAAAAACCAGGAGGTATATTGGATCGCTACGGCCGAGCGATCTGATGTCACTATACTCGCGGTCAAGACGAGTGTGTATGATGTTGTGCTGTGCGCCTCTGTATTGCGTATGAGCTATATAATATATCGCACGCGCGCTGCAAGCACAGCAACGAGGCACACATCATGTGTGCGAATCGTATGTATATAGCTATATAGGCGAGAATGCGCTGCGCTGCGCGATTGGTCTTCCGCCATTTCCATCGACCATTGCATGCGCCGAGTATACAATGTCATGTATACGTGCAAGTTATATAGCTAGCTTGCACGCGACCAAAAGTGTGATAAAAGACACGATCGTGCCCGCGCTTCGCACTTGTGTAAGTGCAGGCCTGCTGCTGCTACGGGCGCACGCTCACGACCCCGCGAAAATCTATATTCAGTTTTCCACTCGGCGCCGTCGTTATAAATATCTATCTCGCTCTCAGCAAATTCTGCATTTGCCTCTGCGCTTGATAACATTTGCTCGCTATCAGTACAACGATGGCCTTACGAAATATTTTATCTCCACACAATGCCATTTCGATGTCTACGAAATCTCCAAGGTGATGTATTTTTCTGCATTCTGGAATGTGTCGGAGCTTTCGTCAAAATCATAAAAGCAGCAGTCAGATTTTTTTTTTCAAAATTCATTCATTTATCTAAAATATAATACTCTCCCGTGATACGCAGTCCTATGCATAAGAATAATGATTCGATCTTCTTGTTTGGCAAACAAAAAATCAAACTTAATTGATATAATAAAAAATCAGTATAAATTTAATTTGATTTATCTGTAATAGGTATAGTATAAATTTACAAAATTTGTGTAATAGTTACAATAAAACGTATATAATGAATAATCAACAATTACAAAAATAAGAATATGTATACTCGATGCTCGGAGCTTTTGTAGATTAAATGTGACCACCTTCCTTCAGCTTTCCAACTAACGTGTCGACGTCTGGAATAATAGAACCAGCTTGACGAACTGGAGGGTCTTCCACCGAGACAACCTCGATCCTCGGCGAGATGTCAACTCCTAAATCCGCGGCGGTGACTTTTTTTACAGGTTTCTTCTTAGCTTTCATGATATTTGGCAGTGTAGCATAGCGCGGCTCGTTCAAGCGCAAATCAGCGCTCAGTACCGCCGGTGTCTTAACTTTTATCGTTTCCAATCCACCGTCAACCTCGCGGGTCACTGTCAGTTCACCTTGGCCATGTTCTATCTATAAAATAAAAACATAAAATCGATGAATTATTGAACCAACGACTTTTCTTGTAATCATGGGGTTGGCCAGGGCTCACCTTACTGGCGAACGTGGCGGTCGGCCAGTTGAGCACACCACCGATCATTTGAGCCGTTTGATTGCAATCGTCGTCGATCGCTTGTTTTCCCACCAACACCAAATCTGCTTTCTCGTCCTGGGCGAGTTTGGCCAAGATTTTGGAGACGTGAATCGGCTGCAGAGTCTCGTATTCTTTGGCGGATATCTCCACGTGTATTCCCCTGTCGGCGCCCATAGCCAAAGCCGTTCTTAAGGTTTCTTGAGCTTGAGCCGGCCCGCAGCTCACGGCGATCACTTCTTGTGCGGTTTTCTTTTCCTTCATGCGTACGGCCTCCTCGATTGCGATTTCATCGAAAGGGTTCATCGAGTGCTTGACACCTTCGGTTACTACGCCAGTTTTGTCTGGCTTGACGCGTATCTGTACAACCAAAATATTATTCATTTTACTGTAAAATTCTGAATTATAGTTGTCATTTATACATCTCTGTGAGTAGAAGATTAATCTAATAGTTATGCCTAAACATATCTAGAAAAAACACCTCAGAAGATATGAACAACATTCTTTCAACTCTTTGTCTAAGCTTTCAGCTAAATATTATTTAAAAAAAGTTTCATTCGATCCATAATTTTATATTTTTTTATGGCATCATTTATTATTAATAAATATAACAACATTTCGGGATACTGAAAAACGGCGTTGATTAATTTCTTATCTGAAAGCTGGCAGAATAATTCAATAATGAATGTAGTGAGACACCGTAGCAGAAGTCAAAACAGATTTTGCAATACTATAGAGAAACGAAGCATCGAAAACTTAAACTCACGATGATCAACATATTTTAACAAGATTCATCTTGTTCTAGATTAATTCAGCCTGTTATCTTTAATACGATTATGTAAGAAAATTTGCGAATTGCTGTTTTTGCCATTGAATCATTTTTTAGATATTTATGCAGAAAACCATTAGTGCACAAGCAAGCTATTGGAAAATCTGAGACACACACACTCGTGTAAATAAAATAATTTATCTTACCTTGACAGCATAATCGATCACTCTCTTAACTCCAACGAGAACACGAGCCATATTTTATTATGTGATGTGTAAAAAAATGTTATTCAAGTAATGTTTGTGAGCTGCTTATGAAGAGTTCAGGTCGAATGTTAATCTGCGATACGTAGCCCACTAAAACTTGAGCGGCACGGAAAAATTAAAAAATAAAAGTATGTTTAGATCACGAACTATAGCAAATATACAGCAGTGTCACGAAACTAATTGCAAATTATACAGCAAGTTCGACTAGACTTGGACGCGCTAGTGGTAAGTTCGCAAGTCGAAGGCTTCGGTTCCATGAAAGGCAACTAGCTGTGAATTCGAAGCTCCGCGTGTCTTGCGAGCAAAGTGTTAAGCATCTGCAGACTGACAGTCAGAGAACACTCTAAACGTCAGTCGCGCGAATAATATTGCAGAGCGTGGATTTATACTTTAACTGTCGTCGTAGCGTCGACCACCACCTACGACGGCTGCGAAACACACAGCTGATACGTGCTTGTCGTGCATGACTTAACTATAAAACCACGTAACGTAATGAGCACAAAATGTTATTTTGTTTTGTAAGCTAAAGTGATACAAGTGTGTCTGAAATTCAACCATACAGTTCCTAGTCTCTTCAGCTAGTTGCTGAATAAATTTATTCGACAAAAATGGGAAATAGATCAAGTTTGCTTCTACGAGAAGAAGAAATAGCACAAATAGAAGAAGCCACTGGCTGTAAGTTTTTTTTTTCTATTTACATCACTTGGTTATTTTTCCTTTTTTTTCATGATAAATTTGTGACTTATCACTTCAGTTACACCAAATCAGATCGAACGTCTGTACAGTCGTTTCACGAGCTTAGACAGAGGAGATTGTGGTACACTTAGTCGCGAGGACTTTTTGAGAATTCCTGAATTGGCTATCAATCCATTGGGAGACAGAATTGTTAACGCTTTTTTCGAAGAGAGTAACAGTGATAGAGTCAACTTTCTCCAATTCATGCAAGTTCTCGCCCGTTTCAGACCTATCAAAAAAAATGGCATGAATATTTTAAATTCTCGCGAAGAGAAATTGCGTTGTAAGTTTTGCAAATGTCAAAGTGGCGTTGCTCAATAAACATGTATAATAAATTCTCTACTTTTTACAGTTGCATTTAAGATGTATGATCTAGACAATGATGACTTAATTTCCAAAGAAGAACTCTTAGCAATTTTACAAATGATGGTTGGTGCAAACATAAGGTAAATTTTAAAAATGTAAACTTTAATTAAAATTGAGTAAAAATTAGAGTGTAAGATTATATCATTATTGTTTCAGCGAGGAACAGTTGTCTAGTATTGCAGAACGTACACTTTCAGAAGCTGATGAAGATGGAGATAACATGATCAACTTTGAAGAATTTTGTAAAGCATTGGAGAGAACTGATGTAGAACAAAAAATGTCTATAAGATTTCTTAGTTAGTTTCTCTTCAAATTCTGGATATTTGTTTAAATGTTTTCTTATGTATATTTATTTTTTTTTAATTGACACCGAAATTTTGCATGGCAAATAAATGTATTTAATAGGTAGTCGGTGACTTCATTTTTATTTATTTAAAATGATTTCATTAGATGAAGGTTGTAAATTTTAATTATAAGAATATAATTTTAATTCCAACATAATGGTAAATAAAGATTTTTAAATTAAATTATTCACATAATAAATATTTCTCAACCACATCTTTGAGTTGTAAGTAAAATATACATTAAAATTCATCTCGTATAGTTCTCTATGTAAAAAATGAAAGTTTACCATAAATTATATTTTTTATAAAGTGTTATTCCCAGTGAAATGCATAATTACATAAAAAGAGTAACAATTTTTATATGCAAAAGTTAAAACTTATAGTTTAATATGGAACGAAACATCTGTTAAATCCTCATCAATTTTAAGACATAAATTTCATTACTCTATCGATTTTTACTAGGCTGTTGAAGACACAGCTAATTTTTTCAAATGTTCCATGAATACCTGAAGACTGACATCATCCGTCAATACTGGAGCGCCACTTTCCTACAATCAAAAAATAATCCAAATTTGCATCCAATATACTACTTATAGTAAAAATTCAATGAAAATATGCAAAACGAAACTCACCCCTCCATAAGCATACATATTATTATGCGTTTGGCTGGGATTAACTTTACTCAACAGGAATCTTGCCTGAGAACCGCCTTGTTCAGTATCGATATATCTGGGTGCAGGGAATCTTACTGCTAAAATGTCACGTGCATCATCGACTGGACCTGCTAATAGCTGTTTGAAGTTTTCATACTCAGGAAGATCTTGATATTGTAACTGACGCCATTGTGCAATAGTCTAAACAATAGATTTTTCAATTAATAACTATCATATTAAGTAATTTTTAATATTTATAATGATAATGATAATTGAATTTATTTACTTCTCCATGGAATATAAGAATCTGGAAAAATGTGTCCATAAGAAGTATTCGATCAGGTTGAATTGATGATGTATCTAGTAATACTGGTTCAGGAGGACCTCCAAATCCATAACTATATAATATGGGTTGAACCATTATCAATGAATTGGTTAAATCCTCCCTCATCAACATATGCCTATAAAAACTAGTTTCATCAGGAGAATTGTTAAAAACTTGCAAAAATTGCGATCTTCGTAAATGATACATAAATTGTGGATATAGCGAGAAATTTTCTGCGAGTCTAAAACTATTGGGATCGTCTTTTCCATACTCTCCAAACTTTTGACACTATAAATAAAATAAATATATCAATAAAATAGTATTTATATTGTTCAATATAATTGATCCAGTATAAACTCACGAGTCTTATAAGCATTCTGTCAACCCATCTCAAAACATCTGGACCATCTTCAGATTCCGCTCTAAACACTGCAAGTCTTGACATCAGAACAGCTGCAGCTTCTTGATCAAATCCAGCAGCAATGTGATGTATAGATGAAGTGTCTGCCCAGCTAAAATGAATAAAGTTTATATTTTATTATTCATTGATTATGTTATTTAATATTAGAAATGTTAGAATTTAATTTTTCCTTACTTCCTAGCAATTGTTGTTACCCTGATTCTTCTTTGCCCATTACTATGTTGATATTGAGTTACAAATTGTATGCAACCTCTGCCTCCTTGTGGAATAGGAGCTGCTTGCTGATTAACAACTTCAAAGAATATAGCCGTCGTTGTTGAAGGGGTTAAGGCACAGAATTTCCACTGAGATGTACCACCTAAGCCAATTTCTTGATCTCCGACACAAGGTCCTTTAATGTTTAAAGATACACAAGGTCCGATGGCACCTGACACCTTGATTTCTCGAGACGTTTTAATTTCTAATGTTGCATTGAAACCCATTTTAAGATCGCCTTTGGGATCTTTAGCAAAAACTCGTTGGAAAGTTTGCTTGAAAAGTGAAGAGTTAAATGAGTCACCCATGACCATATGACCACCAGTTGAATTACAACATTGTCTCATTTCTAAAAGACCTGTTTGGTCAAGAGCACAAGAATAAATATCAATAATGTGACCATTTGCTGCAGCTCGAGCGGCTAATCCGTCATAATGCTTGGTAGCTTTTTTAATGAACTTTGCATTATCTTTTTGTATATCGTGATGAGAACGGATAGGCTGTCTTAAATCATCAGTAACAACTTGTCCTGGTCCTTGAGAGCAGGGTCCACCAACAAACAACATGATTCTATACCATAAAATAAAATAATTTAATGCATATATTATTTATAAAATAAATAACGAATAAAAACTAAATCATACCTTCCTCCTGTATTAGCATAGCTTGCTTCTAGCAAACCTGTTGCCACGGCAAGAGCAACACCTGTCGAACGTAAAGGTCTTTTTCCTGGACCAACTGGCCAAGGGTCTCGTTGTAATTCTCCTAAGAGATCGGTCAAACTCATATCACATTTATGAACAGGTTGCAAAAACCGATTGGCGGGTGGTAAAGATTGACCAGGGGGTCCGCGTTGATTCACATTTTGACCCGCAGGTAACCTTCCAATACCTAACATATCTTGCACTTGTTTGGGCTGTAAATCCTTTGTGCCACGAAACACATAACTTTTACTGCAGCCTTCACAACCAAGCTCATGAACCTGGACCATTTTACCAAAAGTTATCAAACCAATTAAAGCATTAGATGGTAGAAGTGACAATGACATTTGTAATGAATCTTTTAAAGCTGTGAGTTCATCTTCTTCCAAACAAGTGTCAACAACAAGCAAAAAAATGGGTGGCAAACACTGAGCTCTCTGTAATAAATGTGACATTTCATTACTCTGATTTAAAAATAACTTCTTATCTGTAATAGAAATATAGTTAAAAAAGATCAATTATCTTACCATTATAGTATATTCAATTGTTGAGAACATTGGAATTAGTTCAGCAGGTTGGCATTGCTCTGTAATTGCAGCATATTGTGGGGGAAACTAAGCAGAAAAATTAGCAAACATTAGCATAAAACTTAATAATTAAAATAAGTAGATGTAAAAATAACAACAAATAAGAGTCACTTACAGGATTTCTTTGAAAGCAGAAGTTGCAACCCCATAGCTTAGCTCTGTAATCTACTTGGCACAGAGGATTTAAAATTGCTCTACAGTTAGCCCTTGTACACAAAACAGGATCATATTGAATTGGAGGAAGATCTAAGCGTTCTTTTATTGGTTGATAAAGTGTACCTATCGGTACCACTAATCTGGTAGCTTCAACTCTAGACGAAGGCCATACATTCCAAGTGAAACGTACCCCATCTCTGTCTTCATTCTGTTGAATGAATTCTTCATATGTTGTCATTTTGAACCCCTGCAGTCGATTTCAGATGTCAAAATAAATTCAATAAATGAATAAATAAATGTTCTTAATCTTCATGATAGAATTAGAACAGATTTCGAGAAAATTATGGATATAAGCAGTTCTTGTGAACAAGAATTATATTTTTTTAGATAAAATCACTGCGTTGCATTACAATCTGTTACACAGACAATTCATCAATGAAATCGTAATTAAGTATTATAATTACCGATTAAATGGGCAGACTTATAGCGAAGAAAAAACACCATATGTTGTTTAGCACAACTCACAGCAGAGCCGCTTACTTCATAATTGTCAAGAACGAGTGTTGCTTGGAGCTTGGAGTAAAAATTGAATACTTTCAGATGTAGCAGCCGCTGTGAGAGCCACGTCACTTGGACAGAAGAGCTTTGGCAGTTGCGAGCGCCCTCGTTTTTTATTATGTCAAATAACTGATCCGCAATTCGCAAGATTATACATTTGCAATTGTGCCGTATTCGCACAGATATACGTGACTATGGCGCAGTCACGAGAAAAAGAAAGAAGTAAATTTAGCTGTCACCTTGTGATAAACTGGGAATCGGTGAAAGTATACACTAATCACTTGATACTTATACACTGACTCATTGACACGTTTATCAAACGTGTGATTACATCGAGTACTCATAGAAATTCTAAATGTTAAAATGAGATTAAATATTGCTATAAGTTTTATACAAGTAAATAAAAAAGCTAGAAGTTGGAAAAATAATAAATTCGTCGCAAATTATGTTTTTGTTATTGGTTCACATGAGTAAAGTTGAAAGCAATCTATTCTTTTGATAAAAAAACTGTTTAGATATTTCTTCAAATATTGGTATTGTTTCATTTTGTTTAAATTTAAATTACGATCTATTTATTACAAAGTTCAGTTTTCATATGGCAAATTAAACTTCTTACGAGCAAAATAAACTCGCAAATGAATTGTAGAAATAGCCTCAGTGAGCGATCGACGCTCAGTGATTGTCAACAAATAAAGCTCTTGTATACTGTAGTTAGTTTAGCCATAGTAACACACGATAATAATATATAATGTAGTGGCATTTATTAAGTTAAGTCGTACTTTTACGCGAAAATTAATGTGCTCTTATAATTAGTGATACATGAATTCAGTTTTAGTTTACTTATCAGTATTTACTTAAATTAATTTAATAATGAACATGAGCAGAAGGTACCTATATTTTTTATTTGTGAAAAGAAATTTTTGGTAATTAAATTACTATACTTAAATTTATAGATCATCTCGACCAAAGATACCAAAGGAACGCGATTTTGAACCAAGAACTAGGCGATATAGAAATGGTCAAAATCATAATGGAAAAATACCTAATGATAATAATTATATGAATGATTGTGACAATCATGAACAAAGCGAAGATGAACTTTTAGGAATGGGATATTCATCAGTTTTATGGGCTCATCCAAGATTACCTCAGGCTCAAACTTTTTCAAATCAACATAGACAACCTCTTTTTACTGCTATGTCTGATCCAAGTGTCTGCAGTTATCCTACTCATCCTTTAACATTTTCAGTAGATCCATTTACAATACCACCACCTTTATACAGCTATTATCAACCTACTTTTAAACCTAATTATAAGGAGTATCGAAACAGGCACAGGACTAATTCTTCTCGACAAAGAGGAAGTGAATCTCTTAATAATATGAATAGTTTTGACAACGAGCATTTTAATTTTTATGAAAATACTTCAGCATTTATGCCCTATCAAACTGGTGATTATACAAGTTTGCCACCTGATGGGAATATAGATAAAGTTAAAGTAGATAAGAAAATAAACTCAGAACATAGGAGGTACTCTGATCCTGGTCTGGGTCCTGCTGATAATCCTAATAATGTAAGAGATGAGGATTCAGATAGTACTGCTAGTTATAGTTCAAGTACAACTGGAAAAGATAAAATGTATATGAATCTTGTCGAGCAGGTGTGTTGAACATTTAATGTATAATAATTACTAAAATAATTTTCTGATGGGGTTTTGAGTACATACTTTTTTCAACAGTTGACCAAAATGAAAGAAGCTAATAGTCAGTTGTTCAAAGAACTTCATCAGACCAAAGTAGATTTAGAAACAGTAAAGAATGAATTAAACCAATTGAAACAAAACATATCTTCAGACTATCAACCTGGAATGCTATCAGGTAAAATGTTATTTTGTACCACATTGAAGCTTTCTGATATATTTTTTATCATAAAATAAACAATTTTTTCCCCAAGATCTCATAAGGGAAATTAGGGAAGCATCTAAAGTAAAAGAAGAAAGAATGATTCAAAAAATGAAGCTGTTCATGGAAACTCAAGAATCTTCAAGACAGAAAGACTTTGAACACTTATTGGTAAGTAAATGAGTTATTGGATAAAATATTTATAAAATTTAGCTTTTCACTTTTACGTTTTCATTTAATGTGCTTTTGAAAAATTCGATTTTTTTCTTAGCTCTACAGTAATAGCAAGCTTTTCGTTGATATAACAGTAATCTACAATATAGTTATAAATTAATAATAATCAATAAATTAGGTAACTGTATCATATTTACTGTACGTAGATATCGATGAATCGGTAAAAAAGACCTCGTTGAAATAGTCAGAAAAAGACCGCTAGATAGAGCTCTTGATGTTTTTTCATGTTTTGACGGACGTGATAGATTCAAGCTCTATCTTTTACAGTGCTATCGACCGATGTAAATTCGAGAATCATAAGTAAACTATCTCATTATCAGACACTCAAATAATAAAGAATACATGCCCTTATATATTTATTTTGGGTAAGAAGTTAATAAAACACGAGACAAAATAAACGAGTGTTTACTCGTAACAGATCAGAGTTTGAATGGGCGTTACATAAATACTTAAGCGCTAAAGAGTACTGAAGAATGTTTTGGTAAACTCACGCGTGTTTACTTACTTTTTTAACATTTGTGACTTGTGCAGAAAAAAATTTACTGATAACAAACTATTTTGCGCTCGACTTTCTTTGCCGTTTCGCATCTTTTTCTCGGTAAAAAATGAATTCAAGTCACGAGATTGGCATTCATTATTTCAAGTCACTTAAAAGACATTTGTATAATTAACCATTTCTTGATATTCGTCAAATAAATTATAATTTTAAACTTTTAGCATGAACTGGAACTGATAAAAGTACAAAAAGTTAAAAACGAAGAAAAGGTTCATAGTCTTCTGACGGAAGTTTCGCAATTAAAACAGAATTTAACGTAAGTAAACTAGGTACAAAGTATATATAATTTTACAATAATGAATTTAATTGCATTTTTTTTAATTTTTAATAATGCACAATCATTTCGATGGGCTTAGAATAGAAGTTTTGATGTGGCTAAAGAACCAGTTTTAACACATTTGCGAACTCGCGAAAACTAGTTAAGAATCTTTTTCATGAAAAAACGTAATATAAAATACGTTGCATCGCATTGCTTTTTAGGCTCGACAATATCGTCAGTTTGGTTCAAGATAAGTTTTTCATTCCACTGCTCGAGCAAAATTACGCGGGAGAAGCGGCGACATCGCTGCCGACGGCAAATTCGACGTTTGACGTGGACAAAAATTCCGATGTGCCTAACAGCAACGACGATTTCAGAGTATTAGGCATTGCTGATTTATCGATAAAAGAGAGTAGCAGCGGAGTAAATAAAAATTTATCGGCAGGTCCTGTTACTGATCTATGATTTACGCCTTGTATAAATGCCGTACATCGCGAGTGCAACGATTACTCGTTACAATATTTGAGCAACACTTATAGATAAGTCAATAAAATTGTAAATATATACATTTAACTTATCTGTTAAAGAATTATACAAAATTAGTTTGACGCCAAAAGCAAAAGGCAAATATTTGTAAATCAATACGATATATTTTCAAAGCGCGCGCACTAAAGTCTGAAAATAAGTAAACTTTACCAAAGTGCACTTAAATATGTATAATCAATTATGAATGTATACGTAAGGGCATATATTTTAAGAGATGTATTTTTCGCAATTTATCACGCAGATCGTCCCTATTTTATGAATATTGTATCGTCGAATACGAAGTTTGAATTATGTATGAGCAAGTACGATTAAATGAAGTTTCTGTTTTTAATGTTACGACGCAAACAACGAATAAAAGACACTATTACCCAGTTGAAATAGACGTGTAATTATTTTCCATTGATCCTTTGTACATATTTATGTTGTGCCGAAAAAGCATCATCGGTTAAGTTGACTGGTGTAGTTATGAAAAAGCCATCGGCGCAGCAAAGGAGAGGGGTCGTCGTGCAAGCGCTGTCGTGAATTATCTCGGCACAGAGGCAGATGCTGCAAATTGATAATAATCAGGTGAAGTGAAAAAAAAAAACACCGAGCAAAGTAATGTAGTAAAAATTGTTGTACGCGCGTGTATGCATCCATGGACTCGTATACAGCACATATAGAATATGAAATGCGGATAAAAAGAAAGATGGCTATGGCAGGATGAAGGCTCAGCGCGAGAGTCGTCAGCTGACACAAAGGGTCACGCGCGGAGGATGGTCGTCAGCGACGGCTCTCGGAGAGCAGCACAGAGAGAGAGAGAGAGAGAGAGAGAGAGAGAGAGAGGCGAGGAGACGGAAAAAAGCACAGAGCCGCGGCGAAAGCTAGCTCTCGGAGCAATGGCGCGCAAGCGCGACTCCACCCAGGCGCCGCCCACGATGTCTCATTAGCGAGGCCGCGAAGCATTGGCCGACATGGCGATCGAATGGGTGTGGCCAGTCGCGGGGGCCAATATTCCTGGGGGGACACGGCGTCGCCCAGGAGCGGGGGAAATAGTGTTTGTACAAGACACCGGGCCTGAAAGAAGCATCAAACATTCTCCGTGCAGCCACGAAGCGCGTCGTATAATGCGCGAATAGCGCGCTCGACTTTCTCTCTTTCTCTCTCTTTCTCTCTCGAAATTCATCGTCCGCTCATTCATACGCATATATATGTATATAAAATACGCGTTTGCAAACATATATATATATTTGTGTGTGTGCTCACGTCGTCAAAGTTTTTTTATTTCATCGGTATAAACAACTTTGAAACTGAAAATAGTGAGTGTGTAATTGTGAGTGCCAGTTAATATTTAGCGTTGACGCTCTGTGCAGGCAGAAAGAGAACGAGATAGAGATCGACAAAACTTGTTTGTTTGTGTGTAGTAAACAGTGGTGTAGTAAGCAGTAGTCGGGGCAAGTGTCAAAAGTGATAGTTGTGATTCGAGTTGTGGCGACAGTTCGAGTCGTCGGAGGCTCTCATGTCACTGTTATAGCGTAGTCTAATTCGGGCTCGCTGCAGTTACCGCGACGTCGGGCTGTCGATCGTCGCGCGCAACGAAGCCAACGAGCGAGGAAGGTCTGGATCGTCCTGTTAATGAGGCCTCTCGAGCATCGCGCTCAGAGCAACATCATCAACTGCTTCATCAGCAGCAGCAGCAGCAGCAACTGTTGCACGACAACGGTAACGCCATGACTATGCTAAACTCACAGAAGCTCTACGAAGCGTCCCAGGGGAGCATCGGCGGGGCCATGAGCTCCAGCGGTATGACCAACATGGGCAGCATGGCGCCGACCTACAGCAGCATCAGCAGCATGAACTGCATGCCGATGGCCATGCCGATGAACTGCGGAGCGCCGCAGAGCCCGAGCAGCACAGCCTTCAACATGAGCTCGGCCATGACGATGGCCTCGATGGGCCACGGCGGTCACATGGCCGGCGCCTACGGGGGCTCGGTGGGTGCCATGGCCGGGCCGACCGGCGCCGCGGCCGCCGCCGCCTGCATGAGCGGCCTCTCGAGCTACGGACCGCTGAGTGCCACGAGCGCGGCTGTGGCGGCCGCCGGCTCCAACGCTTCGGCCAGCAGCGGCCTGAGCGCCACTCCGAGGCCCGCGGAGGCTCTGGGCCTCACCGAGCCCGAGTCGCCCAACTCGGCTCTTCGCGCCCGCGGCGACAAGCCCTACCGGCGCAACTACACCCACGCCAAGCCGCCCTACTCCTACATTAGCCTCATCACGATGGCCATAAATAATGCCCCGTCGCGTATGCTCACCTTGTCGGAAATCTACCAGTTCATCATGGACCTGTTCCCGTTCTACAGGCAGAATCAGCAGCGCTGGCAAAATTCCATTCGTCACTCGCTGAGCTTCAACGACTGCTTCGTCAAGGTGGCGAGGACGCCCGACAAGCCGGGCAAGGGCTCGTTCTGGACTCTGCACCCGGGCAGCGGCAACATGTTCGAGAACGGCTGCTACCTCAGACGTCAGAAGCGCTTCAAAGACGAGAAAAAGGAGTCCAACAGGCAGACGAGCAAGCACCACCATCATCACAGCGCTCAGCAGCAGCAACAGACCGGCCACACCAGTCCGGACGTGAAAAAGCCGCCGCAGCAGCATCATCCCCACGCGCACCACCACCACCTGGCCCAGCAACAGCAGCAGCAGCAACAACAACAACAACAACAGCAGGCCGATGACAAAGATCATCTGCACGCGGCCATGGTGGCTAGTCAGCATCAGCAGCATCAGCAGCACCAGCAGCAACATCAGCAGCACCATCAGCAGCATCATCAGCAGCAGCATCCGCACCACCATCAGCAGCAGCATCCGGCGGACATCGGACAGCTGCTCGGACCGGAGCTCAACTCGACGCACGACGAGCTGGCCGCCATGGTGGTCGGCCGGCATCCGCACTTGCTCACCGACTCGGCGAGCTTGCACCACGCGGTCCTAAAGCAGGAGCCGTCCTACGCGACGAGCAATCACCCCTTCAGCATACAGAGACTGCTGCCGTCGCAGACCGGGCCGACCACGTCCCCGGGCGCGCCCGACGTCAAGCCGCCTGAGCTCAAGATGTACGAGCTGGCGACCCAGGGCTACGGGCCCAGCTACGCCAGTCACAACGGCCTCCAGATGAGCAACGGCAACGGCATGCACCAGGTGTCGTCCCACCACCAGGACTACTACCAGAGCCCGCTCTACCATCACTCGGCGGCCGTCGTGTCGACTAGCTCGGCCAGTGGCTTGGCCAGCGGAGCTTCCTCGGTGGCGGGCGCCCCGTCCAGCACGAGCGGCTTGTGACACCACGCCGCTCATCCCTACGCTTTGGCCTGAGTGGCGGCTGCCGCCGCGGCTGCTGTCGCGGCTCAACGAGCCGCATGGCCATCGACCGTACCCGAGGATGAGCTGGACGAGCTCGACGACGACGACAGCTCGCTCCTTTACTGCCAGCAGCAGCAACAGCAGCAGCAGCCACCCCAGCCCCATCAACAATTGCAGCAGCATCCCGCGCAATCGCCGGCGCTCCGAAAACTCAATTTCTGCGATGCCTCGCAAAAATTGAGCTTGCGTAAGGAGTAGGAGGAGCCGACGCCACATAGCAACATGGCCTGCCGATAAGCCAGCTTCGAAATCGTACGCTGTGGCCAATCGACTTTGCTCTTTATCTTTCAAGTTTTTTCATGTCCCGAGCTCGCAAAAATTCGGGAATACCAGTGCTAATATTAGGCATATATGATACATTTAAATACGCTCAAATCCAAGTGCAAGTGCAAAGACACTAGTGTTTGAATCTACTGAGCAGTGATTTTATATGTTAATCTTTGTTAATATGTCCATAAATGTTATGTTAACATAATATCTATCTTTTAACTAAAAAACAGAGACGAGGCAATTTTTCCTTCGGCTTACCTCTGAATGAAAATTGACTTTTGTACCTTGGGTAGCTGTATTCCACAAATGCGCAAAAATTGTTTTACCAGACAAAGACAGTGTTTGTGATTACGTTTGTTTTGCCAACAAAATATTCATATCAAAATATGATTTTTGTCGCGCCAACAAAAATTCTTACTTATTTTTACTTTACCACAACAAAATAGAGTTTTTTAGTCACAAACATTGTTGTTGTAATGTAAACCAAGTTATTTTGTGTGCTTAATGTAAATATACATACGTTATTACGTAAAAGACATATTAATATTTAATGAAAATTTTGTATGTACATATTATTTTACATTTGTAAGGCTCCGTAATTAAGTTCTTACTCTATACATTGTATATAAGATAAAAAAATTTGAAATGAATTATATGAAAAATTTAATGGCTATTCTCTCTTGTTTATTTATTGGCTTGAGTAACCACGACACACCATCGTCGAGGAGAACGGTAAAACTTCATCTATCCCTGAATCGCGTATCGCTACTTTTATTGTTGTTGTTATTGTTGTATTAATTAATTTTATTTTATTCAAAGTATACAAATATTTAATACGAAAAGAAAAATTGGTCGTCTTAAATGATAAAAAGAAATTACGCTCGGCTACGAAATATTTATTTTTTTATTTACTTTATAATGAAACGGTTTGCTTGAGATTGCGTTTATCATCAAAATGACATATTTTCCTAATGTTAGCACCGATGACTTTCTCTGCGTTCAAGTGTGTCGATGATACTGGCGACGACTGCACAGCTATATGAAAAAAAAGCGAACATAAAAGTGCTAGTGATATTTATGTAATAAAACAATTTTAATTGAGTAAAAACTATTGTATAGATAAAAGTGATGAAAATATATATGTATATTATAGAAGCGCAAATTTTATATAAATATATTATATATATGCCGAGCGTGCGAGCATAAATGCACACGCTGATAACTTCAACTTTTCGTCCAAAAACTAAAAAAATCTTTCGTGTCGTATGAATTCTGTATAAATAAAAAGTGTAGATAGTTCACAGATAAATCGTTATTGTAGGTGTAGCATTGTCGATGCACACAACACACATCCAGTCTTTGAGCAAATTCTGATGAACATATACAATTTCTTGACAACGACGTGTACGAGAAGAATCGCTGTCGGTAATTTTGCTCGGGCGAGAAAAATAAGATATTAAATTCGTACATAAAAAAGTATAAAAATGTATGTAACGTTTGGACTGATACACTGACTGAGTTCATTGTAGAAGTACTTATCCAGTTAAATTTTTACTAAATGACTCAGCTAATTGGAATATGTTCATTTTTTATACATATATATTACGCATAAATTCAATTGCGTAAAATGTATTGAAAAAAAACTATAAGCACATGCTTTGAGTGCAGAAGAGTCTAAGAGAGTGGAAAAACGCGACAAGATTACTTGTCATACCGAATAACGCAACAAGTTCCATAATTAATTAATGCTAGTTCGAAATAATAACAACGGCAGTGGCACTCTCTTAAAGCGTAATCATTTGCTACCTTATTAAATTTTTTTTTATTTTAAAATGCATAAGGCTGCGCATTACTTTTGATGTATAAATTTTACAATTTAATTCTAGTGTAAATACATGTATGTAAACTTAAGATTTAAATATGTAGTGTTCAGGTATGTACGGTGTTGTTTGTGATGAGCGCGTGCGTGTGTGTTTGTGTATATTCTGTGACTGTAGACGTTAAATGAATGACGACCGATCGTAATCGTTTACACTTTTCGACTTGTAAATATACTATAAATTGTAATAAGGAGTTCAAGACGATCATTACCGATTTTAAATCGTAAAAAAAGATCAATAATCGCGTTGAACCGATTCCTGCTAAGAAAACTAAACATTATAAAAGAGTATCGTTTTCTTTGGCTACAGTATGGTAGCTCGATGCATTTAAGTTTTGTGAGTGACGAGAGAAAATGAGCCCACACTGATTCTACAGTACACAAAAAATAATGTAAATGTTTCAATAAAAAATACGTATTTCTATGCTTATATTAATTGGTTACTTTTTGTATCGATATGAACCTCCCAACCTCAGCTTTGACATTCCTCAAAAGTATTTGCAAATCAGTATGCACACAAAACTCGAGCAATTATTTCTTTGATCAAGAGAGATTAAAGAGTGTGAAAAAACGAACGAATTGCACGACAAGTAAATTGGCGTTTTATTGAAAAATAATAATGTTTTATATATAATAATGTAAATTTGCTATTAATTATTTTACTTATCTGCTTCAACATAATTTTTTATCGTCCACTACAATTGTTTGCTTTCATTTGTTTTTGTAAATATGCATTCAAGTGAAATAATAATCCTGGGCTCTCGGCGAGTCAATATTTTATTTTCATATATGTTCAACAGTATTAGGTTAGTTAATATTAGTAATACTAACCAAAGCCTCTATATTTATACTCATATATAGTTTAGAGGCTCGAGTTTAATAAACGTTATACTGATTGACATTTCTTTTAGCTTGTTACTCGCGTTGCTCTTTTAGTCGTTATCAATTTTTTTTATCTTGATTTTATACGATCCGTTTTTTATGCGTGTTAATTTTCAGATCTCAACATTTTATCAGGTAAAATAAATTCATTATCATCCGTGCGCACGTACACTTGGTTCACTCGATTCTTGCTCTACAATAACACAACATTTTTATATTAAAATCGTCAGAGGTAGCCGAAATTGAGAGAAAGAAAAGTAGAATATAGAGCAAGCATTTTCATATAGTTTTGATGCGTGTGACAGTCAAACGAGCGAAGAAAAGAATGAATAAGCTTTAATATAGGAGAGATATCGTACGACTGTGCCACGAGTTATCGAAGCCCTCGCGTAGTCAGATAGAGGCTCTATTCATTTATATATTTTTTTTTTACGTGCGCGTAGATCGGTCAAAAAGTTACGAAAGAAAGTCACATCCTTATAAGCGCGCGTTACGATCTGAAGAGAGGTAAAAAAATAACAAAATAGTCGGCGTCGACAAGACGTACGTAGCGTATATATACATGTACACAGTCAAGGATAAAAAGCGCCTATCTAAACGTGAACCTCAGGTATGCTTCTCGCGCGCTTTTTATCTTAAATAAACATGTTTCATATCATACAACAGCTCAAATTTTACGCTCTCTTATCGCGCGATGTGCATGGAAGACGGCAATGGCTTCGTCGCTGTCGTCTTCTTGCCGGGTCCAACGTTGTGCGTATGTTATATACCGATCGACGCGATAAAAGTTTCCACTGCAAAAGATATCGCTTTACGCATAAAAATAAAATTTCTCACTGCACCAGACAATAGGCGCGCTCGAGTCGCCATCGAGGTGCTTTTGAAATTCATTAGCTCGCGCGGGACAGTTAAATAAATTCGATTGAAAAATCTCACTGTGAAACGAGGTGCGTTTTGCAGCGCCGACAAGTACAGACACTTACCTGCGCGTAACGAAAATAACACTCTCCCACGCCCTAAACGCATCTCTCGTCTGTTGTTCAACTGAATGTCCGGTGCGATATTTTCCTTACGAGCTGTCGAATTTTCCATTGGACACTTTTGATTTGATCTTACGCCTACTTATACATATCGACAGGGCTTTCAGAGTGTATTTACTCTGGACCACTTGAAGTGGTACTGTATGAAGCAAGGGAGCACATCTAAGAGAAAATGACGAGTAATGGAAAAATGAAAACATTGTTCACATGCGCGAACGGTAGCAGTGTTGGCGTCGTCGTTCTGCAGTACCATCTTCCGCCGGCAAAAGAATATTCCTCTCTCTCTTTCTCTCTCTCTTGCCAGCACCAAGTGTTTATATAATGGCGTAGATAAATAATTCCAAACTTTCAAAAAAAAAAAAAAAAAAAAAGAAGAAGAAGAAGAAGAAGAAAACTTGTGTCACTTTACAGCGACGCCGACAAAAAAGTATTCGTATTATGAATATCTAACGAAACAATGAACTAGGCAAAATGAGTTGTGTTGCATCATTCAAATGTCGCTGTCTCGTTTGCGGTGTCGCGTAATACTTAAGGAAGCTTGGAAAACGCGCGATAATGTATACTTGGGTACACGATCGATTGCTTAGATAAGGCTAAATTAGCGATACCAAGGGGATAAATATCGTGAGACACGGGCTTTCCGTGTGGCCGTCTGCATATGCGGCACAAAGCGCCTTTCAATTAACTTAATATAGCTGTCCGCATGCTTCTCTCTGTTTTTTAGCTCTCGAGCTTTTCTGCGTGGCCCGAGGGGCAGTGCGTCTGTGTGCGCTACCGACGATCATGAGCTTGTTTACGGTGTAGCACATAAGCATCCCTTACAGCGCTCTACGTACATATTGCGGGTGTACACGAGGCAGCTGCGCCGCCGCCGCCGCTGCAAGTTTAACTCGCTGGCCACCTGTTCTCCCTTCAATTATTTCAATACAAGTATTTAACACACCCCGATGTATCGGCCGTGCGACGACTGCGTCCGACCCCCAGCGGGCCTCGTGTGTATCTGAGATTTTGATACGATCAACGCGCTCCTATATGCACGTACGACTTTTGTTGTGCCCATTCACGCCAACTTATTCGACGATAATTGTCGGACCTGACGTGTCCTGCCACTGCAGCGATATGTCTGGCTGCAGGATTACGCGGAGCATTCGCTTCGCATTGCACTCGGTCGACGCGAGAGTGAAAAAAAATTCAACGCGAGGACCGACGCAGTCCTGGAGGACGCGCAAAGACGTGTCATGTGCTCGGCGTGTGGGAAATTCGACAAGTGCCTCGTTTACGCTCGGACGGTGGCGATTGCCCCAGGAGATTCGTTCGAATATGCCGCCGCGAGGATCGGTCGAAGCCCCGGGAGAGATGATTTTATCGGCAGCCACCTACTACTAAACGATATGTGGCCGTGCAGATATTCTCAATGGCAGATTGACAAATCAAACGCTGCTTATATTTACGTCGTCGACAGGACATCTGTATTAATTATCGCTCGATGAATATAAGAGGCAAAAGGTGTCGAGGAGACGATTGCGTGGGCGGCCTGCACGCTCGAGGCTGACGAAAAGCGTAATAAAACGAGGCGAATACGTGTATAATATATATATTGAAATCCAAGCGCCGGTCGGCTGCTGCGTAGGGGAGCAGCACACATACACACACACATCGACGGATCGAAAGGGAATAATATCGTCACGTGTCGAAATAAGACGGTTAATATCGTCGCAACAAAAGAGTTCGGGCAATGTTTTGCAAACAGATCCAGCCACGTGCGAGAGACTACGGACTAGTACTGTTAAAACTCAGCGGAGCGAATGCGAATCCAAGCCCGAGATTTGTAGTGGATCGTCGACGCCTTCGGCCTGTTACTACGTGTGTATTATAAGTCTGGACGTCGATCATGGGAATCGGTGCAGGTTCGCTTTGTTTTTCAATCGGCCAACGAAATGGTCCATAATATCCAATCGTAGATGCGCAGTTCACACGCTGCAGTCTCGACTCTCCGCAGTACTCACGAGCGATAGATGGAATATATAAATATCCACGAGC